AAATCCTTTTAAATAAAACTCATTTAACGGTTTTAAATAGGTGGCGAAATATATTAGTTAAACTTATTTACTTTAACTTCAGCCCCGAGCTTTAGGTTTGCAGCAGCTTCTCCCCGTGACCACGCTTAACTAAGACCTATTTCGAGTTTTAAACTGTTAATATAGTAATCGTGTTTTATTTAAATGTGTACTACTCGCATAAACTACAGACACTATTTACCAGAAAACCAGTAAATTAAAAAAAAAAGATTTTAGCGTTAAAAATGATTTAGACCTGAACCGGCATCCACAGAGTTCCGTGTTGTTGCTCTCAATAATGTTTATAAAGCATGTAAACATGTGAAAAATATTTAAGTTTAGAAAACCACTACCCAATTAATATAAATAAAACAAAATTGACGAACAGTTTGAATAAGATACACACACATCAATGATTCTTTTAAGTTTTAAACCGTTCAGCTGAGTTTTAAAATGTGGATGTGTTAACGCATTTTATTTCATCCATAAATACAGTATACCACTCGACTTGAAATTATAAAATTTGTGACAGTTTGCTAATTTAATTTTATATGTATTTCAGTCTATTGTTTATTCTAGGTACACACATAGCTTAACATAGACTTACCGATATGTAGAAACGAGAATTTTTCTAGAATATGAGCACGCGACACAACCGTCCTACTCGACGGCTCCGCGAAGACTGAAAAGGTATATAAAATTCAGAGGGTTGTACACCCCTGTTGCAGTCCCTCACTGCATACATTCTGTACTTATGTATCAAGCCACTTTCGACCTTATAAATTCGATATCAATTTTTAACTGAACCGAGAATCTTAATACGAGTATATAAGAGTGTATAAGAGTCATAATTGCTTGCGCATATTTTCAAAGAGTCGATATTATACAGTGCGTCTGGCTCTGGAGTCCGCTCAAAATAAATATTATTCAGAATTTTTGTGAATCCGGTTTCGTGGCTGCGTTACACGCATCGTGAGAGAGTTCCCCTGTTCGAATTCCAGAAAAACGAAATATTTTTCTCGTTTCCTTAAATAAAAGTGAATGAATACCGTTGTGACTGTAAAATATGATTTTAAAACAGTTTAAATTTCTGGATTCCATATGTACAAAACGTTTTTTATAGATAGAAAAGTGTTTTGTACATTGTAAATTAATTTTAAGTGGATGAAATAAAACAAAAATAGGTTATATATTCGATATTTCGATACTTGTATTTTAACACATTTTTTAACTTCAGTTATAATCTACAACATTTAGTACAGCTTATATTTCATATTTTAAACGCTTTTATTCATTCTACTAGACTAGTAAGTTTTTAGTCATCTGCGTGAAAATGTATCCCTTAAATAAAAGGTCATTCCAAAACCCAAATACTTACTGGAAGTACCTTTTCACTTCTACATTATTGCAGTACAATATGTATGTAAATGTGTGCTCTGTGATCCATTTTACAGCGTCATAACATCACCGACATTTGCGAGCACCACCCTTAACAGTTTAGATTTAGTGAGGGGCAATGTCGATGTAATACTATCGATCGAAAATACAAAGTTGAAGAAGAAGGTTTACGCCTGGAAGCTATTTTAAGCTTACGTGACTTGTCGATGAAATACAAATTTCAACACGAAAATGAACAGTATTTACTTGTAGAAGGTCCATTTGACTTTTGAAAAGCCTCTGTAATGTCTATGTTTATGTAAAATATAATACTCTCTGTAGTTTACGCGAGTAGTACACATTTATATAAAACACTAACGATTTAAGCGCCGGGTCGTAGTTAAAATAATGTTCAAACCAGTTTATCTAATATATGTATATCGCGTTTTAAACCGTTAAAGTGTTTTATTTATTTGTAAATAATAAATTTTAGTTTTCCTCAGTGGGGCTGTGTCCACTTTTCTTTTTATATTTAATTAGGGTTCTGTGACCGGAAAACAATCTATTGTATTCGAACTCAGGACATGACGCGCCTAACGCAATGCGAGGAACGACGTTTAACCATTTGGCTTCAGGACTGTCTCTGATGATCTAATTTTACATAGTTCGTTGGAATGTTTGTAAATAATTGTTAAATTAAGTTATTTATATACATTTAACCTAAGTAAAATCTCAGGTAAATGGCAGCTAATACTGAATACCTTGATCTGAGATAAGAACGTTAAAAAGCTCACAAGAAGCGTAGATGTCAATTCTATTTTATGTTAAACAATTAAAATAACAATAATTTTGGATTTCTTAACTTACAGCGTTACTTAAATGTTTTATTTTTTATTCCGTATCGATAAAATACTCATACAACACTATTCGATCGAATGGCGACTGTACATTTTACGAGGCCGTCGTGCTTGCAGCGGGTTACAAAGATTTACTACGCGGGAGAGAATGCTCTAAATCAATATTTTTCTATTTATTTCCACTAATCTCAGATATTACTCAAATTCCATGTAGTAATGTCAAAAGTCATATAAACAGTTATTGTAGTTCGCTAGTAAAGTTTTTGAGATCAAACGCACCTTGGAAAAGTAATGCTAGCCTCTCTTTTAAGTTACAGATTTTAATTTTGAGAAGATACTAAACTCTACAATAGAACCATTTGATTAACTCCAGAGTCTTATGAATTATTCATTTCAGAGTTGTTTCCCGCAGAAAACATTTGGACATACCTATTATATTTGGGTTTGAAACCACAAGACAGATCATCTCAAGAAGAAAAACAACTATATATTATCATAGGCAAACTTTGTCATTAACCTAAATAACTTGATCGAATTGATAGTTGCTAAGTTTCTAAGATCTTAGAAATTATTTGATGTTAAATAGTTTTCCGAGATTTCATCGTGTTCTTGTTGTTTATACCACAATTTGTATAATCTTAAAGTATTCAGAACTTGAAACTTGGCGCGTTCCTAAGGGCGTGTTAATGAATAATAAATTAATGACACATTTAAGCTGCGTGGTGGATTAACACTACACACTACAAGTCTCAAATATGGTTATTTAAAAAGGCCTGATGATATTACGGTTTAATACATCTGGGTTGTTCCCATTGCTTGTGAGTTAAATTAGGGACGAAACTTATAGGATTGTCGTGTGTAAAATTGAGCTGTCCGGGGCCCTATTAGTATATATTATATTATTGATACAAATTGTATGGTTCTAGGTTCATCTTCTTAATCTTGGATTGCTAGTGGAACCATATCATCAGGCACAAGTACGGCATTTTTTTATTACACGATTGGTTATTTAATTATACAATATATGTTTATTTTTTATGATAGAGGTGGATAAGCGTTCGTGGGGCTCACTTCATAGTGGGTAATATATTAACAATTTGGTCTATTATATTAAAATCTATTTTGCATTCGGATATTCGGAAATCGTCTACAAAGAAAAACGTGATTTTATAGCCTTTTTTTGAAACCCGGACGGTATTTAGGTATTCCTCACCTTAATCCGGATTTCCAGACGAAGCCCAATATGTTTAAACTGGAATCCTAGCTTTGGGAAAAAAAGGCTGGTGATTATTTAAAAATGAATTTGCATGGTACGACATATGGTACAAGAATATCGACTGGACTTAAGACGCAGAAGGCAATATTGTAAAAGTTATAAGAAAGAGTTCATTCATATCGTGACTGTCAAAACGTGTAGTTGACAATGTGTATAAACTTAAGCTTTTCCGAATACGATTTTGAAGCATTGTTTCAATTGTCAATATTATTTAACAAGCAAGTTGGTCAGAGACCGTCAAAGATCTGTATCCAAATAACTAATGAGTATTGCCTCGCATTGCGTTAAGCGCGAGAGGTCCTGGGTTCGAATACTAGGGAAACAAATTGTTACGGTCGGGCAGGGCACAGAAGTCTGATCAACTACTTGCCTGTTAAAGAACGGATCAGAGAAACGGGCACAAAATGTGTTCGCCGCATGCCCCACGAGGGGGAAGCGAAATTTCGCTACTAAGTTGGTCAGACCTCTGGTTGCTTTAATAAAACTGTTATTGGTCCCGGAATTCAGACACAAAATCACCCTTAATGCATCCATACGTCAATGACGTTAATCACAGACCCATACAGTCTAATGCAGGTAAAAGCAAACAGTTAAAATCATTGTTTCGTAACAAAACCATATTTTGATTGACAAAACGCTGTTATCGTTGTTGGAATGAGAGACTATTAATAATAATAGTAAAATATAATTTTAATGGAATTTGTTAAGCACCTCTAATGCTACTTGGTTTTATCATGGATGAAACTCCATAAAATTAGTTCCGTTGATAACCGAGAGATGGCGCAGAACAAAATTATCTTTGGAATTATTATAACATGTATTTGTTTCTTTTACTAGTTAATGATTACAATAAAACAATAGCAGACATTGTTAAACATCTATCATATGTGCTAATTGATTTATTTTTCTTTGTATGTATAGAAATAAATAATGTCAAATCGACAACCAAAGAAATGGGTTGCCTGGAAGGGAACGCCCGTTTGGGGAAAGAAAAGCCCCCCCTTTTTTTTTTTTTTTATTTTTTTTTTTTTTTAATAAAGTTAATAAATAAATAAAATAAATATTAAAGATTAGCTGACATGGCAAACATTTGAAGTGAACGTTAAGCATTTTGACCAAAATTTTATTACCACAAAAACGGTTCTTGTTTGTTATTCTTAAACGGTAGACATATACCTACTGACGTATATATTATATTAGATTATTTAAAGTGGAATAATTCTTTCATACATATTTTCAGAGTATCTTAAACTGTTTTCGCAGCGGAAGCAATATTTTTTTTTCTACTGTTCCCACTGTTTCTTTGTTCCTTAATACGAACACATCAATGTTTTAAACCCCTTCTCGACTAACAGAAAAATAATATTCCAATGCGAACCAGTAGTTTCCGGGATTAGCGCCTTAACACAAACAAACAACAACAAACTCTTCAGCGTTTTAATATTGACAAATATATTTGTCTTTTTTTATTTTCAACTTCGAAACTGGAATATAATAACAAGGTATGTTGTTACAGCGCCCATGATCTGAAAACAAATACAATATTAAAACGGTATTGGCCAAAACTTCGAATTAATTAAAGACATACCGTGACTATCAACGATCTATCAAGGACGCATAGACCAAAGGGTGAATAAACAGGATTTTTCAGGAGTAATACTTTATAAAATACTTCGAGCTCATCATACAGTTTGCTATTGTTTTGTACACGGCGAAATAAATGACCCACCAATACACGTGTACGTAGATTCTAGAAAATTCAATAGTTAATAAATCTATGTTTTTATAATAAAAGAAGGCACGTAAGTATAGGGTTTAATCGTCATATTACATTTTAACGTCCTATTTTGGCTGAAGGCATTCAGAAATCCCCACAGGAACTGAAACTCAAATATAATATAGATTCACGAACTTTGAATGTTAAAGGTTCGGGTGTCTGAATTATTTCAACTGACTATTCCCATCCATTATCTATTCTGACTTTCCAAACGAAATCCAAAATACTTTCGGTCAATTAGATGACAGGAGTCTGATCGGCGACATTCCGTCCGAGTCGAAAAACCTTTCACCACAGATGAAAAGCCGTGCAGTTTAATCGCGTTTCGGTTTCAGTCTGTGGATTACCATGTAAAAGCCAAAATAGGACGATAGCGCATCTTTTTAAATGTTATATAGTTAGGATATTTACCAACACGTGAACCCCAACTTTCTTTCCTCCTTTATCATAAAAAATAAACATATACTGTATACTTAAATAATTCATCGTGGAATAAAAAACACCCCGTACTTGAACTTGTATCTGATGCCATGGCTCCACCAACAGTCCCAGATTAAAAAGATGGACGTAGAACCATACAATTCGTATCAATAACACTGAGGGCTTTCGTATCAAGGCATCTTAAACAATTAAAAATAATATATAATAATGCACATATTTATAATTTGCGACAGGCTCGTTGGTGAGGGCTTGTTATATTGCACAGTTAGACGGACGTCTGCGACCTAATACCCCGGAATCCTCCCCCCCCCCCCCCTTTTTTAGTGTTCGAATAAAACTGTGAACGTTTAGTGTTTAGTCTCATTGCCCATTAACGCCCTAAACACCATGCGGACGACGACGGAGGCCTAGCTCCTGACCCTATACAGGCTCGTGGTGTTATGGTAGCAATATACCAACGGATCGTGGCTTCGTTACTGGTTTTAACGTGTTTCTCATAAACTTACAATTTTTCTAAAACATTTCGCACTTTGTCTCGAAAACTGGATTATTTATACACGAGTATTAATATCGCAATTCCGTCCGGGTCACGAACACCGTCCGATGAAAGCTGTCCAGTTGCGACTCAGTGCTTTTAGCAAAATAGTTCGATAGCGCGTCTTGTTTAGATGCTAGAAAGCTGAGATATTTTACCTACCATCAAGTGTACATGATCGTCTGTCTCCCATCATAAGAAAATATAATTAAGACCCGAAAAAAAGTTTCTCGATTTAGAACTAAGGAAAACATTTGTTATATAAATTTAAAATACTCACATATGTTTGTGAATATGTCATAATATGGAGTGACGACTAAATGTAGGAAAGAGGACGTTAGAAGGCAGAGATTTAGGACTTTGTGACTGCAACCAATCTTCTCCACAATGTCACATATGGCTTCGTATGAATGTGCTAATGATCGTATTGTTTTATAATCTCCATTTAAATCTTTTTCTGGAAAACCACCACAATCGTAAGTCGGTGTGTCTTATTTTATATTTCTTATCGTTTAAAAGGTTTACCTGTGTCTTTTAAGTAAAGGGAGTCGATTACACTATTTATATTTTTGTTTTTAATTTCTCGTGGAGGTTCAAAAGAGCCTTGCTGTTTGTCCAGATTATCTGAAAATGTATTTATAGCCTTTTTAAAATTTGAACTGTGGTTTAACTATGACCCACAAAGCACGTCTTAGCAGGAATCATGTAGGATTTTAGTATGTGAAAATGTTACAACCACACAGACAACTAAATAGTGATATAGTATTATAGCGCCTTTTGCGTCCTTTTTGCAAACTACTACTTTTTGTCATATTCGGTGGTCGTAATTGAATATGATTTTTGACATTTTGTCATCAGGATAGAATGACACCATTAGGTGATGTTGCGCGTCCCTAAATTTGACTTTAGACTAGAAAAACAAGTAGCATAACTTAAAGGCAGTTAGTTACATGATATTATAATTGCAATAACGATTCCAAGCCTTATTAGAACAACTTAAATGAGCAATAACATTTTTTTAACTCAATAATGAAAAGTATACCTTTGATATCCTGTAATTTCTCATTTACTTCCACGAAAATATGTTGCACTTGAGCCGCTATTAATGTAAACTGAATTACTATTAATTCGTGAACGAAGTACTCCAAAGAGAAAAATGAGTTCATTACTATCAAATTTACTAAAAAAAAATATATTATCACTAGTTACCAAGTCTAGAATATTCCTTTTTTAAGTCAATAGCTAAAGCGCCATCTCTTATTCAAAAGACGACACTTAAAAATGTATAGATTATTATATCGCTATAAAATAGTGAGCTTATAAAGTTGATCCAAACCATGGTGCCCAAATTCGATTTCCTCACACGTGTCTTTGTACAAATCAGCGATTATAAGCACTGTTACCATACCGAGGTACGCTAAAAGTGAAATAATGTGCTTTTTTTCTGTATGGTCCTGATTTGCGCCTTTAACTTGACATTTTACCTATAAAGGGTACGTTATTTTAATAAGCAACACTTTGAAACAACTCACTATCGTTTTAATTAGTAACAGCACTAGCTTTTGCTACAAATGTGACTTATACTTCATTAACTCTGTTATTTGATAAATAACTCGATGTCGTGCCGCCATTTTGTTTAAGTATTTTTTACGTATGTTTTAAGTAGTAATTTAGGATTTCAACTTTCTGTTACTTCTAATAAAGTTTAGCTAGCGAGTTCAAGTTTAAATATAGCAACACATGTTACACTTAAGCATGCTTCTCCGTACAAGTAACACTAGTATTTTGTTTTAAATTTCCACACACCTTTTCAATTTTGTTCAATGCGCTAATAACATCATGTAGTCTGTTTGGTGCGCCATATGCACCAACACAAGTGATAACCGTACCAAGTACTATATTAGAGGTCCAAACAATTCTAGATGTGACAGTTTCTCCATGAATCGAATGGTCCAAATTAAAGTCCATACAAAAGCCAGCTATGACGATGGCATCTGAATATTCAAATTTTTTAGTCCCGGTTTATTAGTGTTGATTTAGACACATTTGTATGCGCATTATTCTATTAGCAATTTACAAACAAAAGAGTTCTTTTAACAGAACCTAATTTTTTTTCCCCTTATTTGGAACTTCTTCTTAAACATATATTTTACTATTAAGCCAAAAAGGTTTATGGATATGCAGTGTAGGCTACAGTGTAAGTTGTACTTAATAGATGAATTTGCTTCTAGTAGTTTTTTACATCATTAAATTGAAATTAGATACTTTTATGGGTCCACGAGTTTTCATTACCAATGGCTAATAAATATTGCATCTTTATTTTTTATTACTAACTCAAAATATACTCACTCAATATAGAAATGATCACAAAACTATACACGCTATATGATTTTGAAACTTTTACTCCACTTGCTGTGAACTTTAGAGGTGCGACTCCGAAAACTCGACATATTTTCAAATGTAGGCCGAGAGCGCCTCGTATTTTGTAGTTTTTTAAATAACCCTTATCATACATATTTTCTAGAAAGTTATACCGGCTTCTGCCGTCAATTTCTTCGGGCCTGAGTAAATATTTGTATTATCTTCGACAACATTCGAGAACAAACATTTCAAACGCTGTAGTAATTTATTATTCTTGAATAAACATAGTACTGTACGGTGAATACGAAAAGAATATTTAAATTCAAATATGCGTATGCGAGGATGTAAACTTTTTCCGCGTCTTCACTCGCACTGAGTTATATTGTGCATAGTTTAAAATATAAGGATATTATACTTAAGGTAAGTAAATTATACTCTCCTATAAAAAAAAAAAACCTTTAAAACGAATTGAATATATTAGTTAACATATTTAAAAAAAAATAGGTCGTAGTCAAAAATATTAAAAAGAGTTAACTTATATATTTTTCACTTTACCGTTAAAGGGTTTTTACTTAAAATCTGTACTAATTTGTAACCCAAGAACCTCTATTCTTTCTCTCTCCTTTATTTTTTTAATTGTAAATTGTGACTCAATGGCCAACCAAATGAATTAATCCCCAAGAAATAATAGATTTGGGTGAAAAAGACGAATATATAACAAAACCATAAGTAAATTCTACTTGAAAGTCCTTCTTTATTGTTTATTACAATAGGATAATTCAGTTTTAAAGAAATTTCCAGCAACCGGATCCCCGAGGCCGTAAGTTTGCGTGAAGACGTTTATTTGAGGTATAAGCCGTGTTCTTGCTAGCCTGTAAGATTAAAAAGCAAATTTAGCCTTAGAGTTTTTCATCCAGAATATTTTCAAAGGCCTCGCCCCTCAGCAAGTATTATAAAAAAGAAGCTTAGTAATAGAGATTTTTCTGTTTAAACAAGGAAATAATCAAATCGTGTGTGACATTTTTGGGCACATCTTTTCTATTCTACATCTAAGCCATTTAAAAAGATATGAGTAAAGTCAATATTGTTTCGTGATACGTGCGCTGACAAAATGATTAAAAATAATGTTGCATGAAGGGACATAATTACCCCAGAAGATCAATTTGATCAGGGTCAATATACTTTTCTTGTTCGTAGAATAACCCTATGACACGATGCATGCCACTACCCAAGGATGGCATGGCTGGTGAGAATGGAACAGCCAAGTCTCCCGTTGTGATTGAATCAACTCCTGGTATATTCACAACTAACAAATTCACAAAACCCTTGGCCTTTGACATCACCGGTGCATCGATGTCTGTAAACATAAGAAAATCTTTAATATTTAAACAGTTTTATTTAGCCTTGCCCTCTACGGAGTTTATTTATATCGATTGTAAATTGAAAACAATTTCGACACGGGTCGAACTTGAACCGGCATTCACAGCGTTTCGTTAGATTTGTTAGAGCAACCAGTCTAACGCAGTCTAACCAATTGAGCTATTCATGTCATTTTAGCACGGAAAATCAGGCATAGAACGCTGTGCCGGTTTCAGTCCTGCCAGCGTGGAATTTTTTTTATAAGAAAAACGATTAGTCAGATACGGACAGCGGTCAGAAAGAAAATGGCCATCGTTCAAGGAGTCAAGTAACATTATTAATGATGAATTTTAAAATGACGATAAGAAGCTATATTTATATTTGGTTATTATTGACCGACCTATTAATACAAGAGTGTAATTCTTATTTCCTTGTGCCTTGTCATACTGGAACAGAAGTGGATCAATAGCTCTTAGTGGCGATATGAAGTTTCCCAAGTTCACATCAGCGCTAACAAAAGGGCCCTATAAGAAGAAAATAGATATTTACAAGCATTTTTTAAAACATTAATCGGTCAACGTAAAATTAGGCGAACAAACAACAGTCAAATGTATACTCTTATTTTTCTATGAAATCAAACATTATTCACATATGTTAAATTATTTTTTAAGAACACAGATTTCCAAACGTTTACTGGAAGGTCTTGTCAGTAATTTCTACATCATAATGTACTGTTATAGAATTATATTAGTTTTGCCTTGAAATAAGTTTTTGTTTGTGAACAACTGGCATTGAGACGGCACTGCTGAAAAAACAAATTAATATTACCGTAAGAAAATCTTTAGGCGGGACAGGTAGATAGTCCGGGGTGATTTTATCTCTCTTAAAAGCCTCGGGAACGCTGAAACTTGACTTTTGAGATGGTTGCTTGCCCGGGATACACGAACAGTCATTACAAAGTTGACATCTAGCTGTCCCTATAACTGCCAGGCACACTAGGAAGAACCACATGTTTTCGAAAAGCTGGAAAATGATAAAATTAGATTTTTTTTATATGTTCCTCTTATGTTCTCAAGTAGGAACTACACAGACAGGTTGGAAAAAAAATATCGTTACAAGTAAAAGATTGGCAATTGTTTTTCTAAAACTATTTATTTAAAACTTAAAAAAGGTTTTATTGGTGTACAACGAAGGGGTGTAATTTAGTTCTGAATTTAAAAAAAATACCTTTGTATTTTTATAATCAAACACAGACACCTACTCTGGAGATACAACTCAGAATAACGGTTATTATAATTATAATCTTTTGATATAATATACCACTACAAATACCAACCTTCAGTAACAATAATACCTTCAATTACGTAAATGTAACTTCAAATATTTAAAGAGAATGAACAAAAGATCTTCCTCTTATTACAATAGACCTGCGAGTAATAATAACAATGCTACTTTCAAATTAAACTTTTATACATCGTTAGATATGAGAAAAATAAAATATTATAATATATAATAATGATTTTTCTTATCGTCATTTAAATCATTTACTAGCGTATTCCATATAAAGTATTTCGAAATTTGATAAGTATACAAACTTCTTTGTATGTTTATTCTTGTCAATCTTAAAAGATAGACGCGGAGATGTGAGGGGGGGGGGGGACTGAAAGAGTTTTCTCGGCATTGTTATAAATTCAAGAACCTGAAATCTCGTCAGCTGCCTGTAAATAATTCCGATTAGCGAAATTGCCCTATTTCTATGTCCGATTCATTCGTGCCTACCTTCAAATTTCACGAAAGGAAATGTTAATGTAATGTAAGGAAAAATTTACGTGCAATATTTTTTATTTAATGCCAACTACTAGATAATACTTTATTGCAATCACTAGAACAAAATCTTTACTTCTACATTAATATATTATATAAAACTGAAGACTTTGTTTGTTTGTTTGAACGCGAAGATTAGTGAGCCTCAGGAACTACTGGTTCAAATAGATTTTTTTTTCAGCATATATAGAGAAAGGAACTCGCGCTGTGGACTGTAGGAGCAAAGAAACAGCGGGAAATGTGGAAAAAATGGGAAAAATTATTCATCTTAGTGGGTTTCCAATATAAATGTTGCGGAACTGTTCAAGATACGCAAAAGATATGTATGACAGGATAATTCCTGTTGAGTCTATCTTTTAAGATTCAAACATGCAAGAACGACGGGAAGCGACCGACGTTGTGGGTAACGGCTTAAGTTTATAAAATGATGAGGAGGTATGCAAAAACAAATTTGGATGCCCAAAACTATTTTACGTGGACAAAGTCGCTGACACAGCTAGTCTATACTAATATTATAAATGCAAAAGTAACTCTGTCTGTCTGTCCAGCTTTAAATCCGAAACTACTGAACTGATTAACTTGATAAATTTGATACACAGATATTTTAGAGCCTGAGAAAGGACATAGGCTACTTTTTAATGCCAAAATGAGTTGAAAAAGGGGATGAAAGTTTGTATAGAAATTCGTGGTTTTTGAAGCTAGAAAAATGAAACTTTCTTCTTTGGATTGTTGGGAATAGGAATGGGAGTGGGAGTGAGTGTAAAAATGAGAGTAGGAGTTATGTGAGGTGGGAGTGTTACGGCAAAGTAGTACTTAAAACATAGGTTGGCTGCCTTAAATGTACCTTAATAACCCTTACATAAAACAGCCTAAATAATTAAACTTTCTAGCCCAAGTCACTATTCCACGCGGACGATGTCGCGGGCACAGCTAGTACTTAATACAATTGTAAATACATCGTTACTAAACATGATTACTCATTATTTATATTATTGTAATCATCATTAGTTTTATTTAATTAGCTTACGTTACCCCAAATCTAAAGAATAGTAACAGGCTGTTTAAAATCAGTTTAGGGCTAGAATGAAATGTATATATAAAGATATGATTTACATATAGGACCTAATTTTGTTTAGCTTTAGTTTCTAGTAATTACTACTTAATATGAAAAACTTTTTCATTTTCAATTACTTTATTTTTTTAAAACACACAAATCATTTTAATTATTATTATAAAAATTCATACACACAATGTAATTACATAGCTTATGTATTTTAAACCTAGCATGTAGTATTTATGGCAAACCACAATAACTAAGTTCTGTCTGAATAAAATTTCCAGCAACCGGATTTCCAAGGCCGTATGTTCTAGAAAATTTTCCAATGTCAGTAATAACTCGCGTTCTTGCTAATCTGAAAAAAAAGCATTTAATTAGTTCTTTTCAATAACAAAATTGCAATAAAAAGAAAATACTTATTTTAAGACGGGAGCCTTTTTTTAACTACAAGTTGACGTCGATGCATACCATCCTTAGGTTTTTTTTCATATTAACATACTTATTTTTAGATACTCTCTATAGTTTACTCGAGCAGTGCATGTTTTAATAAAGCACTTTAACGGTTTCAAACACGATATATATTAGTTAAATTTGTTTGATAACTTGTCTCCCCGTGACCACGGCAGCTTCAAAGCATCCGTCTTCGGACCAAAGTTAAAATCATTTTAAAAAGTTAAAATAAGACGAGACATTTTTGAATAAGTATGTTAATAAGTTAAATAAATGGAGGAAATCCGTAAAGTGTTTTATTTAAATACTTATTCCTTACTTAAACTTAATCATAGTATGATAGGAACGGGTTTATAAATAACATTTTCCGTATCATACTACATCCATCATAACTCTAGAACATCCCTACATCTGTTCGGCCTGTCCACCAACAAGTCGTACATAATACCGTCCAAATCGTTTAAGTGCAGAGGTAAAATGTTGGCTAGCATTTCGTACCTGGGTAGATAAGTAAGTTATCTTAAGTTACTTTATTGTAGACGCTCATTACCCTGCGGTACTCCAAACCTTCCTCGTTTTTTATGTACTTCGCCCTAACATATATTGCCACAGTTATCTTGAGGATATGCGCTTGGGCTAAAACAGGGTCAATACACTCCTGCTGTCTTTAAACTTACCTAAGAGCGGATAAAGGTGAGTGTGAAATTTGTGTAGATATGGTATGGAACCCTTTGTAGGGAAGTCACATTCGCATTTGGTTTTATACTTACAGCAAAAGACTTATTTGATCGGTATCAATCCGGGATTTTTGTTCGTAAAGTAATGCCATTCCATGATGCAAAGGTACGCCTAGCGCAGGTACGGGGCGAGTTAGGGGCACTGATATGTCTCCACAGAATAAGTTGTTACTATGTCCATTAAAAGAGAGGTAGTTAACAAACCCTCTCCTTGAAATCAAGCTTGTCGGTACGTCCTCATCTGTGTTGCCTAGAAACAAGAAATGCATGATGTTGCTTATTTAGGTAGATTGAAAAATTCGATGATAAGTCTTCAACCCAGGACCGAGCTATCAATATTTTGGTAAGAACTACGGCAACGAACGCTTCATGTAAAACATGACAAATTAGTAATTTTTCAAACGTATTTTTGTGTTGTTTAGTATTCGATTCTAATCTTATTTATTATGATTAGGTCCTTATCGTATTCAGTATTTTTTATTATTTTCTTATCACTGCTAAAGGCCATAATCGTCATGCTTCAGCTTGACAGAACTAGAATCTTATACACCAGTAACTATTTCCACGATTCGACGACGCTTTTTTATTCATAGGCTCCTTGATTGCATATGATCTATGAACAAACATACTATTAAACAAGGATCGACTAGCGAGTTTTTACTTTACCAATTAAGATGAGTGTGTAGAGGCTGGTCTTTTTCGCTTTGGAATATGCGAAATATGTTGGGTCCCCTGCCCTTAAAGCTGGTATAAAATTTCCCAAGGTCACCTGTGCAGTGGCAAAATCAGCCTAAAAAAGTTAAAATGATCTAGATAAAGAGTAAAAAGTAATTTGGATTCGAATGTCTAAAGTTAAAATATATCTATACATAATATATAAATCTGAAGAGTTTGTTTGTTGGAACGCGCTAATCTCAGAGACTACTGGTTCGAATTGAAAAATTCTTTATGTGTTATTTAGAACATTAATCGAGCAAGGCTATAGGCTATAAAGCATCGCTTTTACAAATAGGAGCGAAGAAATAGCGGGAAATGTGAAAAAACGGGGCAAAAATTTAATCTCTGTGGGTTTCCGATGCGTAAAATACTAAAAACGGTTCAAAGTACCCAAAAAACATGTATGAAAAAATGATTCCTTTTTAAATTAACTAAAAAAGGTGTTTAAACATTAACTTGCTAGAAAGACGTGACCCGAGCGACGGGTCGCAAACGACAAGACGCGTCCGATGTCGATGTCAGATAGCAGTTTAAATTTAGAGAGACGAAGAGTAGGTTTGCAAAAACGAATTTGGATGCCCTAAAAATTAAAGGTTACCTCGAGAAAATCCTGTGGAGGAACGGGAAGATAGCCGGGGCTTATTTTATGTTTAATAAAAGCCTCCGGGACACTTATATTCGGTCTTACAGCACTCAAAAATCCAGATAAACAAGTACAGTCATTACTATTAAAACAAGCATTGGCTGCAAAAATAGCTGGCGTTGTAAGGATTATTAAGTAAATTGGAAACATGATTTCGATGTGTACCTGTAAGAAGAAAAGGTCAAATAAGATTCTATAAGTGCTAAATAACATTTTTGAGTAGTCCAGTCTCTGTGTGAGGGGCGCGGCAACGACATCTGGCGTTGTTTAGCAAAGACAATTTATTTTGCTCTTTAGACAACTCAGAAAGACAAAGAATGTACCAGAACAATTGCGTCATAATGAACTTAATAAAAAAAAAAAAACAAATCATTCATTTGAAAATAGAATTATTTCTTACAATATTTATTATACTGAGATATTTAAGGATATTAAATTTAATACTCACTATATAATATTGCCTTTGCCCAAGTACGATAACAATAAATAATTTAAACTTATACCACCTTTTTTTGTTAAGGTGATTTAACAAGAACTAATGTAGCCTGTTGAAGACTAACTATGTCCTAACTGACGATAATTAGGATATTTAATGCATTCGTTTTGTACTATCGCTTTATAATACATTCTTAAAACAGGTTTAAACAAACCCAATGACTTTTTCTTGTGTTCATCATAATTTATAACCTAGGACAAGGCCCCACAAAATCCTCCGGGAAAACAGACGAACTTTTTTTTTTTTTTTTTTGGGTCCTTTTCATCCCTAAAAACATACAATATAGTATGTACTGCGATGTAGTACTAGAAAATCAATCGATAAAAAACTCTTAATTATTTCGTGTTTCCGACTTCGTCCGCTATGATCTATTGCTCCAAATTCGTCTCAAACCCTAAACTTAAGTAAAACCCACGGACGTTTTCCCGTCGTTTTTCAGGATCATCTTAAAAGATAGAAATATAGCGTCCTGAACTTTTTTTTAAATCTTTGAGTTCTTTGATACATATTTTTTTAGTATCTTGAACCGTTTTTGCAACGTACGCCTCGGAAACCCATAAAGAAGAATAGACTCCCGATTTAAATAAAACACTTTAACGGTTTAAAACGCGATATATTAGTTATTATATATAACTAATATATCGCGTTTTAAACCGTTAAAGTGTTTTATTTAAATGTGTACTACTCGCGTAAACTATAGACAGTATTTAGCTCCCGATTTTTAAAAATTGTTTTGCTTTATCTTCGCTTGCATTAGTCACAGGGCGATGTTTATATGCCATCCTCGATAAATGCTCTAATCAACACAAAAATAATTTTTCAATTCGAATCGCTAGCTTCTGAGATTAGCGCATTACAAAACAAACAAACTCTTCAGCTTTATATATTAGTATAGATTGTTCGGAATAATAATAACTGTATTGCTATGTTAAAACCAATTTATTGTAAAAAGTAATTTTTCAACAGATGTGATGACGCTTAAAACACCTTATTTTCTGTCACAGGTTTGTTTGCAATTCAGATCCTCAATTTGATTCCTGTAACGCGACCGAATCAGACAAGCTATTTTGTTAAGCACATCTTCATCATCGGAATCTTCAGAACACGAATTTCCATCACAATAACTTAGCTCCGTTATGTGGAAGTTGCCAGCTACTGGGTTCCCTAGATGGTATTTCTTTGCAAACGCTGTTATCTTGGATATAAGACGAGTTCTAGCCAATCTAGATAAAAGAAAATTGGTATATTAGTATTATTTATATTGCTTTCTCTGGACAAGCTTTTTAGGTTTACATAGCGTTAAGAGAATAAAAAATTTTTTACACGTTCTTGTCAATAATTCGCGTTGTAACTCGTTAAAATTACAACCTTCTCGACGTTTCATCAAGATTCGATGACATCATCAGATATTGTGTATATGGACGACTGAATTTACTTTAATTGCAAGCAAATAAATTTAATTGTAAACTTAGCCTTCAAGTTCAGAACAAACTATAATATATAAATATGATGGGAATTCAAATTCAGTGTCAGGACCTACCGTCAACAGATTTTCACAAAAAAATCCTTGATCGACTATACTGCTGTATTCTTAATTGTATCTGTTACATTCTTAAACTTACTTAAATAAATCCGTCTGATCAGGATCTATATATTCTTCCTGTTCGTACACCAACTGCATTGGACGGTGGATACCTGTCCCTAAGCAAGGAACAGGCGTGTTCAATGGCACAATTACATCACCAGAATTTGTTAGAAAGTTGTCGCTCTTGGGGAGATTTACAATTAATGTATTGATATATCCTTTCTTCGAGTAAACCATTGGTGGGGCGTCTACATCTGCAAAAAACGGTATTAGCTTGCGGCGTTCCAGTAGAAATTTTTAATCAGAAATAATGTAGCGAAGTTTAGATTTTTTACACATTACAAAAGAGGAGCATAACGCTGTTATACGTTTCTCTTATTAATTAAAATATATTTTACATCAAAAATAGTTTTTTCTACAAAAAATGTTTTTACACTTTTCTTCATAAGTATTGCCAGAATTTCCGTGATAAAGCGGATGAGAATTGAAAATAACTTTTGATTCTTAATATAATATACACGTTTCCCCACGTTTCCACCACCTATGGCTAACGCATATACGTTTTTTACGTGGTTTTCTACGATCTAGCTTGTCGCAAGAGAACGAGATTCCAAGTGTAAAAAAAATAGTGATCATACCAATTGTAAGCAACGTGTATAATGCGTTTTCCTTTGCCTTCGGATAGTTAATATTGGAACGGTCAATAATTCTTAATGGAGGAATAAAGTTTCCCAAATTCACGTCAGCAGTTTTGTAACTGGCCTGAAATACAAAATTCAAAGTAAAACCCCGTTGACACATTCATGGAATCCGTTTCACTTAAGTTAAAAAGTTGAATATTCTCTATTGTCACAATACACAAGATGTTAATTTAAAAATCCAAAATAAATTGAAAAATTTTTCGACTCGGGCAGGACTTGAACCGACATCGTCAGCTTTCCGTGCTGTTGCTCTACCAATTGAGCTACCGAGTCCTACACCTCATCGTCGAATTTTTTCAACTTATTGATACATGCACCTCTCGCGCAGTGTAATTTCAACCTTAACACTTGCGTAGTAAGGTTCAATGTTTTATGCTTTGCAGCTTAAGAAATCACGGAAAGCTGACGATGCCGGTTCAAGTCCTGCCCGAGTCGAAAAAAATTTTTTTTCAATTTATTTTCGATTTTTAAATTATATAGTGCCTTCATGTGCAATAACATGTGAAAAATATTAATGTTTTCAAACAAGATGTTTTTTATGATATGGGGTGACGTATAAAGATGAGATTTACTCGATGAAAGGTGAAAAACCCACTTATATAACATCTAAACTAGATATTTTCCTATTAAAACATCCACAGACTGAAACTGAAACGCGATTATATTTCGGGGATTTTTCGTCTGTGGACGGTCAATATCACCAACATTTAATATACAAATTACCAGACAAAGGCCAATATGATTCAAAATATACATAGATGAGAAACACCCTGGACCTAGTGGTGATCGAATCCACGACCCGTTGATTTTTACCTATACATTGTTACTGTTAGAGTAATGAGTCCGTTTTAAGTTAAGATAAGATTTCAGTCCCGCTTTCCCAGGACTTGAACCTACGACGTCTCGTGTTTTGTTTAATATTTTAACTAATTAAATAAAATTAATTAAAATGTTACCTCAAGATAATCTTTGGGAGGAATAGGAACATAATCAGTAAGTTTATACTTTCTGAAAGCTTCAGCGACACTTAAACTTGTGTCTTCCGCCTTCAGAGTCCCAAAAATGCACGTACAGTCATTGTTATTACTGTTACAGCTTTGAGTGTTAGCTTTTCCAAAAGCTATCATTATGAATAGTGTGCAAAGCAACATTGTTAGTTTTAATTATTCTGAAAGCATTTAAAGAAAACATTTTTATGATAAGTCTAAAATTAGTTCGAAAACTTTAAACATGTTTTTTACAGGGTTTTATAGAGTAAAAATCGAATTTAGATTGTCAAAATTTTACGAAAGGTTTTCAAACTTCAGACTTTGTAATTTCATCTTCAATAATATTTTTATGCTGCAAAACACCTTGAGTCCCAAGTGTTAAGGTTGAAATTACATTGCGCGACAGTTTATGTATTTGTGTTATGTAGTTGCAAAAAATTCGACGATGTCGCATAACGCTTATGAAGACACAAGATGACGGAACGTTGTAGATGTGGTTCCAGTCTTGCCTGTGTCGTTAATTGTTTTCAATCAAAATTCGATTTCAATTTATACAAATGAGTCTTAAAAGTTTTAACTGGTTAGTGCCCGAAAAGCAGGTTCGAATGGCGTCAAATAAAAACTCTAGAGTAGATTTTTTTAATTACTTAGAATAAAATAGATTGTTCCATATTTTGAAAGGCTTTCTTACCCGTTTAGAGGATGTAAGAACAATGGTTTGAAAACTATAAAGGCGAAGTTTTTATCAAAATGTATAATGACTAATTAATGTTCCAATTGTATTATCATTACGCATATAAACATGTTATTTATTTGATTATATGCAACTGAATTTTAAGATTAAAGTTTTGCCGAAGGACGACAAGTTTTGAAATGAATAAATTTAAATTCTAGTTCTAACTGACAGAATTTAAAAACTGAACAAAGCTTTCGACCATTTTCGCCCGTCGTAATTGAGAAAATTTGCCGGTATGAGTGGATAATTTCATCCTCCTGATCATGTTATCTTTCTCGAGTCGTAAATTTTGTCAATTTATTATACATTTTTTTATTTATCATCAGGAGTTTGTGCGACTAAGCTAAAACTGTACTAAATTATCTTAATGTTAAAGTTATGCCAATAATATCAATGAAACAAATTTGAACCGTTTCCAGAAGTCTTCGTGCGAGGTCACACAGTTCAACTGAAAAGCACCTGACGGATATACAATAAATCGTTAAATTAATTCTTAGTTAATAATTAGTTAAATTAATCGTTAAAAATTATTAGCTAATGACTTTCATAACTACAAAATATTTTCAGTCAGCGAAATGCGGCAAAAAATAGGAAAACTAAACTTTAAATTAGAATATTATTTTATTTACTTATAATTCACCTGAGAATTAGAAATAAAATCATAATAATTACTAACGCCCTCTAATACTAATGAGGGTTACCTATACCCTCATGACATGAAAAACGGGCTAGCTAGTTGCTAGTGGTAGCATTCATTGCTACCATTCGACCAGGGGGTTACCAATCAACGGGTCGGGTTGGTCCCCGGCGGGTCCAACATGTTTCTAATTTAAAAATTAAAATTTTTCTGAAAATTTATCTCTACTCTGACTTTGTCTGGAAATCTAAATATTAAATGGGTGGTAGGAATATCCAAAATTCCCCCGGACCGCGAACCAACGTCCTCAGATATAATAGACGTCAAGTCTAATCTTATTTCGATTTCAGTCTTTGGATTTCCAAATATCCAAAGCCAAAATATGTCGACAGTGCATCTTGTTTAGATGTCGGCAGGGGTTATTTTAATGGTAGGTGATATACCTATTGTCAATCAGCTTTCGTTTGATCATAGTTCTCTTGTAATTACAAGTCATTGTCATAAAATTGTTTACAAATTACCTTAACAGACTATCTATGCAAAGATATTTAAATTTTATAACAATAAGTACTTATTAAAATGAAACATTTTTGTTATTGATAATAAAATTAAAATTACCATAATTTCGTACATAATTAAATATGGGTACATGTACAATAATTATTCATACATTAGCATAGAATACACTTAGTTTTATAATTGATAACGAAGCGCATATAAATAAGTTACCAGTTAAAATCGAATTACTTATTAACATGTAAATGTCTCAATAAGAATAAAAAAACAAACGCAATTAAGATATTCAATATTATATTTCTTTATAATTGTTGCTTCTGTTCTTCACCTGTAATATTTTTTTAGGTAAAAGCCAGAACTTTAATCCTATCATTTAGGTACCTAAATGTACCAAAAATTTTAAATATTTATTCAATTCGATCATAAAAAATGAGATATCATTTTATTTTTTTGTATACTGACGAATTGAGTTTATTGTTCTTGAAATACAATGATAAAATTGCGCATTTGTAGTTTGTGGGAATTTTAACAAAAAACCAGTAACTTAATAATTAATTCTTTATTATTTACAATTGCTTTTCACATTTAAAAGTAAGAAAACATATTTTTTTGGATAAATAACGATGCTACACATTTAAGACATACGGAATAAATATTTTAATAGTAACTATGGGGCTGCTGCTTTAAACATACAATTTGCAAGAATTAAAAAAAAAATAGTGAGGCCCAATGCAAAGAAAATATAAAAAAAAACCCTTAAAAAGTAAAAATGTTATTTTTAAAAGTATAACCTACTCCCTTATCACCTCAGTCCAATTTCTTCTACTGATGGATGGAATTATTAAAAGATATTTGCTGTCGATCATAGTTCTAGTTTTAACGTAATATTTCTGTTATTCATCGCATTCTGTTCGCGAAATTCAACAGGATCCTGAAATATTATTAAATTATATTCATCATAGAGTATAATATGATACTAGTTACCAAAAGCTTATCTACTTACCTAATCTAATTCAATAACCATTATGTCACGACAAAATAACAAAAATGTTGATTACAAAATTCACTTTTATATGATGTTTTAAAAATAAAGTATGAAAAAGATCATGCTAATGAGAGTAATATTTAAAAGATAAGCTTCGTAAACGTGATAACAAACATATAAATTTGGTTCTTAAATTTTTCACATTCTGGAGTTATAACTGAAATACTATTTTTTTTACGAGAAGTAACATATATACATTTGATTTTAAATAGAGAAGTAACATTAAAATTTGGAATAAAGAAATTTAGTTACCTGTAGTATTTGGTTGAAGAATGTATTAGGATCCCCAATTCCCGGCACAATCGAAAGGGTCTCCACTTTATCCAAAGATGAAGAAGTGCTGAAATCTACTTGCGTCGATACTAACAAAAATACCAGAACAAGGAAGACACACATGTTGAAGGTCGAAGTTAAATTTTCTGAAAAAAAAAATGTTATAGATTCTGTCAAACACATTTTGTTGCTACGCTAATACAATCCCCGTAAAATTATTTTAGCTGTTAGGAGAAACTGAAATAATATCGAACGTGTATGTGAAACATTGCAAGGCGAAATGATAATCGCTAAATAAACAATAAAGAAAGCATTCTTTAAACACCGATGTATTACTTATGCAGAAGAACAATGTCGACAATCCGTAGACTCGCTACTTACTTAACAATATAACGATGCGATAAATAAATCAAAATGCACAATACCTTAGAAAGTGTTGTAGTGTTTAGTAGACAGTATTAGTATAAACTGATTGAGATGTTTCACTTTATAAGATTTAGTAGATAAAAGCGCGCTGAAGCGAAACGAATTCTAGCTAACGTACCATGACGTTATCATTTACTGCATTTCTTATAGCTATCATATTTGCGGATTAGAATAAACAAAGATTATTATTAATTTTAAATATGATTTTATATATAAATAATACTTTTGTCTTCGGTGTTACTGCGTATTATTTATTTAAAAATATTAAGGTAAATACTGTCTGTAGTTTACGCGAGTACACATTTAAATAAAACACTAACGGTTTAAAATCCGATATATATTAGTTAAACTTGTTTGAAAATTACCTTAAACTATCTTTACAATTTTTTTAATAAAAATATATAGAATTAAATTATAAGATATAATACTATAAGTACCGACAAAAAAGATTTGGTTTAATTTTTTTCAATTTGAACGTAATACTAATTATATAAAAGGAAACTATATAGATTATGTAACTTTAAAATTATTTAGGAAATCAATGAAAATTTATCGAAGTGAAAATTAAACAAACATACAAACAAACATTTTAAGATTATCGTTGTTGTAGATAAAAAAGAACAAACTTTACCTGTACAATAATTTCGAGAATTAAATTTAAGATTTCTTTCTCGAAAATGTTGAAAAAGAAATTAACCTTGTCACGATGTTAGATAAGTTTATATTATATGCCTCAAAATCTGACGACGTTTAGTAAGAAACAGTTTGTGACGTTATCTGCATATTTGCTTGCAAAATGATAGTGCAGTGTCCCGATTTGCAGAGCAAAGGAGTTTCAAGTTTGATATCTTATTTGTACATGTCATTGGATATACTGCTAGTATATGTTTAAATGTTTTTAAGGTAACTTAGTTAAAAAAGCTTAGATAAAACGATAATTTTCCAGTTAAGTAGATAGCCGTGCATAACCGATCGTTAAAATACAACAATCTACTGCATGATAGAAGGACACGCTACCCGTGACCTGGACGCAGTGCAGTCTGGATGCAAAAACCCAAATATCGGGACCCAAAGCTTCCGTCTGTCAAAGCCATCACCATCAATCAATATTCAATGTCAAGTGATTGGCGAAACGAACACAGATATATGTCTGCCATTAGCTCAAAATAAGACTCGTGATTGTCTCCGCGACCCAAAGTGAATCTTGGCCTCTGAAACTAAAGAGCGCCACTTTCGCCGATCTTGCGCGGCTGTTTGGCTTCGAATAGCTCGAAATAAATTAAGAGTATTTTAATATAGTGCTTTAGTAAAATTAGAATATTAATCTAGAAACGATAAGGAAATGGAGTATTTTATTATAAAGGAGAAACCTTCATAGGATTTACTTGATGAAAAATGAATACCTCACCATATAAATCGAAAGAGTTTATTTTTATTGAACTATTTTGCCTTTTAAATTTTGATATTCAGAGTCACAAATATACTGAAAAGCGATGAACCTTAACGGCATTTTATCTGTGGAGTTGTTTCATGACATATTATAAATATAGATATTATATTTGCGGACGAAGTCCAATATGATGCTGCTTTACAATACTACAATGAGAACAAAAAACCTTTGGACTCTGGGTACATCCAGCGAATGCCATGCCATAAGATAAGGCCGGTTTGTTTGTTTTTACTATACGAAGATTTATGGCAAGAAATACTGTGAAAATTTTGAAACAAAACATTGAGTAGTTTTTGCTTTTGCTCACGAACACATGAATGTCTCCAGCGCCGTCGCTTCTTCAGCGCTAGAATGAACAATGCATATGATCTATTTCCAAAGCCCAGATTAAAAATGGAGTCGTGATTTAAAAAGGCTGTCTTGTTAACATATACTTTGTCTATCTGAACGTTTTTTTACGTCCTTTAAAAAACCTTCGTGTGAATGGGGTAATAGATCTCACTCTTTTTGTCGTTGATGTCAACAACCAAAGCAAAGCTTGTCGTCCCTTCTGACCGAGGAAGGGGATACCCTGTCGTCCTCAGCTGTTTACGCACTATGGACAAAATTATAAAAAAAAATATTGAACTTGACTTTCATTTAACATTTATGTCTTTGATGGGATTAATTCTATCATATAAATAAGGTTATAGATGACACGATTACTTATACTAAACTGCCAAAACTGTAAAATCAATCGAACCATACACGCATAGTTAAAATCTATAAACATATTGTAAACATTTCATGATAATAACATTAGATAATTGTTTGTCCCATCCAAACTCACTTTGTTCAAATAACATTAAACATATATATATTCGTTTTGTAAACTTATATTTTTTAAACTCAAGTAATATTTTTATTATTATTTCGTCGTAATTGTTGGAACCGCCTTTATTTTAATTAATGTCATATTAATAATTACTTTTTATTTGAGGAAATAAAACTCGTAATTGCAGAAACGGTTTGAAAAAATTTAAACTATTTTGTAATTAAAGTTTTTATATATTTTTTCAAGGATATACTTTATACTTTATCCTCGGGCTTCTTATATATAAGCATGAAGATAAAAATCATATTTGTCTAGAGCTAAGCTCTTTAATCTTTACAACGTCGGTGTGCTTGTTTAGACTATTTTAATGATGTTTTTATTTTCCTTCTTACCATTAATTTTGATATTCAGTGAGGTGTTGGGTGAGCAATGTTTGCAATCGTCCTTAATACTTCCACCGGAAGAAAAGTTAGATGTTGTTGAGACTTTCAAGAAAACTGGAGTCACAGATGACTACTTACCAGTACCTCCGAGTGGAAATTTAGAGGTAAGCTTTACTACATATAATAAAGCAAGAGACGATTTTAGTATAATAGTAAAAATCAAAGAAACCGACAAAGAAATTTTCTCATCAATATAGCATTAGACATCGTATGTCCGTGGTACGTTTGATGTAAGTTGTATAATGTACGAGGAAGTGCAGGAAAGAAATATGTGGGTTATATATTAACAAGCTGATCTCTAAAAGTACTGCACGAATCAATTTTCATCGACAGATTTAGATAAGCTTATTGATATAAAAATTGGATGACAGACTATTTTTTTTTAATCTTTACAGCTTATATTATCTTCAAAGCAAGTACCATTAGGAGGCATAATTTCTCCCACTCTGTCATATAACTTCACTTTACCGATATTTCACTACTCAGGCGTCAAAAAGGGCGAGCTCTACACTATTTTCATGTTAGGTAAGTATTTACTTCTACAAAACTGTTCAAAACATAAACATCATTTACAGTAGAACAGAATTTCTTATCCGAACTACTTAATTTGTGGGTTGTGCTATTTTATTTCGAACATTAACATCAAGTGTTGTATCAATCTATGGTGTACATAATATGTGGTTATTGTAGACAAAACTGTATTTTTATGGGTTTGCTTAGATTTATAAAACGTTAACTTCAATGAGTATTAATACGATGACTTTTTGGTCTAAATTAGTGTACAGAATATTTTTCTTTAAAATTAAGTAAAGTCGATAAATTATAAAGACATAAAACTAAATCCCTGAAAAAAACACGGTAAATAATACAGTACAGTAAATAATAATTAAAAAAACTTTCAGATATTGATTGGCCATCAAGAGACAACCCTAGAGAAAGATCATTTATAAATGGTATAGTAGTTAACAATCCCTCTGACAATTTGTTAGGCGGTGATTTGGTTGTTGCCTTTACTCCAGCAGTACCTGAAGTGAATTCGGGGTATCATCGTTATGTAGCGTTACTGTATAAACAAAATGACGTCATTGATGCTGACACTATGGATATGTTGAAGTAAGTATTTGAAAGATCAGTTGCTTCGTATTCATCAGTATCAGATCAGTATTTCGAAAAGTGTAGAGTTCTAGACAGTCTTGTTAAATTACTTATTTTTTACACCTGTTACACATAAGTATTAAGTTTACGTCACTTATAAAAAAACCGTTATTAAAATTTTACAGCCTCGTTGGTGTAATGGTAGCTAGAGTGTTAGTGATGTAGGTCTGATCCCCATTAAGTCGAACATGTTTCTAAACAATTTTTAATATTTATCTAAAATATGTTGGATTTTGTCTGGAGGTCTGGACATTACTCGTAAATTGGTGGTATGTCGAAATTCCGTCCGAGTCACAAAACACCGTCCACACGTGAAAAAGCCGTTTTCAGTCTGTGGATTTCCAAATATCCAAAACAAAATAAGCCGACCTCGCATATTGTTTAGATGTTATTTGTCCTTGTCTGTCTTCCTCTATCATAAAAATGCTAAGAAGCTGAAGAAGAAAATTTGTCCATCGTTCTTAACATAGAATTTGCAATTCCCTTGGATTTCTAGTTACTAACGGATTAATCACAAAAATTCAGTTTGTGCAAACTTGTCAAATGTTGTTGTTAATTTGGATCTACAGTTTAAAATAAGAATAATTGTTGTACTTTAGCATGAATAAAGACCGAATATTTTTTTTCAGGTTGGCTCGAATTAAGTATCGATTTTCTGCAGTTGACTTTGCAAGTAAATACAACCTCGGAAATCCGCTTGCTGGAACCATGTTTTTCGCACGTTACGTCAGCTGTCCCTAACAGAGATATCTGATTGATGTTAAATAATTTTATAAACAAATATTTTACAAGATTGATTTTAACATACTTATACATTAATGGCTTAGAATAAAATGTTTCACTATGAATAGCTATTATTTGTATTTCGTACCCTGTGTTTGAAGAGTGGATACCCTTACGAAAATGGTCGATATGTGATGGTGCTGGCAATAAGGAACTTATCACAGACATTTTATTATTGGAAAATATTACAAAATATGTTTCTATGAAAAATTTAAGCCAGAAAAAAGATTGAAATTTAAAGTAACGTGAGCTATAAAATAAACTCTTCCAGTTAACTATACATTAGCCATGTATAACCGATTGTAAAATACTACATCTGATGCATGCAAGTACGACGCTACTTAGACGCAGGTCTAGTCTGGATTCAAAGCCCCAATCAATGTGATAAAAAGCTTCAGTCTGTCAATGCACTAAAGTTTGTTCATCTACTTGATTAATTGATCAGTGAAACGTACACAGATATATGTCTGCCTAAAATAAGACTCTCACAGGGATCACTCTCAAAGTGTTTTTGCATTTCAAGTACAATTACGGGATAATTGGTAAACTTATGACTATAATTTAGAATTTATTTGTTGAGTTGCTAGAAGACGATCAAGGAAACGGAAGGCATTTTTAATGATGACGAGAACAGACAATCATAGAACTCACTTTATGAAACGCGATGAATCTTTATTCATTTATTACAGTTTGGAAATCTATACTAATATATAAAGCTGAAAAGTTTGTTTGTATGTTTGAACCCGCTAATCTGAAGGAACTACATAATTATTTTTTCAGCGTCGACCATTTTGTTAGTGTCTAACAAAAGACATATGGACATTGCATACGATCTATTTCCAACGCTCAAAATTTTAAATGGAACTGCGCGATAAGAGACGTTGTGATTTAAAAGCCCAGTCGTGTGAAGGAACTTAGGAATAAACATGGTCTAATTTTACGTCCTTAAAAAAACTCTCGTGTGAATGGGGTTTTATATCTCACTCCTTATGTCATTGATGTTAACAACAAAAGCAAAGCATATGATTTTGATAGGATTAATTCTACGATATAAATAGGTATGAATACGGTTATGGGTGACACGATTACTTATACTCAACTGCCAAAACTGTAAATTCAATCTTATCAAATTGTTTGTCCTATCCGAACTCACTTTTGCAAATAACATTAATATCTCTGTAAACTAATAATTTTGTTTATATTCAACTCAAGTAATACCTTATTATTATTTCGTCGTGATTGTTGGAATAGCCTTTATTTTAATGAGCGTCATATTATTTTTTATTTGAGGAAATAAACCCGTAATTGCAGAAACGTTTGATAAAATTTAAACTATTTGTGCAGGGATATAGTTTATCTTGGGGGTTCTTATATATAAGCATAGAGATTAAAATCATATTTGACTGACGCCAAGCTCCTTAGTGTAAAGATTGACGTCGGTGGTCTTGTTGAAACTATTTTTAATAATGATTTTATTTTTCTTTTTAACATTGATTGTGGTATTCAGTGAGGTGATGAGTGAGCAATGTCTGCAGTCATCCTTAATACTTCCACCGGAAGAAAAGTTAGGGGTTGTTGAGACTTTTAAGAAAGCTGGAGTCACAGATGACTACTTACCAGTACCTCCGAGTGGAAATTTAGAGGTAAGCTTTACTTCATATAGAGTGCATAGAAAGTGACCGTTTTTAGTAGAATAATAAATATTAATATAAGTTGAATAATGTACGCAAAAGTGGAGGAAAGAAATAGGTGAAACATTCTTTTATAACATATTATTATATTATATATTTATTAACAAGCTGATCTCTAAAAGTACTGCACGGACCAATTCACAGTGTTCATCGACAGATTTGGATCAGCTTATTGACATAGAAATTGGATGACAGACTATTTTTTTAAACCTTCACAGCTTATATTATCTTCAAAGCAAGTACCATTAGGAAGCATAATCTCTCCCACTCTGACCTATAACTTTACTTTACCGATATTTCACTACTCAGGCGTTAAAAAGGGCGAGCTCTACACCATTTTCATGTTAGGTAAGTATTTACTTCTACAAAATTGTTCAAAACATAAATATCATTTACAGTAGAACAGACATTTTCTTTATTTCGAAAATTGTCATCAAGTGTTGTATCAATCTATATATAAAGTGTTGTTTGTATACAAAACTGTATTTTTATGGGTTTGCTAACATTAAAAAAAACGATAATTTTAACGAGTATTAATAACATGATGATTGATTTAACATGAACCGATTCCTAAAAAATCTCGTCCTCTAACATTCTCGGACTACCGCCCCATTTCAATTCTCCCCATTCTCTCCAAGGTCCTTGAACGCTTAGTTCACCATCAATTTTGCATGCATCTTAACCAACATAAAAAAGTCTTCCTCGTGGCGTGATCTTACTGCTGGCGTACCCCAAGGTGGCGTGCTATCACCTCTTCTTTTCTCCATTTTTATTAACTCTATCACTAGTAATATTTCTCCTCTCTATCACATATATGCAGACGATCTTCAGATATACAAACATACTAGTCTCGAGGAACTTTCTCTTGCGATCCAGTCTACTAATCACGACCTAAATATCATTACTGACTGGTGCACCCGCTTTGGTTTCAAAATTAACCCAACTAAGACTGGCCGGGTTGACAAGCAAAGTATTTCACTAGTGGTTGTAGACGGTACTATCATTCCTTTCACTTCTGTCAAACGCTTAGGTTTAATTCTTGACGAAAATTTTCATCTGAACCAGTTAAGCAAAAAAAATTATGCCGCTTCACACTCCCTAAAACGATTACAAAATTTCCTTTCCAGCCCTACAAAAATTTTACTTGCTCAGTCTCTCTTACTCCCTATTCTAGATTATACCGATGTCTCATTCACTGATTTAACTGAACTCCAACTTGACAAACCAGAGCCTGCTTTAGAATACGTGTATCCGTTTCATTTTTGGCCTTCGCAAATATGATCACGTTTATGAATTTCGTAGAAAGCTTAACTGGCTCCCAATCCGAACTCGTCGGGATTCTCATCTACTCCATCTCTTCTACCGTGTCCTTTTTGATCCCACAACTCCCTCTTATTTAAAAGAAATATTCATCCTTTTAAGTTTCCACCAGTTAAATCTTCGTTCGATTGATACTCTTTCTTCTATTTGTACCTAAACATAAAAGCTCTGTCTTCAATAATTCCGTCACAGTTAAAGCTATCCGTCTTTGGAACTCTTTTCCCACTAATATCAGAAAGCTTAATCACTCCTTTATTTTAAGAGTCTGCTGTATAAGTTTTACGTTTCCAATATTTAAGTTAATTAGTTAGTAGTAGTAGTACTTATTTTTTCCTTTATCTTTGAACTAATCGCATCCCATTCTTTTTAGTCTAAATAAGTGTACAGAATATTATTTCTTTAAAATTAAGTAAAGGCGATAAATTACAAAAAATATGAAACCAAAGATTCACGTTTTGGTGTACACTAAATAATAATTTAAAAAATTTCAGATATTGATTGGCCATCAAGAGACAACCCTAGAGAAAGATCCTATATAAATGGTATAGTAGTTAACAATCCTTCTGACAATTTATTAGGCGGTGATTTCGTCGTTCCCTTTACTCCAGCTATACCTGAAGTGAATTCGGGGTATCATCGCTATGTTGGGTTACTGTATAGACAAAAATACGTCATTGATGCTGACACTATGGATTTGTTGAAGTAAGTATTTGAAGGAATAGTTGCTTAATGCTGCGGCAACGTTTAAACTGTATTTATAAAAAGTATTTCGAAAACTATAGAATTGAGTTGAGAGACTGCCTTGTTAAATTGCTTAGCTTTGACACATGCTACAAGTAAGTGTCGAATGTAGAAGCGCCAAAGTTTAAAAATAAAGGAACAATAAATTAACTTTTAAAAAGTAATCGTTATTAAATTTTTAGGGGCTGGGTGGTGTAATGGTAATTAACGTGGGTCTGATCCCCACTAAGTCGAACATGATTCTAAAAAAAAAAATTAAACTTATCTAAAATATGTTGGACTTCGTCTGGAAATCTGGATATTACTCGTAAATGGGTGGTATGTTGAAATTCCGTTCCGAGTCAGGAACACCGTCCATTTATGAAAAAGCCGTTTCGTTTTCATACTGTGGATTTCCGGCTATCCAAAGCCAAAATAAGACGGCATCGCATCTTGTTTAGATGTTATATAACTGAGGTATTTCTTACCATCCAGTGAATGCCATGCCGCCATGCCATTAAAATAATAATAATTGTTGTACTACAGCATGAATAAAGACCAAATTATTTTTTCAGATTGGCTAGAATGAAGTCTCGATTTTCTGCAGTTGACTTTGCAGCTAAATACAATCTTGGAAATCCGATAGCTGGAACCGTGTTTTTTGCTTGTTACGTCAGCTGCCCCTAACTATATCTCCGATTCATGTTAAATAATTCAGTATCCATATATATGACTGATCGACTGATTAATCAGTCATAGATCTTATCTCTTATAGTAAAATGTTTCACTACGATTACCTATCACTACTCGATAGGTGTTGGCTATCTATAAAATAAAAAATTTCCGTAAATTTAATGAGTTATATTTATTTTGCCATATCTTTTTGAAACTCCTATTTGCTTAAATGTAGGGAAGCAGAAGGAAGTAATAAAAAATAAAATTATGGACAACAATTACAACAAAATTTAAAAGCATTGTCGTGTGAACATATTCTTAGGAATAGACTTGTTCTATTTCAACATTTTTTAACGTCCGTTAGAAAAGCTCTCGTGTGAATGGACTAACGCCCCATGCACTCCTTTTGTCGTTGAGGTCAACAACCAAAGCAAAAGATATCGTAATATTGAACTTGGCTTTCACTTAACATTTGTTTTGGATAGGATTAATTCTACAATATTGTTAGGTACGAATAAGGTTATTCATAAGATGATACCATTACTAATAGAGAACTGCCAAAACTGTAAAATCAATCAAACCGAACGCATAGTTTATAATCTATATACATGTGAACATATTGTAAACCTTTCTTGATAATTACATCAGATAATGGTTTGTTCTATCCAAACTCACGTTTACGAATAACGTTAATATTTTTGTAAACTTATAACTTTGTTTAGATTCAAAAAAGGAATACTTGAAAAAAAATCTTCATAATTGTTGGAACCGCCTTTATTTTAATTAACGTCAGTTTAATAATTATTTTTTATTTGAAGAAATAAAACTCGTAATTGCTGAAACGTTTGATAACATTTAAAGTGTTTTGTAATTAAAGTTGTAGTTTGTCCACAGGCTTCTTATATAAAAGCTTGGAGATAAGAATCATATTTGTTTAAAGCTAACTTCTTAAATCTTCACAACGTCTGTGGGTTTGTTGAGACTATTTTTTAATAATGTTTTTTTTTCTCTTTCTACCATTCATTTCGATATTCAGTGTGGTGTTGGGTGAGCAATGTTTGCAATCGCCTTTTATAGTTCCACCGACAGAAAAGTTAGACGTTGTTGAGACTTTTAATAAATCTGGAGTGACAGATGACTACTTACCAGTACCTCCGAGTGGAAATTTAGAGGTAAGCCTACATATAATAAAGCAACTTTTCTGTATAAAGATCAATATAACATTAGACATCGTATGTCCGTGGTACATTTGATGGAAGTCGTATTATATTCAAGGAGCAGGAAGGAAGAAATATGTGTGTTATCTTATATATTAACAAGCTAATCTCTGAAAGTACTGCACGGATCAATTCTCAGTTTTCATCGACAGATTTAAATCAGCATATCATTGTCTTTCCGGCTTAATTAATAATTCTTCGACCTTATTATTATTAGTTTGATGATAATATAAGCTGCATTAAGAACTCTTCGAGGAATCGAGGGGTTAACATCTCGTAATGATGCCGTCCCCACATGATGACAAAACGTCGAGAACCTCTTCTCCCCCACGCCGGCCGAACAGCCCGAAAGACAATGATATGCTGAACGATGGCCGCGACAGCCCTACACAATTTATTAGATTAATTCAGCTTATTGATATAGAAATTGGATGACATCGAATACGCTAAAGCGATATAGTAACAAATACTATAGCTTATGACAGAAATACAAACAATCAACTGAAATACTCTAGGGATATATCGCTTTTGGGAAAGTATTTATCTAGTGTATAAAACAGGTTATGCTTTATCTGTGTTATTAATATAACATTAATAACACATAATAATTATTAAACTAAAACTATATTTGTGTATATCTTCTAAACTCATCATTAACATTACTATGTTTGACTTGTTTATGGCCCATGTAATAGAAATTCTAAATTTGATATACAACAACTACTGATAACAATGTTCCGAGACTAAATTTCCTTTAAAACCTCTACAGCTTATATTATCATCAAAACTAATACCATTAGGAGGCATCATTTCTCCCACTCTGACCTATAATTACTCTTTACCGACATATCACTACTCTGGCGTCAAGAAGGGCGAGCTCTATACCGTTTTCATGTTAGGTAAGTATCAACAGTTCTACAATCTATTATATATTTTAGTTAAACTTGTTTGGAAATTATTTTTAACTATGGCCCGACGTTTCGGATGCTTGCAGCAGCCGCAGTCACGGATAGACTAAAGATGGAGGATGTCTCTGACGTCAAAGTAAAATACTGCTACGCTAGGTAGGCTACGAAGTTGGTATTTGGCCGGGTCCTTGCAGAATTGACTGTATGGATTTGGTTGCGGAATTGACTGTTGATTTTTGTATGAAAAATTATATTTTTACGGCCGTTACTTTACGGCTTATTTTAAACTTTAATTTTAACAATAATTACAAGAAGAAATAAGACTATCATATCATTATTTTCAAATTAAATAAGTGGATAAAATATCTTTCTTTTAAAATTAAGCAAAGTTAAACAATAATAAAACATAAAACCAATTTTTTGAAAATACAACACAATATTTTAAAACCTTTCAGATATTGATTGGCCATCAAGAGACAACCCTAGAGAAAGATCCTATATAAATGGAATAGTAGTTAACAATCCATTCGACAATATATTAGGCGGTGATTTCGTCGTTCCCTTTACTCCAGCTGTACCTGAAGTAAATTCGGGGTATCATCGCTATGTTGGGTTACTGTACAAACAAAATGACGTCATTGATGCTGACTCTATGGATTTGTTGAAGTAGGTATTTAGAGACAAACGGCTAATGTTTCAACTGATTTTAAAAACTATAGACTTTTGTCACATGTTACAAATAAGTTTTGAATAATGATTCAGTAAATTAATAAATAAATCTTGTACCATTTTAAAAGTCAAAGAAGCTGAAGAAAAAATGTTTGTCTTTCTTAAAATAAATAGTACGTTTCTGCCATAGTTTTATTCTTGATACTAATATTTTATATACACTTATTTGTCGTAGGCGTTGAGTTTGTAACCAACTTGTCTGGTTCTATAGTCTAAAGTAAACAAAATTGGTGTCTTTTATATAAAATTCCCAATTAATACTAGCTTGACTACAAACCAAATTATTTTTTCCAGGTTGGCAAAATTTAAGACTCGATTTTCCGCCGTTGACTTTGCAGCTACATACAATCTTGGAAATCCGATAGCTGGAAATATTTTTTTCTCTCGATACGTTACCTGCTCTTAAATATAGCTCTGATTGATATTAAGTGATAAAAATATATATTATTCTCTTACAAAAAAATGTTTTACTACTATTACCTATTAGATATGTAACAGGAAGTTATTAAGCCCATTTTAATATTGGTAAACATTAGAATATGATTCTATGAAAAATTTAAGTCAGTATAAAGTGTCTTGTCCTGTCTTTTTGTTTTGTTTTGTCTTGCATCTTGTTTGTTTCGGAAATTATAAAATAAATTTGTTTCATTTGTGACGCATATGCGTCGAGGTTTGCCCACCGTCCCGCCTGATGATAAGCTTGGATGCAGGCTAGTTTTTATTATACTGATCCATTAAATGCTTATTTCGTTTTAAGCTTTCCATACTGAATTATTTTGCTGGACGCATTAGCGACGATAAAAGCGTGTCTCTGGGTAGGTATATCGCCCGGACGATAATTGAAATAATAGCAAAAAGATTACAATGCAGCACATAAGAAATAAAAAGTGGAATATATTTTAGTCCATGCTTTTATTTTAATACGTTCTAAAGAAGAAAATAGCTTTCATTCATCCTTACGACCATCATCCGAAGAGCTGCACGAGCTGAGCTCCGTTACGAAGAAGTTACCAGCTACAGGATTTTTAAGGTTGTATTTCTTCGTAAACTCTTCAATATCTGGAATGAGGCGGTCTCTCGATAATCTGTAAAACAGTTAACCTATAAGCCCAATATTTGTTTTGATTTAGCATTATTATAGATGTACAACTAATTCTATAAGTACTAATGATAGGTTATTTTTGTTACTTTTGATTAAATGGCAAAACGTCTATTTCTTAATAACGACGGCCGAATAGCAAATTGGCCGCAAACGTCTTATAAAAATTACCGAATCTTTACACAATACTTCTAACGGCGAAAACTCAAAATTTTGTACTTAATTTATTAGCAACATTTATCTGTAGATATAAATGCTTTAAAGTAACTATGGCAACGAAAGCTAGTAAGCTATAAACCTGTTACAGACCGTATGTACAGAATATAGTACCTCTCCTCAGTACCTCAGGTACTCAGTACCTGATTACTACTATTTATTTTAAGACTAACGAAATGTTACGCCGGACGTAATTTCGTTACTCGCATTTGATAGTATGGGATGGATAAATCACGCACGAGCCCCGACCCAAATCCATCCCAGTAAAGTAAGATAGATATTATAATATAAGTAGGTATCGTTAGTAAGTAAGTTAGAAAACACAGTGTTATGATTTCTTCAAATGACAGCAATACTACAGAATTACTCAAGAAACATAGTATATAGCATGAAGTATTAGGTGCAACGAGTAAAGTGACGATGTGAAAGTAACGGGTATTCATTGTAATAGTAACGGATACATGTAAACTAACATTTTATATTTAAACCATCAAAAGTAATTTATTAAGTTGTTAGACTACTATTCAAATTGTGAAATACCTTACCTTAACAAATCCAAGCGATTAGGGTTTATAGAACCATTCTGTTCATATAACAAAGCTATGGGTCGATGTATACCACTGTCTAAAGCTGGCACAGGTGGAGTAAAAGGTACCACCACTGAATTAATGTTTAGATTATTTACGTTTATTGCTGATAAATTTCTGCCCTGAATATTCACAAACATTCCGATTACAAAGCCTCTGTTGTCTTTTGATGGCGCATCGATATCTGCAAGTTGTATAAAGTTCTGTTTGAAATTTACGCAAATATTCAGTGAAAGTAAAATTATGAACTATTTTACATTGAAAAAAATATATTGGGCATGGTTGCCATATACTCGTGAACCTATCATCTATATTAACATGCGGAACCTGTTCAATAGAAGGGAAGAATCAGTGGATAATGAGAAAGAAAAACAAAGAAAATAATTAAACTATGAAGGTTTCCGTTACGTGTGCTGTAAAACGTTTCAAAAACAAAAAATAAATATGAAAGAATGATTACTCTTTAAATGATTAAATATAATCTTTTAAGTAATCTTATAAAAAGCACTATTTTTATGGTACTAAAAATGTTTGGAAATTACCAATTATATTTTGATTTGTAACTGACACTCAAATTATAATGATATAGCATAGAGTACCTATTAGAATAAGTGTATATTCTGAAGATGGTTTTGCCTTTGGATAGCTTATAGCGTTCGCATCGACAGTACGTAGTGGGGGTATAAAATTCCCTAAATCTGGATAAGCCGTTATGAAGCTAGCCTGGAAAAAAACCAAACATGCTTTAATCAATTATGTAAAGCTTTCACGGCCATCGTTCAGCATATTATTGTTCATCACAGGAGATGTTAACTCTTCGATTCTTGAATCTCCTGATGATGCCGCCCGCAAGTGTTGGCGAAACGTCGAGAACCTCTTCTCGCTCACGTCAGCCGAACAACCCGAAAAACAATGATATGTCAAACATTCTTCTTTATGATAGAGGAAGACCGACGAGTATGCCGTTCACTTGATGTTAAGTAAACTACCCTAGCCGTATAACATCTAAACAAGATGCGTCTCGACCTATTTCGGCCTTGCACATTCTGAAAACCACAGAGTGCAATCTAATCCTAAACTTAAACTAGACGACTTTTGTTCTGACGGACCTGATCTGATGGCAGTTCGTAGACGTAGGACAGAATTTCGATATTCCTACCACACATTTAACATCCAGATTTCCAGACGAAGCGAAACCTGTTTCAGACAAATTAGAATTGATTCGAAAAATATTGGATCCGGCGGCGATAGAACCCATGATCCGTTGATGGTTAGCCTGACATTGCTACCATTACACCAACAAGTCTGTCAAAAGCTAGTTCCTATTATCGACGACGTCAACGACGTTACCTTTAAAATATATAATTATTTATAAGGTAACGTCGTTGACTATGAACTAGAAGTCTATCAGTATGCAACTCGATACAATTGTTTTTCATAAAAGATAAAAAGGGAAAATAGGTACCTAACGTCTGTAAGTTATATCTTTTATCATCTTCAGTAATTAAATTAAGAATAATATAATTAACCAAAGGTTTAGTTAATTTTTCGAGTACTGCTAAAATCCTGTAGCTAAAATATATGTAGAACTATTTTGTGTCTGTTTAATTTTGCCAATAAAATTCAGGAATTCTAGCCCCTCGTCGTTTATATGTTTGGTTAGTAAATCAAATAACAAACCACTAGGAAGTCTTCTGGTGGAACTGGAAGGTAATCATCAACAATGTCATACTCTATGAAGGCATCTTCTACGCTTAAGCGTGATTTTCTGTTCGCCAGGTAGCCATCAATACAGGTGCAGGAGTAGTCTTTGCTATCCTTAGCAGAGTCATTGCATGATGCGAAAATTATCTGGCTTCCAATGCCTAACATAAACAATAGTAGCATCATGGTAGTTCTGAAAATTCCACAAAACTATCTATTTTTATTAGAAGTAGTTCGGCGGTCGTAATCCAGAACTTATTCTCAAACAACGACGGTCGAACAAATTAAAAACCCAAAAACGTTGGCGAAATGGTCGCAAGTGTCCTGACCAATATAGAAATGAACAATATGAAACTGCGGTATCATGTGACAGTACGCATTATTTCTTACAAGAGGAAAATATGTCACGCTCTTCTCTTACTTTCAGTCTTTTTTATTAAATATGGTTGGGAGATCGGTTACAGAATTTGAGCGTGAAAAAGACTCAAACACACATACTTAAGAATTTATAATCGAGTATGTCACTATTAAACGAATGTATAAATGTTTACTTATATGTAGTTCATTCGTTTTTATTTTTTTTGTCTTCCAATTAATGAAAATATGAAATTCCGTTTCCCTCTGACGATTAGACTTATAACAAATATTAATATTGCAAACAACAAACGTTTGCCGGATCAGCTATTACTCCACAAGAAAAGAGTCGATTGTGTATCTTAAACATACCGTATTTTGTAGAGCAGTCGTTTTAGACAGGTATACGCCGAACTACTTTGAACTGTAATTTTTGTCGAAAAATATTAGCATTTATATATTAACATAATTAAAATTATGCAAGAAACAGTGTGTTACTTTTATCTACAGGCACATTATTAACATAGCCGTTCGTATTATCGTACTTGAATTTGATATATTACAAATTATATTGTATTATTATTCGAATTTGCTTATCTTTAAAAATGTTATTTGCTCAATTAGGTAGTAATACCATAAAATGCTTTAATACCACCACTTAAAATTGCTTATTTAAAAGTTTAAACTTCATCGTGGTATGATACGGTCTTACGTTTGTGAGGTCGAGAGTCAGAGCGAAAAAATTGTCTGTTCTATATTAAGCAAGTCTTGCTTCTTGGTAATGTTTCTTTTTTGACAGAGGAGGACAACCGAGCGTGGGGTTCCACTTGATGGTAGGTGAAATATCCAGCCATATAACATCTATACAAGATACGCAGATCGAAATTGAATTAGCATTTTTATCCATTGTTTATCTTTTGGAGCAAAACTATTGAGTAATACCGATACTGGATACTCACTTGAAACCAAGTAGATGAGAAACGAAAAATAAATATCTCTAGAAAACATTAATATTTTGACATGTTCACATGGAGGCACTATATAATTTAAAAATCGAAAATAAATTGAAAAAAAATTTCGACTCGGGCAGGACTTGAACCATGTATCAATAAGTTGAAAAAATTCGACGATGAGGTGTAGGACTCGGTAGCTCAATTGGTAGAGCAATAGCACGGAACGCTGACTATGCCAATTCAAGTCCTGCCCAAATCGAAAAATTTTTCAATTTATTTTCGATTTTTAAATTATATAGTGCCTTTATGTTCTAAATTGTTTAATTCCTTATTATTAACCCAGCTGATGTCGACCAAAGAAAAAGTTAAGCAGGTACATTTGAGCAATTGATGCAAAATCTACTAATTGTGTTTTTTACTTTTATCAATGCTCGACACTTGCCGACGAATCCTATTATTTTATGATGTCATATATTGGCTAATTTAAAACATTTTAAACCTTCTTAAATAATGTATAATTCACTAAATGAGTTGTCTTCCAGATTACTTTCAAATAAATGCATAGCATATATGTTATTTACTTTTAACGAAGTCATTGAAACATAATCAACGTGTATTTTAACATACAATGTAGGCTTCTAATAGAGTTTACCATGCAAACAAAGTGTACAAATCTATGCTCTCGATCACAGAAATATATAAATCACAATCTTCCACCATTATCTACTAATGGATAGAAAAGCTAATGTTGTATTATTTTTAATTGGTATTGTATTGGTCAGACTGTACGGTGGTGTTTCGATTTGGTAAAAAGGATAAGTTACTCAAAACTGTAAGAACTAAATTTCTAATTTCTATCTTACTGCCTAGCTTAAGAAAATTTCGTCTACCATTAGGTGTCTCATGTTATATTATCGTCGTTACATAGTAGCACTTCCATCTTATTATTGTTAAATAAAACTGGAAAGAAGTATATTATAACGGTTATATTTGATAGAAATAATGTTACATAACTTTTATATGTAAACCTTTTACGAGTTATCTATGTGAGATTACTGTTTTAGATTTACTGACTGAGGTTTGTCTACTTATTTTCCAACGGTATATTATACTCTCGTGAAATAAATAACAAATCGTCGTCTTGGGACGGCCGACAGAATATCTCTAAGCAATCGAAGTGAAACTATACATAATACTGATGTTAGAATCCAGATTCACGTCGTAACGCATTACCTAACTAAGTTGTTAATCGCTCCCCAAGAAGCTATCACTTTACTGAGAATGGACGTAAAAGGCGGCGTTTTACGTGACATTTCGGTCCTAGTTCTTTACTGTCTAAGATTAGTTGGAATGGCGCCGGTTTCAATCAAGCGTATACAAGATGGCTACCGCTTTGATGTTAACCGATTCTATGCAATTTATGGAGTTATTTTGATGTCCATTCTAAGTAAGTATTGTTTTTTAACGTAATTATTATTAATATTAATACCCTTCACGTTTTATTACATATAGTGCCGTCAGTTTAAAAGGGGAATAGTATAGTATGAAAATATAGTTAAGGAGAAATTTATATAACATTATATCACATTTCAACTTATCTAATTCTTGCAGACATATGGCACGTTGGCATCGCTGTCTACGATGTTGTTAATGGGCTGACTAAACATGCTACGGTTTTAGGAAATAATACCTTTCTTGTGACATTACTTTGGCTTTCCGATATAGTCACCTTGATAATCATAACGCAGTTCGTGGCATTAAGGAACATCAAACAAACGCAAGGTGTCATTGAATGTTGTCAGCTTATAGACCGGGTTAGATCTCTTAAAGTTTTTTTGAGCCTGTGGATGTGGATGTGTGTGTGTGGATTCTGTGCATAGGGGTCGTCCATTAATCACGTGAGGCTTGGAAGGGGGGGGGTTAAAAATCACGAAAATAACACAAGGGGGGGGGGGGGCGTAGTAAGATATCGCGTGTATTTATTTTTTTCGTTTTCAATTTCAATTTTTCGTTCGTCAAACGCGCGATTTTTAAGCAAATGGTGTAAACATTTTTATTATGGTCTTTAATTTCAGAATAAAATAAGATTATAGTTTATACCTGTATTTAAATTAAGATAATTTTCAGAAAATTTTAAGATTCTTTGTAGGTATTAAAAATACACGTGATGTTTAGAAGGGGAAGGGGGGGATGTCTTAAACCTCACTACGTCTCACCAATGGGGAGGGGGGGTTAAAAAATTCAAAAAAAAGATCACGTGATTAATGGACAACCCCATAGCGCTTGTCTGTCCTCCTCTATCCTAAAAAATATTGTATTCTCACTTCAATGTATCTTGATAATCCAGTTTGTCCTTACCATTGAATAGTCAGAGCAATAAGCAAATTGGTATTTGTTTCAGATAAAAGGAAAAGTCAAAGTCACGCGTGCCACTAGCGTTGGTTACAAACTTTTTCTTGTCACATTTGTTGTTACTCGAATCACTTTGGATGCAGTCTATATGGTGTATTTGATAGATGCGTATAAAACAACAAGTTTGTAAAATTTACTTAACCTTTTATCAATCAAATTTCAGAATAAATCTTTACTAATATTATGAAACGCTAAACTCAGAAACAATGCTTTTTGTGTTGGTCAGAGGCTTTTGAGAAAGGCTTAAGGCTATAAAATATCCCGCTGCGACTAATAGGAGCGAAGAAACAGTGGGAAATGTGGAAATAAGGGGAAAATTATTCATTTTTGAGGATTCCCTCTCCGTGCGCTGCAAAATCAGTCCAAAATCAGAAAGAATGATTCCTCTTTAAATTATCGGGGAAGGGGACGTGGCCGTCATGCGAAGTCGCTGATATAGCTAGTAAAATCATTTAGGCAAATCAACAAAACGAGTTTTCTCAAAGTAACTCAGTAAGCTGGATAAGTTTTTAAAAACTATTTCTTATCGATATGTAATATTGCAGGCAAAATAAGTTACTTTTATGTAATTTCTGCAACTAAATACGTTATTGTAAGTCTTCTGCAAGTTCAAATATTTGCAAGTTATCTCGAAGTGGCATTGCAGATAAAGTATATCAAAGAAGAATTACAGGACCTCAATGACACATTGAATTTAGGTAAGAACAATATTAATAACATTGCACGAGAAGAGGAGAGACTAAAAACCTGAAGGTATTTTATTTACTCTATGAGTACTATTACACGAGTAAAACATATAAATGTTCAGGATCATGAAACGTCTGTCTAGAATATAAAAAAACAACTACAAGTGGATTAAGCAAGTACTTGTCTCCTGGTTTTACACTTTCACACACACATCAATAATATACTTGAATTTCTAGAAAAGCTCTGAAACTTACAAACCTTTAAATTTTCACGTGAAATAGAAAAATGTATGCCTTCTTTCAGATGACTCGGACTCATCGTATTACGCCCATTCCGTAAACAAAAAACTAAAGCACATCGGAGAATCATTTGAATCGACAAAAAATGCCTTTTCCAAAATGAATGAAAACCATCCAGGCGTCCATGTCATTATTTTATTCAATTTGTTTTGCCGAATTATTTTGGCTTTACATGGCATCGCAATGTTTTTTCTAAACCGCAGTAAGTGCATAGAATTACAAAAAAAATATTTTCAAACATGTCTTAGCATGTTACAATTTGAGCATTTTTTTAACAAGCTTCTTCGATTGAAAACTATATTTTTTTACATGTTATTGCACATGAAGGCTGACGATGCCGGTTCAAGTCCTGCCCGAGTCGAAATGCCTCTCTTGTCGGCCGCTGTAGTAATCTACTGATACCGGTTAAGTGACTCTATAAGTGAAATCCCGTTTCCCCTCGTAGGGCATAGGGCGAACACATTACTGTGTCCGTTTCACTGTTCGGTTTTATTTACAGTTGTTGACCAGTCTTCTATGCCCTGCCTGACCGAAACACTTTACTGTTTCTCCGGGATTCGAACCCAGGAGACCTCTCGCGCTTAACGAATGCTGGGCAACACGTTTAACCATTAAGCTACAGAGGCGGTCAAGTGAGTCTAGAAATATATGAAAATTATTCAAATAAATTTTATGAAGTGAGGTAAACCATACGCTTTCTTTTAAGACATAAACCTAGAGTCGTCTTTGCAAGATAAGATTCCAATATGTATATCTTTTTGCTTTGCGATACATAACGTTGGCAGTATAATGTTGATGATGGAGCCTTTTGCAAACATGGAATATGAGGTATAGTAAAACGCAATTACTAAATAATGTACATACTGATTTCTGAAACATGTTGGAGTTTAAATACTGTCTATAGTTTACGCGGGTAGTACACATTTAAATAAAACACTTTAACGGTTTAATATATCGCGTTTTAAACTGTTAAAGTGTTTTATTTAAATGTTGGAGTTTGTCTGGAAATCTTTATGTTAAATAGTTGGTACAAATATCGAAATTGCATCGTGGTCACTTACCATGTCAAGTTTAATCTCGTTTCGGTCTTAGTATGTGGATTTAAGAATAACAAAATCCAAAATAGATGGACAGCGCACCTTGTATAGATGTTATATGGCTGAGCTTTATCACCTAGCGTCAAGTGAGCCCTAAGCTTATCTGTTCTCCTCTATCATAAAATAGCTAATAAAGCTTATTTGAAATGTTTCGGATGCTTTGCAGCAGCCGTGGTCACGGGGAACTGTCGCAGAGCATCCGAAACGTCGGGCCGAAGTTAAAAATCACTTTGAAATAAGTTTAACTAATATACCGCGTTTTAAACCGTTAAAGAGTTTTATTTAAATGTGTACTACTCGCGTAAACTATAGACAGAGTTTGAGCTTATAAAGCATCAGAAATAGTATGGTTAATTTTTTGGCTGTCTTTTTTTTACTTTTCCTAGTTACGCGTTGTGAAACTACTGCTCGGCTCTATAATGACTATGAAGAATTACGTTTACAACGTTTTCCCTTACGTGGATATGTTTTATAGAGATTTGATCTCCTTTGATTTTACATACACCCCGCTTGGAGTGGTTACTATGCAACGGTCAATCGTTGTTAAGGTTTGTATACGAATATACATTTTCTGTTAAGACAATTTTATGTACTAAAATACTAATTACATGTTCATGAAAATTTTACCTATATTAAGCTTGAACTTGAAAACTTGAAAATTTTTTTAGTTAGACTATGCCCTGCACGACCGGAAATCTTTTAATTCCGATCAATTCTAACACTAACTTACTAGGCAACACATTTAATGATTTACACACGATTCATTAAAGTTAATATAATAAAATAAATACGGACACAATAGATCCTGAAGGTTAACCTTATTTAATTTTTCAGGTCATTGGCGTTGGAATAACTTGTATTGCAGCAATAGTACAATTCCAAAAGAAGAAATAAGTATATAATAAGTAATGTAGACTAAGCTATTTTGAGAAAATTTGAATATTATCACATGTACATACGAATTAAAAATCTAAGCAGATTGAAAAAAATATAACGCCAGCAGGACTGGAACCACCTCAACGGCATCCACAGCGTTCTATGCTGCAGCTCTAACCAATTAGAATTATATCTAAATAGATTTGTAATTTAGGCTACACTTATTGCTAAATCGGAAATATGTCAATAAGCAGAATTTCACCGTGTTCTTTACGAGAAAAATTTGTGCACATTTATTGACATTTTTGGCACGTATTCCTGTTTATTCTAATATGTATTTACTGACTTATTAATAAAGGCGTTATTTGAACCAGGCGTGAATTTATTTATTTTTAAGTAGAAAACAGAATAGTAACTAAGTTGATAATGATTTTATTAACTTTGACTAAGATTGATGAGTTTATTTAACTTTTAAGATATTTGACTAATACAGAAAATTATAATCAGCAAAGCAAATAAAGACGTTAAACAATTCTTTCACAACAATCCAATAAACGTTTGGCAAAGTTTAACGTTCCTATCGCTAAACTGCTTCGTTTGAGTTCATATGTGAAACATCTTTACATTGCAAGTCTCGGGAGGGAGATCAGCAGAAAGATTAGGACTAAGATATAGTAGGTACTAGCTGCGCCAGCGACTTCGTCCGCGTGAATCGTTATTTTGGGCATCCAAATTAGTTTTTGCAATCCCCGTCATCTTTATAAACTTAAGCTGTTAGCTACGACGTCGATCGCGTCCCTTCCCGTCGTTCTTGCAAGCAAAACGTATAGCGTCACGGACTTTTTTTAGATCATTCATCAAAAATAACAATTATTCTGTCATATACAATTTTAGGTATCTTGAACCGTTTTTGCAGAAACCCTACATAGATGAAGAAGTTCCCCCGTTTTGTTCACATTTCCCGCTGTATATTCGCTACTTTTAGCCACAGCGCGACATTTAATAGCCTAGCCTTCCCCGATAAATGCTCTAACCAACACAAAAGGAATTTATCAATTAAATCCCGTAGTTCCTATGATTAGCGCGTTCAAATAAACAAATAAACAAACACACAAACTCTTCAGCATTATATATTAGTACAGATTGGTGTTTTCTTCGCTTATGTGAGTTATACATACTAATTATATAAGTTTTACATACTAATCCTATCCATCATGTGTTGTTAACAATAACCATTTAAATAAAACACTTTAACGGTTTAAAACGCGATATATTAGTTAAACTTATTTGAAAATGATTTTTAACTTCGGCCCGACGTTTCGGATGCTTTGCAGCAGCCGTGACCACGGCAGTGTTTTATTTAAATGTTGTACTACTCGCGTAAACTATAGACAGTATTTAACAATAACCATATCAATTAATAGAAGGTCCTTATCAAACTTTAATCAAAATTTGACAGTGACCTTGTCTACAAAATTGGGGTATTTTTTTCACGATGGTCTATTTTTCGACATAGTTGCTTAAATTGCTCTAAAAGATCGACATTATCATAAAAATATCTTATATTTTGTTTTTACTTTCTTTTATAGTAATCTATAATTTATTATAGATTACTATAGCTATAGCTGAAACACGATCATTATGTAATATTTCATACAAAGTAGTAATTACAACTCTATCGAGTGTGTCATACAAACAAAGCGTACAAATCTACGCTCTCCATCGCATAATTCAAATAATACACTATAATCTCTCGACATTATCAAGTAATGGATAAAAAAGCTTGTTGTTGTAATTTTCACTTCTGTTAGACTGTACGTTGCTGATTACCGACAGAACAAAAATACATAAAACCGTAAGTACACTACACATTTGTATCGTCGGTGTCAATTCAATCAATAATTTAAAAAATGCTATGCAATGAAAAATATTGCAATAATAAAATAAGCCAAAGGAAAGCTAATTTCAGCTATAAAAGTACTCGATTCAATAACCATGGAGATAAAAGGTGGTGCCTCACGTGACATCACAGTCGCAGTGTTTTACTGTCTAAGAATAGTTGGGATGGCCCCGGTCTCGATCAAACATTTACAAGATGGCTACCGTTTTGCGTTCAAGCGCATCTACTCTGTTTACGGAATCATTTTGATTTCCAGTTTGAGTGAGTATTAGTTTTAACGACTAATCAACAGACTTATAAAAATGTAAAATGGCGTTTTTCTCATTTGGCGTACACATTTCTTACCTGAAGAATGTAGATGGCGGCTCTGTGTCCTGCCCGACCGAAATAAGTTATTGTTACCCCGGGTTTTAAAATAATACTTCTTGCGTTAACCACGATGCTTGGCTACACGTTTAATTATCCATCTACGAAGGTGGTCATCAGCTCTATAAGTTCCCAGTGCTAGGGCTCATTTGTGTTCTAACAGGATGTAATTACTGCTGGCCAAATGTTGATAGATAAGACACATAATATTATTAGAATTACGACACACCGGTTTCTCTATGATGTATGTATGAGTGTAAAGCTTTAAGTAACCAATGAAATGTTTAACCTCAAATAGACCACGACAAACTGACTATTATTACTATTGCCATTGAAATAAATGAGGTCTAATAAACGTTGAGAGTCATCATCAACGATGAAGACTCTAAACGCAATTGCATTTTAGAAATGTATTTTATGAATTTAGTCAAACTTTTAAGCAGAGAAAATACCACATAGTTAAATAATATATTTATATAAAGCAGTCTCCCCGTGACCACGGCTGCTACAAAACATCCGAAACGTCGGGTCGAAGTTAAAAATCATTTTCAAATAAGTTTAACTAGTACATCGCGTTTTAAACCGTTAAAGTGTTTAATTTAAATTTAAGGACATATCAATCTCTGAGAATTCCTGATAAGATGAGTGAAACGTACAAACAAAACGTAAAAACATAAATTCAACTATTCTTGGCAGATATAGGGCACATTTGTATCGCTGGGTACGATGTCATAAATGGACTGAAGAAGGAACCGACCATTTTAGGCAATAATACCGTTCTTGTGACGTTGCTTTGGCTTTTCGATGTAGTTACCTCGGTTATGATTACTCAGATTGTGATACTAAGAGGCATGAAACAAACGCAAAATATCATTGAATGTTGTAAGAAGTTTGATGAGGTAAGATCACTTAACTATATATTTATAACATGTTTCTTGATAAGGTACTCGCTGCTAATACTGACTGGGAATGACAATAATCTAGGTAAAATTGTTTGTCCATTAATAGGGAGATAAAATTCCTTCGTTTTAGCAACATCTCTTTATTCCCCAGCTTTCCAATGTCTTATTTAACAGTCCGTAAGTAGAACAATAGCACTGAACACTGACAATGCCGGTTCAAGTCCTGCGCGAATCGTATTTTTTCAGTTTATTTTGAATTTATACAGTCCGTGAGTATGTTATTCTATTTGTTTCAGATAAAAGGGAAAGTTCAAATACCCCGTTACACCAGCATCGGTTATAAAGTTTTTCTTGTTCTATTCTTTCTTTCTCAAATCGGTTTAGACGCATTGTATACGGTCGGTTTAACAGATACATATCAAGGGGAAGGTATGTTATTATTTACGCTTTTATATTATTCAAGTTTTTAGCTTAAATTTTAATATTCGTATATTACATATAGTCTAACCACAACAAGGTGAGTTATTAGAGCGGGTCTAAGTGTACACTTTAGAGGGTTTTCGCTGCCATTTTGTATAGCAACTTGAGTTTTTAAGCTACATGTCCGATGTAGAACATGGTCTCCTACAATTTCTCAATTAGACAAAGGCAGCTACTTGTCCACCAAATTAAATTATAAACAAACATACCCAGTCAAGAAATTTCTCATTTATACTGTTAGTGTAGTATTTTTGTGGTAGGTACCTATAATGTGAGTATCGTACACCAACTGTACCGGCGACTTCATCAGCTTTAAATTGTTATTTTATGCATCAACAATATTCTTTGGCTTACAACCTCCTCAGCTTTTTACATTATAGGTGGTATACACCCACGTGGTCGGCTGCGTCTCGTCGTTCTTGCGACTTAATCTTAAAAGATAGATATAGGCTATCGCGGACATTTTTTAGATCATTTTAAGAACGCAGCAAAACTATTTAAGAAATTCTTGAATGGTTTCCTTCGATTAGCTCGTTCAAACAAAGAAACAAACTCTTCAGCTCTATAATATATGAATAATATGCATGCGACAAAACTTGTAATTAATTTAAATATTTAACTATCATTCACAGATTATACATTACAGACTCTATTATATTGCCTTACTTTCTCTGCTGTAACTAAATACGTGATAGTATGTCTCCTGCAAATTCAAATGTTTGCGAGTTATCTGGAAGTCGCGTTACACGTAAAATACGTCAGAGAAGAATTACAGGAGCTCAATGACACATTGACTTTAGGTAAGAACAAAAATAATAGGGTTGGAAGGTAAGAGAAATGAAATAAACATTATTTCTGTTACAATTATAAGTAGGCGCGTAACATCAACGAATTTTGAAATGTACGTCAGAAAAAGGCAATGTATAACTATCGGCACTGTTCATTAATACAAGTGATAAGGATAATAATGTAACTGTACCAATCAGAAGGATCCTAAAAACCATAAATAATTCTCGTAGTATTTTAAGAAACTCCCAGGTTAAGTTCTAACACTGTAAGTTTGAATCGTATGTAAAATCCAAAACAACTTGGCAAGGGTCATTCAATATTTAAATAATAACAATGATTTGAAGTTTGAAAGGACCCACGAACAAGAAAAAGGATGCATAAAGACTTTGGCCATAGAACTTGGCAATTTAATTAGAAATTCAGTCTTCACTTGCATTGATGTTCCTTAAAAAACTTGAAAAAGTATTTTATATGAAAAAAGTTATAATTTTTTTTAGATGACTCCGACTCGTCTTTTTACGTCCATTCTGTAAACAACAGACTGAAGCACATCGGAGAAACGTTTGAATCGACAAAAAATATATTTTCCGAAATGAATGAAAGCAGTCCAGGCGTGCATGCTCTCATTTTGTTAAATTTGTCTTTTAGACTCGTTATCAATTTACATGGGATCTCTGGATTTTTGATAAACCCCGGTAAGTTTTTTTAACATAATAATAATATTTTTAAATCGTGTAAGGCTTTGTTTAATTACGAGCGGACGGATCTTAGCTCCTCGATTGCTCGAAGAGTGGTCAATCTTCGCCGATCACGAGATGGCGAAACGTCGAGAACCTCTTGTCGCTCACGTTGGCCGCAGAGCCAGAAAAACAATAATATGCTGAACGATGGCTGTCAAAGCCTTACACAATTTATTGAAGTCAAACATGTTGGACTGTTGCTGCTAATTTCTATTTAAAACAGCGAGCAGTAGACATTTAATAAATATATTGTTAGGGGTGTATGTGGTTATATGAATTGAAATTGTACATTATAAATGCTGTCTATAGTTTACGCGAGTAGTACACATTAAAATAAAACACTTTAACGGTTTAAAACGCGATATATTAGTTAAACTTATTTGAAAATGATTTTTGTGAATGTGCCGTGGTCACGGGGAGACCTGTCTCCCCGTGACCACGGCTGCTGCAAAGCATCCGAAACGTCGGGCCGAAGTTAAAAATAATACAGAGAGCCGCGGTAGCCCCTATAGTGATTGACTTAAAGAATTGGTTAATACATAGATTTTTTATAGAAACAAACTTTGACCCATCTTTGCAAGATGAAATCCCAATGTGGATATTTGTTTGCGATGCGACACATATTATCGTTGGTATAATGTTGATGACACAGCCTTACGCAAATATGGAATGTGAGGTATAGTAAAAACACATACACTATGCTAATATAGAAAAATAGTATTGAAGAGATCTATAGCGCCTTTTTTCAAATGTGATTTATTTCCCGGAACTAGAACCTAGGTCCTCTCATGCGTAGTATAATATGTTTTTTTTTAATTTCTAGTTACGCATCGTAAAACTACTGCTCGGCTCTATAATGACTATGAAGAATTACGTTTACAACGTTTTCCCTTACGTGGATATGTTTTATAGAGATTTGATCTCCTTTGATTTTACATACTCCCCGCTTGGAGTGGTTACTATGCAACGGTCAATCGTTGTACAGGTTTGTAAATGAATAGTTGTTTACTATTTACGTTTGTTGTTTTTATCGATTCTCGTTATATATTTAAGTGATTGTCATAAAACGTCCTTAGAAAAAAAGGTAAAAAATAAGGATGGAATATGTGAAAGTTACTCAACAACATATTTTTTAGAATTTCGGATTTTTATTGACTATTCTAGATTTTTTGTTGTTAAAAAACACACACAGCAACAAATGGAAAAAAATAAGGATGCAGCATATGTGTTGTGTACCACTTTCTTATATTACGCGATACCTACCCTTTTTTAGGTTATTGGCGTTGGAATAACTATTATTGCAGCAATAGTACAATTCCAAAAGAAGAAATAGATCATCTTAACTAATATAATTACCTATATAATAAGCACGATTCCGTTGTGGCTTTTAATTCAATTTTTGCCTTAAGATTATAGCACGCTTATTAATAAAAAAAGTTTTAAATCTCGTATGACTTTTTATTGTTGGCGAAGCATAGTTACTACATTATGGATAAGATTAGTTTTCTGAATTGTTATGAATAAAAAACATGTTTCACCAACACAGACTATAATTTATGAGTACACATATACAATTAACCAATAAGCACACAGAAAAGTTTTACATAGTTACCGTTGAACTGCTGCATGTAATTTCGTATGTTTCACACAAATTGCGTTTTTCAAAATCATCCAAAACATCTTTACTAAGATGTCTATTTATAATAGCAGCGCATTGTAAGTCTTGCGAGGTAAACGCCAGAGGAGCGTTAAGTTCATATTCAACAATAGGCTTCAGAGAAAATCCCTTCAAAGAATCTTCTCCAACTCTATCATCAGAAAGATTAGCTTTAATCAGGATAAGCGTTGATCGCAAGTTCTTTGGTATCGGTCTATAATTCTTTACTTGGCTAATACGAGTATATGTACCTTCAATCAAGTCTTTTGCATATTGTGCTGAATGGTTTATTTTTCCGATAAACTTTCGGATGCTATTGTCTACTTTTTCACTCAGTGGAGTGTTTCGCTGGAAGATATCAGTGACGATATCCGTATCTACTTTAGACATCATTTTCAATAGATGCTTCGTAATAGCTCCTTTGAGACAGGTTTCATCTTTGTACTCACTTAATTGTAAGTCGATTTGCTTTTTGATTTCTTTAGGAGAGCCGCCGAGGCAATACACTAACCCAGTGAGACCTAAAAGTAAAAATACTGTGAGTCAAGATTCAAAAGTCGGTGATTTTTGTATTATAGTATAGCTTCTGTTTTTATGCTATGAAGTATATATAACCCAACAACTAACCTTTGCTTTCAAGAATTGAAGCCATTTCTAGAGCAATGCATACTCCAGATTCATAACCTAGGAGGTAGAAGTTCTTTAAGTCCGTTTGATTAAGCAATATCTGAAACGAATCAAACAAGCGTTAAGATATTCGTTATGTGTATTTCATAAGCAAGAAAAAGAGATCGTGTTTAGTGGACATACAACGGGTATATAATGAGGCTTAAAGTGAAATTCCGTTTTGATCTCGGGCACAGGCAAGTTGATCAGATTCTGTCCCATTCCCAACCATTTTTAACAAAAATGCTTAACCATTCACCTGTATATGAATATATTATAGATATATTTGAATAATAGAGGATATAAAAATTTTAATATCATACCTGGGTTAGTCTTTCCGCTAACTCCTCAAGGGTCTCGTTAGGTTCCCCCAATTTTGGTTGAAGCACCATCGCGGGTAATTTCAATCGCTCACACATTTTGGTAAAACGTTGATGATGTCCTTCAATACCGGGGACTATACACAGGAATATCTGGCTTGCATCAAACTCATCGTGCCGCTGGAAAAAAGGAAGTCGTGGTTTGAGTGAAACAAGAGAATTTGTGTATTTTTTTATGGTAAGCAATCTATATACCTATCTCATGTTGTGAAATTTTTATTCATCTTTCGAGCAACTCATTATGATTATCAATTGATCTTCAAAGTATTGTTTTCTTCTAAATTTTACTTACCATAGCAGTGGTATTTGTCATTGTTGGTAGAAATACCATCTCCGTGGTAGCTAAAAGTTCATCATTGTCTGCATAAGATAAGAATGTGTCTAAACCTTTTGTATCATAGAACACTTTTTCCGTTGATAAATCCTCGAACTTTTGTAATCTGTGAAGATCGGTAAGATGTATGATCTATATTATATTACATAACAGGTGTATGTATTATAAAAAGGTTACGCTGTACACATGTATCAGTATCCCGGCCGGGTATTTTTCTATTGCAATCAGAAGGCTCGTGGGTCAAATTTATCAACGGGTTTAAACCAAATCTGTTTTTTAAATGGGTAGTATGAATATCTAAATTCCGTCCGTTTCACGAACCAGCACAGATGGAAAAGCCGTAAAGGTTAATCGCGTTTCCGTTTTCTTCCGTAGATTTCCGAGTAGCCAAAGGTGGACATCGTATCTTGCTTAGATGTTATAGGACTAGGCCCTAGGATATTTCACCTTCCATTTAAATAAAACACTTTAACGGTTTAAAACGCGATATATTAGTCACGGTCACGGGGAGACCACGGCTGCTGCAAAGCATCCGAAACGTCGGGCCGAAGTTAAAAATCATTTTCAAATAAGTTTAACTAACATATCGCGTTTTAAACCGTTAAAGTGTTTTATTTAAATGTGTACTACTCGCGTAAACTATAGACAGTATTTAATTTCACCTTCCATCAAGTGAACTTCGTGCTTGTCAGTCCTCTTCAAAAATATATTGAGGAAGCTAATTAACAATTAATTTTATGGATTGTTTTAAATCGATATATACAAACCTTTCAAACGTTAAGTTCGGAACCTGGTCCTCATCCAAATGTATATAATACTTATCTCCCAGGAATGTGCGTATTGCTTGAGATTTTACCAAATCCATACCCAGATCTATAAAGGATGTGGTTTCATCTACCGTTTCTGGTATCGTTACTCCTTAAATGTAAAAAAATATCGACGTACATAAAACAGAATATGACTATTGTAAAAACAAAATAATTAATAAATTTGTGACTGACTTTATATTTTACATAATTTTAAAAAGTTTACATAAAATTTCTTTATAAGTAATTTTATTGTAATTAACGTCCCGCATTTTAAGTATTCCTATAAGAAGTAAGAAAGCAGAAGTCCTGGCTCCAAATTTGGGGTAGAATAATTTTGTGCGGGTGGTGCAGAATCTGATCAACAACTTTTCGTGAAAATATAAGTGAGTGGAAGAGACAACGGGTCACAATCATAAGGGTATTTTATTATGAGAATGTAGATAAATTAGTTATTCTCAAGAAGTAAGATTACCACACTGATAGATAAATACGACTAACCTGCTAAAACAGCAACTTCTTTACTTAATGATGTATTTCTTACTGGTATTTCGGATGTAATTATGACGTATGGTGATAATAATGCACGTTCGATAGTTTCAATTGCGGATTTAATAGATATTGTACGTTGCTTATGGGGTTCATCCTAAAATATATATTTTTTGTAAACAACACTATATTTAGGCTTAATAGGATATAAATAATTTACTTCAATAAAACAATCCAATGATATAAGATTATACTCAGTTCAAAAATCAATTTCTAGTTTTGATTACTAAAATGATTTTATTTCACCCCCCGGTGCAGTAAAATATGATTTTGTCACTTTTGCTCCAAACATTTGTAGAAGTGATAATTTAATTCTTAGGTAAATTTTTTCAAACAATTTCATGGCAACTTCCTACTAAAGAATTACTTAGGCAAATGTTTATAGGCTAGTAAAATTATATCTTACAGTGCATCTTAAAGGCGGTAGCGTCACATGCATAGCGGGTAGAAGACTCTTGCTCCTCGATACACAAATGTCTTGCCCAATGTGGCTTTCTTCATTGATTATTGCAAAGTATCTGTAAAAATAGTATAGTTTACAGTTGTTATCAATAACTTATCTTATTATTATTTAAAAATGTATCCTTACCTTAATTTTGTACAACCCTTTTGCGTGTTCTTATCCAAGTTATCTAAGAACTTAGTAACTTTTGCTGAATCACTCTTCTTTGTTACGATTGTGTAAATACCCTCAACTTGCGCTTTTATTGGATCATCAAGGATTTCAGAAATTTTGGATATATTCCAAATGTCTTTTACAGTCACTTCCACTCCAACTCCCAATTCTTTCCAAGCCCTGCCAATTTATAAACTCCATTATTATACGCTCGTAAAAATGGGCACTTATATGAGTATCCTCGAAGATAATGATGTAGTACATATATTTATGTTTATTAAAGGTATCATAAAAATAGTTGTAAATAATATTCAAAAACAGATATTAAACTGAATATTATTAAGTGATAAACAAACATCCGCAATAATAATCTGCAACGATATACATATTTTTTTTTATAGAATAAGTATTTAAATAAAACACTTTAACGGTTTAAAACGCGATATATTAGTTAAACTTATTTGGAAATGATTTTTAACTTCGGCCCGACGTTTCGGGTGCTTTGCAGCAGCCGTGGTCACGGGCAGACTAAATATGGAGGATGTCTCTGACGTCAAAGTAAAAAATTGCTACGCTAGCGCCATCAGTTTCGTCGAAGTTGGTATTTGGCAAAACTGGCTCATTTCCAAATAAGTTTAACTAATATATCGCGTTTTAAACCGTTAAAGTGTTTTATTTAAATGTGTACTACTCGCGTAAACTATAGATAGTGTTTAGAATAAGTATGTTGAATACTGTCTACAGTTTACACGAGTATTACACGTTTAAATGAAACACTTTAACGGTTTGACACTTATTAAACTTGCAGAAATTTACAAGCAACTTTATTGTGATTATACTAAAATCAAGTCGTAACTACAACTCTTGATAGTTATGAACCCAACAACTCATCCAAAGACTAAAGATATTATAAATCTTACTTGATCTTGTACATTAAGAAATTAGAACCCTTTGCACATATCAGTTGTATCTTCCTTGCACCTTCTTCAACAAGACGGCCGACGAATTCTATCACTAATATATCTTCGTCAGAAATAACAACATGGTACTTGTCAGGTGAGACGCTCAGCCTATAAAATATTTGTTATTTAACACCTGAGAGATTAGCATCATGAATGTAAAATTTTTCACTTGTTTTTGTTAATCAAGGAAGGTTTTTGTGTGATCGTCTCTAGTATATCAGAACTCAAACAGACCGGTGATATTACGGAAACCTGGAATATCTCCTCATGATCAATGCTGGGCAACGAGTTGGACTATTAATCTAAAAAGTCGACTTAAAACAAAGACAAATAAAATTTACAAAGCCTTATTTAAATATAGTTATCATTGGTATAGAAAATTAATAAGTACATTTGACAGTAAAAAGTATTAATGTATACTAATATTACCAACAGATTGTTTGTTTGAACGCAGTAACTTCAGGAATTACTGGTTCAAATTGGAAAAATATATTTGTGTTATTTAGACCATTTATCGAGGAAGGCCACCAACAGCAAACTATACGGCAAAGAAACAGAGGGAAATGTGGAAAAAAGGAGAAAAAATATTCCAATTGCGTGCATTGGGAAAACGGTTCAAGATAACCAAATATATATATATTAAAGAATTAATTTCTCTTGAAAAAAAATTTAAAACAAATGTCCGCAATAGTCCGAGTATCGTTTAAGATTGACGCGGACGAAGCCACTGGCACAACTAGTTACGAAATAATTACCGAGTTTTATATGCAGTTATCTTTTGCTTCATGTTGATAAGGACACGACCACGATGGTTGCTAGCAGCTACCAGGCGGAAGGCTCTTGACACTTCTTCGGGGTTATAGACGACGCGTGTGAGCGGGCGGACATACCCACGAGCTATGCCTTCGCTTACCAGAAGTTGTAGGAGCTAAAATTCAATTAATTAATATAAAAAATAATTTTGATAGTTATTCAAAAATGCAAGTACGATAAAAGTCTAATTTGTAGTTGTGTTGTTTCGTAGAAATTATAACAGGACATTGCCGTCTAAATACACATCTTACAATAATAGAAATAGGTAGCGACCCCCTATGTCCGGAGTGCAGAGAAAGTAAAGAAACAAGCATCCATCACTCACTGAATGCTCCGAGAGTTCGATAACCCAAAAACCTTGCAAGGAGAAAATGGGGAAAGGGGTTAAATGGTCCGCTAATGGTGTGGACTGATCACACGGCCTTCTATGGGTATCTCCGATAGAAAAAGTGAATAATTAATATGAGTTGTTTTATGTGAATCCTATGAAAGTTCAACTTACTTTCAAATCTCCTTCGTGCTCTTTTTCGAATACCGGAGAAAAGTCTATAACTTTAAACGACCTGCTTTTCGTCATATTGTACATTCCGTAAATGAATTTTTCTTTGTTTTTCAAGAGACTCGTATCAATCATCAAACCTGATGCGGCACAGCATTTTAAGGATATCTAAAAGAATGTTAGGTGAAATAGTTAATAATTACCAATAGAATAAAGTAGTTTTTTTATGAGAGAAAACAGACAAGTATGGGGCACAGTTTATATTTAGATCAAATATCTAAATATAAACTGTGCCCCATATTCAGAAATTCATGGACTGAAACGAAACGCGATTAGACTTTATGGCTTTTTCGAGACCCGGACAAAATTTCTATATTACGACTACCCACTTATATCTTTCCAGACCAGATAAGAACTGATAAGAACCCGTCAAAGTTTTAAATTATATTACCTAAGGATACTGAATAAAATACTTACGTTTTTCAGTTCACCCTTAACACAGCTCATAATGATGTCACATCCTACGCCTTTCGTTTTGCCCAAGACCATATCCCCAAACGTTACGTCTCTTGAGTTACCAATGTTGGTTTCTAAACAGACATTTATTTCATACATATTACAAAAGTGAAGTGTTTACTGTTGTCTACGCAAATTAAAACATAAGTCACCTTTAAGTTGTGGAAACAGCCTTTTCAGGAAATGCTTCTTGCTGCTATCTGAAACTGTAGTGAAAACTTCGCAGTTGTTGGCTAGACAAATAGATATAGCAGCTTGGCCCAACGCTCCACTTCCACCGTGAATGAGTACCCGCATACCAGGTACAAGTTTGGATTTAATAGCCTGGAAAGAAATAATTATAACTAGAATATTTTTTTACCATTTAAAAATTGATTATATGTCTGCGTCTTTGGAATACTTACGAGGCAGTAGAAGGCTAGACAATACGCTAGAGGCACAGTGGCAGCGTCTTCTAAGGACCAATGATCAGGAACTGGCCATAAAAGATTTGGATTAGCCTTAATCGAAGTCCTTGCAGCACCTTTATTCGTTAAGCCCATTACTTTGGTACCGCTATAAAGAACGGATAAATAAAAAATACTTAAATACTGTTTGTAGTTTCCTCGAGTAGTACACATTTAAATAAAGCACTTTAACGGTTTAATATATATCAGTTAAAATTATTTGAAAATTATTTTAACTACGGCCTGACGTTTCGGACGCTATGCAGCAGCCGTGGTCACGTGGAGACTAATGGAGGGTGTCTCTGACGTCAAAGTAAAATACTGCTACGCTAGCGCCATCTGTTCCGTCGAAGTGATTAATTCAATTAAGGGCATTTTGTTTTAACTTGCAGTTTATCATTCTTACTTTGTTGTTTCACCACTAAAGTCCATTCCATAGTAGATTTTATCAGTATCTTTTAATGGAACTACACCTAATGCCCTTTTGATGTCAGTTTCATTGATACCAGCATAATGGACCTGTGAAAAAAAAGGGCACAATTCTTTATATGTTTCCTTTTATATTTTATTCATAGATACGTTTTAAATAATTGGTTTTTACCATCACATTTATTCCATTAGAATTTGAAACTTGTGGTGCTTCAACCCATTTTAATGATCCAATATCTCCAATCTGAGAACTTTCTAAAACCACATCCCTAATCTGTTGGCTTGCGTTTTCTATCGGAATATTGTAATATCCCCCCCAAATGTCCTGGAAAGATAAAGATGTTAAAAACACGTTTTTCTTAGTAACCCTTTGTTAACCGTGGTTTTATTTTTACCTTGTTTAAAGCAGCAATAGCCAAATCCGATTTCGGGAGTGCTTCGACTTGTTGTTCTTCGTTACCTTCATTATTAATCATTAGCAAGTTTACGTCATGATTAGCCTTACGCCAATTTATTATAGAATCTACTAAATTACTTATTGGTGGGTAAAGAGAAAATACCATGAGTTTTTGATTTTTCGGTAAAGCGGTTAAGGTGCTTGACAAATGACTAAGATCTGACTCTGATCGGACAGTAGCGAAGGTAGTTCCCGTAGTAGAATTTATTGGTTGCCATCTTAATAATTTAATAACTTTATCTCCAATAAAGTGATGAGACACAACAGTAAATAGAGCATCTGGTCGCGTTTTTGTCTCGTTTTTATACTCCTTGCTTATAATAAAAGTATTAGGCGATACACTTTTGTAAAAAGTTTTACATAACTGAAAACATAATTTCGAATGGGATCAAATACATCGGTTATTAATATATGTACATTATATGAAATGCATTTTACCGTCTCATTTGTAGTTAAGTTAGTGACAAGGATAACATCCGCATCAATTTTATTGGTAGCTTTTATGTCATTTGCTAACTTTGTTTGATATTTAAATTTAGGAACGATGTTATTGGCGATAGTATCTAAATTATTAAACTTAGACAATTTTGTATCAATAACTTCCATAAAAGTAATTTCATCTTTGTAAATATTATCGGCAATGATTTGAATAAAGGTATTCAGAGCAATAGTTTCCTGAAACAAAATACTGTTATATAGAAAAAAATATTCTGAAATTTCATTAAAATTGTAATTATGTAAGGGTGTTGTTATGTCTACATTAATATCATTTATATTCATACATTACAATAATCTGTGGTAAAATGTGGAACAAACTGCGTCGTTTTTAATATAATGTCGTCTTTGCTGTTTACAACTACATCATGGAATCTCAGATTGTGTATGACAACTCCGCCACACCTGGTAAAAGAGAGATTCGATATAGTAAGTATTCAAACTATTTAATTGTCAATTTAGGTACATTTGAAGAGCGCACCTTGTTCTATCAAATACATCGGAGATTTCCACAGGTAAAATACCATCATCTTGATCCGAAAGTATATCTTTGTGATGACGAAGATCAATAGTAATGTTTCTTGCGAACTCTGGCTGACAGCAAACTTTATCCTTTCGTCTTAAAGCATTACATTGTAAGAGGCCATCGATAAAAGAAATCCAGTTATTTTTCCAGTGTACAGTAGCTTCAGTCATGTTGGTGCTTGTAGTGTGAATTGTTTGGAAATCACCGCTGCAAAAAATTACAATTATGTATATGTTTTTTCCATACATTTATAAACTATGTTATATAATACTTATATATTCACAGTCTGCTTTATAAGTGCTTTCAGATAATAAATGTTACTCACTTAATTAAATAAGGCAGCTTAAAACTCAAAATAATTTACAGTTTTTTTACCTATAATTGAAGTCTCTTGTGTGAAGTAGTTTATAAACATCATTAGCTTTCAAGATCGTAGACTCGTTAGTATCAATATCTATCTTATGTTGCTTGAAGTTCTCTTTTGCCGAATGCTGATTTATATAACCAGTAACGACCACTATGTTTTCATTCAAAACCTGGAATATATTTTCTATAATAATTATGTCCTATTTTTAAGAAAAACACTAGGAATTAGAATATGCACTTTCATAATATAAAATATAGATTCAATGAATGTTTGTAAAAGGCAGCCTTTTTCAGAGCGCTTATTGTACCTCGAATTTTCCTGTTCCTCTGTGGATATTAACTTGAATTTTTAACTGTTCTCTATAATGCAATACAGGCTGAGCGAGGAAGTGCAAGTCACTAAATCGAACAGATACATTTCTCTTTTCGTAACCATTGTGCATTGCAAATGTGTCCCATACGGAGACTAAAGCAGCAGAAAATGGGTATAGGTTTTTTCCTGCGAACGAGAGTCATCGTTCAGGTGAACTACTTAAAATATAACTTCTAATATATTTCCTTTTTTAATCTGTTAAGATGTTTTTAGATTTAAAAATCGTTATTGATATTAATATTGTAATACTAATATCAATAACAATGATTTGATTTCAGTGTTTATTTGGAGCGGAGGTTTAAGAACCAAAGTAATTAAATACTGTCTATAGTTTACGCGAGTAGTACACATTTTAATAAAACACTTTAACGGTTTAAAACGCGATATGTTAGTTAAACTTATTTAAAAATGATTTTTAACTTCGGCCCGACGTTTCGGATGCTTTGCAATAGCCGTGGGAGCCGGGGAACTTATCACTCGCCCGTGATTAGTTTAACTAATATATCGCGTTTTAAACCCTTAAAGTGTTATATTTAAACAAAAGTAATTGTTATTCAGTTTAAATTTTTACCTCTTATCACATGCCCCTTTAAGTATTTGTTTTCATCGTCATGAACTGATACTAAAAATTTACAAGCCACGGCTTGCTTTTTTGAAGCTGAAACGTACTGAGATACAAACCTATAAGATAATAGAAATAAATTAACTTCTAATATATGTGACGGATAATTGACCAACATTATACACACAGGATATTAAACAACAATACAAACCACTTCTCAGTGTGTGCCCACTCCACTAGATGCCCCAACTTTGGTGTCCCCGTTGACACAGGAAACTCCACCTTGGGATACAGTGTGGATATCTTCGGATTATATCCTTCCATGTATAATCTAAAAGTTAATAATATGATCTATGAACCATTTTTGTTTTTTATTCACCTAATTTTTGACTTCATAAATTATTTAATTGTGCAATACATACATGTTATATTTAGTATTGTCTGCAGTTTACGCTAGTAATACTCATAAAAAACACACTCACACGTAATATATTTGCTAAGTTATATATGTGTTTCAGTAAAGTATCTACTGTCATAATTTTGAAAGTTTATTCTAGATGTAAAAATACTATAAAACAGTCGGACTGGAATCCACGACCCGTACAGCTACACCGTCGCCACCGTACGGTTGCGTACGGATACGGTGTTCATAGTAATTTTGGATCTATTGTGCGTGCACTTCAGACTTAATGCAATTTCATTCAATTACTGAAGTTTTTTAAAATGTTTCCCAAAAATATAATTAAATTATGAGGCGTTACATACTTTCCAATAGCTTCCAGTAAGACAACGACATTGTCTGAGTGCCCTCTGCGAGTAAGAGGAATATTAACACACGAAGGTAACGCTCTCTTTAAAATTGCCTGCAACAGCCCGTGTGGAGCTACTTCTACAAGCACCGCGTTCTTTGGTATGAGACTACAGGTTTCTTCAAACAATACGGAATTCTGAAAGAATTTATACATTTTAACAGCGAATGAAGCACAATTTCTCTTTACAATATAACGTTTCTGAACCTACCAATAAATTATTCGTATGATACTCTGCAGATGAATACTTGGCAAGCTCCTCGTTCCATCGGTCCTGAGGTATCGATGTTGACACCCAACGGTCACTGCGAGGTCTTGGAGTTTTGATGACATCGTTCAAATATTTTAGGAGTCCGGGACCTGATAGACATTTTTATTAAGGCTTTCAGACGAGAAATCATTATATAATGTATAATATATATATAATCTCCATCGCTCACCATCTACTCATCTGCACTAACATGTTATGGTGGATCTAAATTAAGATTTGAACTGCGTACACGCATCTATGTAAACATATAGAATCTAAATTTAATTATTATTTTAAGTAATAAACTTTTAACCTGCTTCGGCGATATATTTAGAGTGATACGCAATATTGGAACAAGGGACTTCCTTAGCAAATATTCCTTTCTCAACCAAAGATTGCACGAACTGTTTCATTTTATCCGCTGGGCCAGATAGCGTACTTGATTCAGAACTATTATGGCACGCTATTTCAATTTCTGGTGGGATCAACTTTGACACCTGTAAAATTATCAAGTTTTACTTTAGTTTATTTTTTTATGATAAAGAAAGCCATGTAACATCTAATCATGATGCAAATGAACTATTTTAGGTTCAGTAGTACATGGAATGACACGGAAACACGATTAAACTTGGTGGCTTTTTTATCTATGGTGGTTTTGAAACACGGACGGATTTGATATTCCTACCACATAAGCACAACATGTTTTATCAAAGTTATAAATTGATTAGAATAATGTTGAACGCGTTGGGGATCGAACCCACGTACTGTTGATTATTATCATACATTGTTACCATTATCCTAACCAGCTCGTCTAATGATTATATAGTATTAGTATTTTTATTTTATTATTTACCTCCTTATATCCGAGTCCAACAGCAGCCATAGAACCTTTTATAAATGGTGTCTGTACAGACACAAGGCCACGACTGTAAGCAGATAAGATCATTTCTTCCGCTGTCAGACAGCCATCGGCGTATGCGCATCCAAGTTCTCCTACACTGTGACCTTTTCACGAAGATTATGGTTAAATTAAAAGGAACTATAAAAATCCTAAGAAAGTAATAAATACATGTGTTGATTTACCAATTATCTTATCAGGAACTAGTCCCAATTCCTTCAGCACATCCGTAAGTCCAATTTGCACGGCAGCGATTCCAACAAAACAGTGAAGAATATTATCCATGATAGTCTTGTCCGGTGTAGTAATTATGTGTACTATATCTAGTCCTTTTGGTCCCAATGCTTGACGACATCTATCATAAAAAACGATGACAGTTTTAATTTTATCTTAAGTTGACAACGGCAGGATTCCAAATCTCGACCCACCAAGTACGCGTGCTATTGTTCTTGTGATAAACTATTTCATATGCATAACCAGCGATCAATATAATGAACTACAACTCGGTCACTAAATATAGTCTATCAAGTCTTACCTCAAAATAAAATTGTATTAAAGTAATTAAAAAGCTTTTCTTACCTTTCAATAGCTGCAGCAAAAACTGGTATGCGCATGAGTTGCGTTCCCATCCCAGCCCACTGCGAGCCCATACCACTGTAGACGAACCACAGAGGACTTGTGGTATCATCATAATAATCTGCTTTCTCTGCTAAGCTTATCGTTTCGTTGTTTTCGTTTTTGTCTGAAATAGAATTATTGTAATTGTAGTAGGGTAATAGTTTTATATTGTAGTAGTTTAGTTGTAGTAGAGAAATAATTACAAACATAAAAATAGTAACAAAATTTGCACTTCAATGCAAATTTTGTTATTATTATTGACCGTTATTTTAAGATTTCTTTCACAAGCAAATAAATAAATTCGATAAAGATTACCTAGAATTGTAAAACCTCTTCCTAAATGTGCAGAGATCTTGGCCTTGTGGATGTTATGGAACAATGCCAATTCCTCTGGATCTATTGGGCGGCTCTTTAGGTCGTTTAATATTTTTTCTACAGCGGACTGTTGCCGACCTGATATTGTTACAAGGTGGGGGATGCTGGACTTGTATCTGTTTAAATCCTGTAACGTATTTATGAACGTTTAAATTTTGTAATGATTTAATTATTTATTTATCTTTTAATTATTTTTACTTTTTTACAGTCAATGGGAAACGGTTAGGATAATACATTAAACAATTTACTGTCACGATTAGTGTTACATGCAATTGTGTCCGAAGTTAGCTAGTGGGGCTGTGACTGTAAATAAATATTTTTTTTGTTTACAATGTTGCTAAAGTTATTCAAAATGAAAAAGAAAATAAACTTGTGTAAAATGTGTGATATAAAATAGTAGATACTTTTTTATATCACGCTATTTCACATCATATAATAAATGTTTGTTAATAAAAACGTCTTAGAGGATAGTCGTTTAGTAATAGTTAATTATTTAGCTACCACAAACTTAGATAAATGTTTCATGAACTAAACGATACAATGCGGAAATTAATTACATAATTACTTACTTATGGAAATTAAATTAAATGTGACTTCTGTATTATGACTATTATAATTTGTGTTACTAAATTACCTTAGGTTTGTTACAGCCGTGCAGAAGAACATGGGCATTTACGCCTGTAATGGAAAGTCCATTGATTGCAGCGTATCCTGGCTTCAAGGGACTGTGATTTGTGACAATACTCATTTTCCCATTTTTTAGTCCCTCAACGTCGTCTCGAGGATTGTCACAGTGGAGGTTCGATGCAATTTCTCCTCTTTCGTATCCCAGTATAACCTTAAACATTTGAAAAGATAAAACTAAGACCCTATATTCTGTTTACCAAATATTTCACATCTTTGTGTCTATTCCAACAAGTTCGATTGTCATCGTGTTATTCATCAAGCCATTGATTGCTATAGGTATTTAAATACAACACTAACGGTTCAAACGCGATATATATTGTTCAACTTGTTTGAAAATTATTTTAACTACGGCCCGAAGTTTCGGATGCTTCGCAGCAGACACGGTCACGGGGAGACTAAAGATTGGGTTGGGTGGGGGTTTTTTTTAAATTACCTTCGTGATTGAGGAAATCCCTGATGCTGCTTCACCATACCCGATGTTGGATAGTACACTGCCGACAAGTAATGGTCTACTACGTTTCTTACAAAACACGTCATCTATAACATCCAACTCCATTTTGTCGTTCTCAGGTGTTGCTGAAAAAATTAATTTTAAATGAAACTCAAGAAAAATCGATAATTAAAACGGTTTTATATGTTTGTTCTTTCTACTGATCGACGTTAATACAGGCATGAATTTGATTAGACATCTGTGGCCTGTCTGCTTGAAAGTATTATTTATTTTATCCTGGAACTTGTACTTCCGGCGTTCCAGCGTCAAGAACTTCCCCTACACATCTACGGGGAGGGAGGCGTAGTGTCTCTACCCGATACTTGTCTTAGGTGGAGTCACCTTGAATATATCGAACCAATGGGTCATGTTGTAAACGGATTATTATTTTTTCAATAGAGGAGTACAGACAAGCCTGGGACTTGATGGTGTAATACTCCAGCCATATAACAACTAAATACGATACGATCTCGACCAATTTTAGCTTTGGATATTCGGAATGCCACAGACTGAAACGCAATTTAACTTCACGGCTTTTTTATCTGTGGACGGTGTTTCGTAACCCGGAAGGACCTTCGATATTCCTACGACCTATTTCATATACAAATTTCCAGACGAAGTTCAACATGTTTCAGAAAAATTTTGGACCTGTTGGGAATCATTGCTACAATGGTCAACATTTCACCAGCAAACTTTTTATTTAAAAGTTGTTCACAAGAAAAGTACACTAATACTGAAGACGACAAGCAACATAACTTACCAGACCCCACTGCTTCAAGGTAATCCACTTCACCCGGTGCAACATTGATCTCTTCATAGAACTTCTTAAGAAATCCTTTGACCTTTTCAGGTTGACGGTAGAAGCCGAATTTTGGGCCGTTTTCACCTTCAGGCAGGCCGGAAAATTCAGATTTAACGTGGACGATTTCAGCGTAAACTCTACAAAATACATTTTGATGCTAGATAAAGTATAAAAAACATCCTACTAGCTCCTTAATATTAAGATAATAAATCATATATTTTAATGTATGGTAAAGCATTAGCTATGTAAATATAATTATAGGCTTATCTTATATTTAGTATGTATTAAAAAAATATAAAACACATCTTTGTTTAATTTGTACCTTAACGCGTCCTTAGCTCTTTGAAGAAACAAAACATTGACGGCTTCAGACTTCGAACAGCCGCAGGCGTTTTTATCAAACGATCTTGTCTTTCCATCTTTGTTTAAATCGAGAACTCTGAAATAACCTTATAATTGTATAGAACAATAGAACGACGTTTATAACAAGCACATAAAATAGTTATAATTTTCTCATAACAACCATGGGAAATTAATAATATAATAAATTTATTTCAACGGTATTTTAATTCTGCTTACGGAACTAAATTTAATAAATAACAATATAAAATGTTGATTATTTTCTTACTTATATGATTATTATCTCATGTACTATTAAATAATCAAAAAGGTCTTCAAATGGCGCTCAATATTGCTTGACTTAGGTACCGTTAGGAAAACATCAAAAATATATTAGAATATAACAATGTTAACTGTAGTATAATAATTTGACGACTTCCTTGTTCTTCACTTGTTCGATCTAAGAAGATTTTCAATAATGATAATGAGTACGAGTAAATCAGACGATCTAGAAAATTTTTATTTCTATTCCGCATTATTAATATTTTATGTTCTGTTATTGTTGAATTGTTGACCAAAATACCTTAAATACTATTAGGGCCGAAGTTAAAAATTTTCAAATAAGTTTAACTAATATATCGCGTTTTAAACCGTTAAAGTGTTTTAGTTAAACAAAATACCTTCTCAAATGGACAGAAGACTGTGGTAGTAGACACAAACTTGCACCTCCAACAATAGCAGCATCGACATCCCCTCGAAGAATGGAATTGTATGCTAGTTCCAGAGCCACAATAGAACTACAGCAGGCCTGGTCTACAGCTATTGAAGGCCCTTTAGCGTTTAGCCAATACGAGATGCGATTAGCGTACATAGTTTTGCTGCATCTAAAAGATTATAAAACTGATTAACTATCATTATCGTTTTAAGCAATTCCAATAAGTAATTCTGAAACTCGCTATAATTGCCTCATAACAAGTGTACGTACTTAAAATTTAAAAGACAAATGGCACAGAGGTTAAAATATAGAAATGCAATAATTTATGTGAATGTTGTATCAAACGCGATATGTCCTACTTACTTACCTTACTTGGCTTTATTTGAATTTTAAAAAGTGTTGTAATAAATTTAAGTGTCAACTTTAAATACAGTCTTAGTTTACGCGAGTAAAACACATTTAAATAAAACACTTTAACGGTTCAAAACGCGATATAGCCGTTGTCACGACTGCTGCAAAGCCTCCGAAACGTCGGGCCGTAGTAAAAAATATTTTTTAAATAAGTTAACTAAAATATACCGCGTTTTAAACCGTTAAAGAGTTTTATTTAAATACTAATAGTTTTACTTAACGATAAACATAAAACAAATTGTGAACTTACCCCATAATACCGAAACCAGTTCTTGAAGTAGTGATGTATAAATTACCCTTTTCAGCTTCAGAAAAGCAGGATCCTATATAGACACCAACTTTCTTACCAGATAGATCATCAGAATTAACACCTAAAGAAAATTACCACTTTTAATATAGATTACGTTGATTTCCTTAGAAAATTACTCTAATCACATGATGGCATTTCAAAAATGTATTGTGATTGAAAAAAAAAACGACACAAACGGGACTTCAACCGCCGTCCACCGTGTTCCGTGCAACGGGCATTTTCTCCGTAAAGTTTTTAAAATCTTAAATAAAATGTCTATTTCGAAATATGATGCGAAGTGCGTTATACTGCGAGCTATTTTAATATGATTATTTCAATATATTTTAAATCCCTATAAATTTAATTGGTGATTAAAAAATACCTAACATTACAGCTAAAAAATAATAAGCTATAATATTATACCCGCATCGTAAATAGCTTGAAACGCTTGCTCAAGTGCTTTTCTGGACATGGGATCCATTGCGTTCCCCAATCGATAATGGACCTTGAAAAATTGACCATCGAAATGCTCCAAGTCTGGAACTTTTCCAGTATACTGTGCCACTTCTGGATGGTCATACTTCCAGCGGCAGTTCTCGGATGTAACGGGATTGATCTGAAAAAGTATTATAATACAATATTTCGACTTACTCGTTGGTGTAATGGTAGCAAGGTACAGCTAATAATCAACGACGCGTGGGTTCGAACCTCACCTGGTCCAACATTTTTCTAATCAATTTATAATTTTTCTGAAACATGTTGGACTCCAAATACTGTCTATAGTTTACGCGAGTAGTACACATTTAAATGAAACACTTTATCGGTTTAAAACGCGATATATTAGTTAAACTAATTTGAAAATGATCTCCCCGTGTCCACGGCTGCTGCAAAGCATCCGAAACGTCGGACCGAAGTTAAAAATTATTTCCAAATTAGTTTAACTAATATATCGCGTTTTAAACCGTTTAAGTGTTTTATTTAAATGTAAGGCTTCGTCTAGATAATCTGGACATAAAATGGGTAGTAGGAATATCGAACCACCGTCCACAGATGAAAAAGCCGTGAAGTTTAATCGTTTCGTTTTCAGTCTGTGGATTTCCAAATAGCCAAAGCCGAAATAGGTCGACGACGCATCTTGTTTAGATGGCTTATATAGGCTTGGGTATTTCACCTATTATCAAGTGAAAGTATTCTAGAGTATCTGACCTGGCTTTAATCAGATTTCACTTTTAAACGTAATATTGAAATGTACTGTGCATAACATAATATCTTAAATAAGTATATACAAATACCCTAATATGTAACTACAGACTATTATCCAAAACTAAACAAAGGGGGTGTCCCCTTTCCTCAACATTTTTCATGAAAAACTGATTGCAAGTCAGTGAGAAATAACCATGAATTTACAAGTACGAGTCTGTAACCAACGGCGTTAAATTAAATTAAGTACTTGAAGTTATAACTGTAAGTTTTAAATTTGATTCTAAAAACATATCTCCACCTTTGTAGTTAAGTAGTAAAAATTTTTTGATTGGGAAACAACAGCTACCAACGAATTATTTTCTTAATAGATTATTTAATATGCATCGAACAATTGTAAAGTTGTCTTGTAAATGTTCCGAAATAAAGCTTACCTTATTGTACAGGATTTCCTCGAATTGTTTCACGTTATACGCTTCCGGGAACAAACCTGACATCCCGGAAATAACAATTCTGTCCCCGGGTATTTTAGGTTTTGGCAAATCATTTCTCGAACTCGACGGCATTACGACAGTTACAAAAACTTAAGCAATCCTACAAATCGATTTATCTTCTTTCGACAATTGATAAATAAAACGTAGTTTTATGGGTACGGTCTTTATATATATAATTAAAAAACAATGATATGCATGCAAGGGCAAGACTTCGTTTAAATTTGATTCAATTGAATTTAAAATTCTAATTCTATAATTGTTTATTTCCGCGGTTAATTACTTTGCATTCTTTTACGCATGTTAGTGCACATGATAGTTTATATTTATTTTAAAATTATAACACGGGCAGGACTCGAACCCTTGACGACAGTCGACCTTCTGTGATTTTGCCTTATGAAGTACTAGCGACTTCGTCCGCGTAGAATAGTGACTTGGGTAGAATTTTTAATTATTTAGGCTGTTTATTAATTCATGTAAGGGCGTATGTAAGGCAGCCAATCTATTTTGTAAGTGCTACTTTGCCGCAACACTCTCACCTCACATCACTCCCACTCCTATTCCCAAAAAGCCAAAGAAGGAAGTTCTAAAAACCTTCAAAAACACGAATTCTCATACAAACTTTCATCCCCTTTTTCATCCCCTATCGACTCTTATTTGGCATTAAAAAGAAGCCTTTGTCCTTTCTTAGGCTCTAAAATATCTGTGCACCAAAATTCATTTAAATCAGTTCAGTAGTTTCGGCGTTAAAGCCGGACAGATAGACTTACTTTCGCATTTATAATATTAGTATAGATTTTTTTGCATATAATATGTTGTTTAATTCATGTGTATGTTTGGCTTTTCGTTTGGCGTTTTTTTTTCATTATTAATTATTATCAACACTAGCTGACCTGGCAAACTTTTTTTTGCTATATAAAGTATTTCGACAAAATGTGATTAGTTGATTACAAAACAAACGATTCTTTTGGGTTATTCTTAATAGATAGACATAAAAAGCCACGATCGTGTTTTTTTTACTATTTAAATAAGAAGAAGATGAATAATTTTTCGCTGTTTTTTCATATTTTCATCAGTCTTTTCTTTCCTATCGGCCGTAGCTTGATGTTTTAAAGTCTTTCTCAAGAAATAGTTTCTCCAACGCAAAAGAGTTTTTTTAATTAGACCCTTAGTTAGTCCCGAGATTAGCACATTCAAGACGAACATATACTTCAAATTTTAGTATAGATTTAAATAATTCTATGAACGATGGTTTATGTCATGAATGGAATCATAGTTTTCCTGCGATTAAAGCCCGAATGTTGCGACGTAAATCTAATAATAGAAATTCGTCTCACCTAATCCGATTAGAATTAAACCGTGTTGTTAACCAACCACTAAACCAACAATTGATTGTAGAAGTGTGCTATCTAGGCATGCCCTATTTGTAAATTATCTATTATTGGTATTTAATTACACTTCTGCGCATGAGACCTTTAAAGTGTCGTTTACAATAATATACTCGGCCAAGTACGACTGGACTGTCGAAGGAAAGTTTTCGCACCATTGACTAGGAAAACAATAGGTCACAATTTTCATATGCAACCTTTTCTAAGTCGATTTTGTAAACTTTTAATCCGTTCCTTCTGAATAGAATATCCGATGTTAAAAATTTAAAAAGGCAAACAAATCATTATTATAGATAAAAATAAACAGAGGTTTACATTAAAAAGTAATTGTTGCAACGTAATTATATATGAGGCTGCTACATGCAGAATGGCCTAATAAACAAAAAACATGATTTTCAATAAGGAGGAAAATAAAATTTTATTTGTAGTATCAATTATTTGTGTAAAAATTATGGTAACAATTTTCGGTCACAGTGTATTCTTAGAATAACAGTTTTAGGCTATAAAAATATAAATAAGTCAAGTCGTAAAGTTGCAGATAGGCTATTCTCTTCTACCGGCCTTATAAACACCACAATAATTGGACGTGTAGCGATTTTTTTTGCATCTATTGGTATAACGAAGTGGTTAAATTTAAACATTTATTTTCAAGGAAAAACAGTGAATAGCATGAGAGGTCATTTTAGGAATGTATTTAAATCTAATTAATCGAGTTTTATTACACATACTGTAAGGACACAGTGTTTTTAATTATTGGGTTGTGTAATAATACATATATACATATATACATAATACTTTAGGTTTATTAAAATATCTATTAAATCAGGCAGGCATCATCAGGAGATGTTAACTCCTCGATTGATCGAAGAATTAATGCCGTCCACACGTGATGGCGAAACGTCGAGATCCTCTTGTCGCTTACATCGGCCGAACAGCCCGAAAGACAATGATATGCTGAAGAACGATGGCCGTTAAAGCCTTACACAATCTAATAATTTTTCAGTTCGAACCCGTAGTTCCTGAGATTAGCGCGTTCAAACAAACAAACTCTTCAGCTTTATACAAGGTTAATCATACTCCATGCGAAACCTGAAAGTAGTTTTTTCAGAATCAGTAGCAGAATCCCATTCCAATAGTTTTTATACCACGTTATAGTTTTCGTCAAAATTACATGAAATTTATAAAATCTTGGACACCGTTCGATATAAATATGTACCTACATAAGTATGTATAACTAAATAGGTCTAAAAATTCGGGGAATCCGCGGCGGCGACTCGTCGCTTTGTACTAACCGTTACCGCGCGCGTGCGCCGCCCCGCTCTCTTGTCTAGTAGAGTCAGTGCGTGCGCAACCCTTTCGCGGTGATTACGTAACAACTTTCTTCCGAATTGCAAGCAAGCGGTTGCGCATCCCACGGGCGTCTGACAAACATTTCTTACAATTATACCATTGTACAGTATGTGGAAATGGTGCGAACACCTGCTTTGTGTTGTGATAATGTTGCCGAAGCAGTGAGACGTTATCATGAACTATTTGGCATCTTGGTATCATGGAACACAATGCTGAGCGTTACGCAGCGCTTACGAGACCATGGCCAGTTCAGACCAGTCGCAGTAGACAGAGGCGAGGAGATTATTCAACGTAAGTCAGTCTTACGTGTATAGTCTTTAAGGAATGACCACCAATACCTGTATTATTTTAGACGAGGCTCAGCCAAGAGCTGCTCGAAAATGATAAAGTCCAAAGATTCGATAAATTAGTGGAAATAATTGTGATTAACATTTTGTCTTTGTCTCAATAATTAACACTACCTACATGCCGTTTAACCATTCTGACAGTCCAACCCCTGTAAGTGTGATGGGAAATGTTATTGACAAAACTTACTAAAATAAATTCACAAGGAGGGAGATCAAGTGTCCTTTCATTAAAAATGTTTTTCCGCATATATCACTGAAATAAAAAAATATTTAGTTATTATTTTTTAATTTTGATTATTTATCCTGATTCTGCAATAAAAAGCTTTAGCTTTATATCAACAAAAACTTTTATATAGATAGATTATAAAGTGTTTCAAAAGATAATATATGATATAAAAATATTTTATATAATCATATTTTTTTATGATTATTATTTACTTTTAAGTTTACTTATTTTATTTCACTAAAAGTGATTGTTGTCATTCTCCCCGGGGGGGGGGGGGGTCACTGAAAACCGGCGCTTTTCCTCTACTCTGGGTGGTGAAGCACATGCCGAGTGCTTTTCCCCATTTCACAAGTACATGTTTTTACGTTTCTATTTTAAATGTACTTATTAAGCTAATATTTTATTTATTTATTAGGTCTTAAAAAATAAATGGTTTGACTTTGAGTTTGACTGAAGACTTTTGTTTGAACGCGCTAATCTCAGAAACTATTACTCCGAATTGAAAAAATATTCAGCTTTGAGGGTTTGCGATACGTGCACTGCGAAAACGGTTCAAGATCCAAAAAAAAACAATATAAAAGAATAGTATTTCTTTAAGTGATATAAAAAAAACTCTGCAACACTATATGTCTATCTTCTTAGATTAACTCACACGAATTAGATAATCAAATTTGGTTGAAATACTTCATATAGCCGCCACTAGCTTTAATAACATTTTTTGTTTAATAAATAAACAATATCGACTGTTTATTGAACAAAAAAATTGTCTGTGAATTGTATGAGTAGCAGTAGTCTTATGGCTTGTTGGTATAATTTAAATATTATTATTGTTTTACTTCTCAAATTTTTAATTAATGTAAAACTGTACATGAGGTTCCTCTAATATTGGTTAAATTTTTCTTCGTCTATTTAAAGCTGTTTCTTTATAGGCATTATATTTAATTTATGAATAATTGGTGGAGAAATAAATAAAGGAAACTTCAGGATGCTACCATTTTTATTATCATGTCAATTTTGAATTAGTCATTATACCAGGCACAAAACTATTCATTAGGATATAATAGTACTGTCGAAAGTGACTTCATATGTTTCGCACAAGTTCTTCGTTTCAAAAGCATCTAGAATGTCTTTACTCAGATGCCTATTTATAATTGCAGCGCACATAAGATCTTGAGACGAAATCGCCAACGGAGATTCGAGTTCGTAAAGAACTGGCTCTTGGGAGTAACCGTCCACAGAATTTTCAACCAGAGAACCTTCGGAGGTTTTGACTCGTATCAGGACGAGGGTAGACCGCAAATTCTGTGGTTTCGGAGTGTATTTCTTCACCTGCTTGATACGACAACACGCAGCCTCAATTAAGTACTTGGTATATTGAGCTGAATGATCAATTTTACCAATGAAGGTCCGAATGCTGGCCTCCACCTTTTCACTCAGCGAAATGCTGTCTTTGAAGATCTCGGAGAGACATTCCGTGTCTTCGCCCGACATCATCTTAAGCATGTGCTTCGTAATCGCTTCCCAAAGAGATGTTTCGTCCTTGAACTCCATCAACTGTGACTCGATTTGCTGTTTAACTTCATGTGGGGAGCCACCCAGGCAATAGACAACGCCGGTGAGACCTGACAATAAATAAGCCAACAAAAAATTACTTTTTTATATAAGTATACTAACATAAGTTAAAATTCTGAACGTATTTGAATAAAAGATTTTTTATTAGCAAATTTATTTTTCTTGTCTTAATTTAATGTAACGGTAATTTTGGATTAAAAAAAAAGTTATGTATAAGTATAACAATAGGCTACTATTCTATTATTATTACTATTCGTTTTATTAAAAATAATAGTAGCTTTTAAATGCCACACACAGTATTTATGTGTTACTATACCTTTGTTCTCCAAAATCGAAGCAATTTCTAAAGCGACACAGACTCCAGATTCGTATCCCAGGAGATAGAAATTTTTCAACTCCGTTTGCTCTAGAAGCGTCTGTAATCAAATGTAATATTTTAAAATAAGCTACAAATAAATTTCACGTAAGATTTATTTATATAGAACGTAAAATCGGTAAAATAATATCCAATAATCATAATATTTTAATTGAGTTATTAGTAGTTATAGTATAGTTATATATTTATGTATACAATAGAACTTTATAACACGTTGAAAAAAGAACAAGTCATTGGCGACGAAAGATGGCGCTACTAGTATTAATTTACTAATTATTTAAGTAGATATTATTTTTTGTATAAGTATACAAAAATGACACGGGCGGGAATCAAACCGGCATCTGCTGCTCTAACCAATTGAGCTACCGTGTCGAATTGCATCAACCTATTGACACATACACCTCTCGCGTATTTTTAACATACAAAGAAGAAGCTTCCGTACCTTTGCTAGCTTCTCAGCTAACTCTTCTAAAGTTTCGGAAGTGTCCCCCAATTTCGGCTGCAGTACCATAGCTGGCAACTTCAGCCGCTCACACATTTTTGTGAAACGCGCATGGTGTCCTTCCATTCCAGGAACGATGCACAAGAAGATTTGACTGGCGTCAAATTCATCGTGGCGCTAGAATCATGATAGACAATGTTAAAATCTTCGTTATTATTATATATTGTACATTTTTTTAGGGTTGGAACCTATCTACAAAAATTTAAAATGTGGTATTATTTAACTTAAATCTCTGTCTCTGTAAAATAACTGTCGATCAAACTACAAAGTAACATTTTGTGTTTTTTTTACAATCGAGGAAGAATGCAAGCACTTGTTCCTATCACCCATTAATTATCCAGATTTCCATACGAAGTCCAACAGAGTAATAATAATCTGATAAAAAACATGGAACCACAGGGGATCGAACCCGCGAACGCCGGGAAGCTATGCTACCTAATTGTAGAATGGTAGTTCTTCTAATGACGAGCCCGGTAAGATTTTTTTTCCCATAACTTACCATAGCGGTGGTGTTTATCATTGTTGGTAAGAACACCATCTCTGTGACCGCTAGAAGTTCATTGTCATCTATATACGAAAAGAAAGTTTCCAGATCCTTGCAGTCATTGAACTCCACTTCGGATGCTATGGTTTCGTACATCTGCAATCTGAAAAGTTAAAATTGTGAAAATTCAAGTATTATCGGTAAAATACTGTCTGTAGTTTACGCGAGTAGACCACATTTAAATAAAACACTTTAACGGTTTGAAACGCGATATATACAACAAATAACGTTTGAAAACTTTATTATTTTTTACATGTTATATTGCACATGAATGCACTATACAATTTAAAAGTCGAAAAAAAAATTGGACTCGGGCAGGACTTGAACCAGCATCGACAACGTTCAGAGCAAAGGCACGGAACGCTGACGATGCCGGTTCAAGTCCTGCACGAGTCGAAAATTTTTCAATTTATTTTCGACTTTTAAATTATACAACAAATAAGTTTAACTAATATAAATCGCTTTATAATAAATAATTTATACCGTTAAAGTGTTTTATTTAAATGTGGTCTACTCGCGTAAACTACATTAGACAAGTAGTACAGTTTTTTTTTAAATTTAAGAACAACCTTCACGTTGTGAAGACTTGCTCGTGCCTTTTCTTATTTTGGTGCGTAAATACATTTTTTTTTTTACATGTCGTGTTACTCTGGTACACATAAAAAAAACTTTTCACGGTATAAAACGCGAAAATTATCAGTTAACTTCACAAAGCATCCAAAACGTCGAGCTTTAAGTAGTCGAGAGTTAAAATAAGCTAACTAATATATTTCGCGTTTTAAACCGTTATATTTTATTTGTATGTGACAAGTTATTAAAGACTTGAAAATAATGGTTGATGGTGTTGAACCAATTATTAGAATTATTAACAAAGAAAAAAAATTAGGTTGAAAAAAATTTACGACTGGGACAGGACTTGAACCGCCATCCACAGCGTTGCGTGCTGTTGCTCCAGCCAACTGAGCTACCGTGGCCTACGTATATAGTGCCATCATGTGAAAAATATTTAAGTTTATTATTATGAACTCACTTTTCAATTGTCAAACGTGGTATTAGATCCTCCTCCACCGCTATACAATACTTGTCTCTTAAACACGCGCGTATTGCTTGTGTCTTAGAGAGATCCATTCCAAGGTCGAAAAGCGTTGTATTAGCATCGATGTCCTTTGAGATTGTCACACCTTGAATAAATAACAAAAATTATAGACAATTTTGTAATTTTTTTTTCAGGAGTATCATTGACAATTTCTTCGCATGCTAGTATCATAGCCTATGCTATTATATAACGATTATTCGTTGATGTTAGAAAGTAGGATTAAACTAAAACAGTTTTAACGGTTAAAAACGCGAAATATATTTGTTAACCTTATTTATAACAGTTTAAAATCCCTCGCGACCTTTGCTGTAACAAAGCATCCGCAGCGTCGGGATATAGTAACAAGAATTAAAATTAAGCTTAACTTATACAGTTCGCGTTTTAAACCGTTAAAAAAGGATTTATTTAATCGTGTAACATTTCGGTAAACTCCTAGGGAAATAGTAGATTGTTTTGGTCGGACGGGGCACAGAAGTCTGATCAACAACTTGTCTGTAAAGAACCGATTAGTGAAACGGACACAGAAATGTGTTCGCCCCACTCCCCACATGGGGAAACGGAATTTAATTTTGTTCGCGTAAGCTACGGAAAATATTGGGCCCCCCCCCCCCCCCCCCATTTTTTTTTTGTAAGTTCAATTCATCATAAAAATATTTATGGTAAATAAAAAAAAGTACGATTTTGCAGCCAAAGCGTAGCATATAAATCCTAGACATACCCGCTAACAAAGCAATTTCCTCGCTTAGAGAAACATTTCTGTAGGGTATCTGGGCAGTAATCAGGACATTCTGTGATAACAAAGCTTGTTCAATTGCACTGACTGCTGTGTTGACGGATATAGCTTTGGAATTAGTGGAGTCGTCCTGAAAATATAAATAACTTGTAACATAGGTTTAAGAGATTTAGGGTATAATAAAACTTCTAAAGTGTATATTGTCTTCGTGACATTCGCAAATAAATTAAAAGATGATATTCTTAAAGAAAGGACGATTTATAGAGCAAATATACGCATACGAGGCTTTAGAAGAAGTGTACCAACAAAGTTTTTATTCATGGTTCTTATTCTTTAATATTAGTAAAAACAACTAACACTTACAAATCTTTTAAGAAGCGGTAGCTTCACGTGTGTGGCGGGCAAAAGACTTTTGCTCCGAGAGGCACAAATTTGATCTCCAATCTGACTGTTTTCACTTATTACACTAAAATACCTATAATGAGAAGATATTAGTAACTTTAACGTCTTTACAATAAAACACTGTCAACGGTTTAAAAGGCAAAATATGATTGTTAACATTTATAACTAGATACTTTGGATGCTTTGCAGCAGGAGTTATATCGTCCCTAATGTCAAAACTGCTGATGCTGAGACTGATATTTGCAAATCTGGTTGCAACTGACTCAAGGTCTTCTTGCCTAGTATCAGTAGAGGTCTTGCTAGTAGTTTTAAATAAGTTAACGTAATATATATTTTCCCCTAATTTGACTTTAATACTTACGTCAAATTTGGACAACCTTTCCTCGAGGCTTTGTCTAAGCTCGCTAAGAATTCAGTAACTCTAGAAGAATTGCTCACGTCCGTGATGATTGTGTAAATACCCTCAATGTCCTTCTTTATTGTGTCATCAAGAATCTCAGGAATTTTGTTTTTATTCCACAGGTCTTCAGTGGTCAGTTCGATTAGCACACCCTTTTCTTTCCATATCCTGTTTAGCAATATTGTACAAAACATTAATCTACTTTGAAAGGGTAATTATGACGTTAAACGATATTTAAATGATAAAAATGCTTATGTAGTGCACTTAAAATAAGTGAAACTTGGCAATAAAAGGAGTGGCGGCGAGTTTCTTGCCAGTTCTTCTCTGTACTACGCCCTTGAATTGAGAATTGGCATTAATTTAAATTTTTTTTTTTTTTTTTAGTTTCACTTCCATGAGTGTACCTAGTTACCTACGTAACTAAATAAATAAATAAATATTTTTAACTTTTGACTTTTCATTGAATTGACGGAACTCAAAAAAAATCATTTAAGTTAGTTGTAACTTAATAATTGCTTAGATAAAGTGTGTATACTTACTTGATCTTATACACAAGGCAGTTAGAGAGTTTCGGACAAATAAGTTGTATCTTCCTTGCTCCTTCCTGGGCGAGTCTGTCTACAAACTCCATCACTAGAACGTCTTCGTCAGAAATGACGACATGGTACTTGTCGGACGAGACGTTTAGTCTGTAAAATAGAGGACTTAAAGCTTAGAGCCACGAGACGGGTTTAGAGTGGCGTGGCGGTCATTAAAGACAACTACCGGAAATAATAGTGATAACCTAACTTTCTTACCGAAGCGTGGGGATGATTATTCATAATATGTAATTGTAGTTCCTTTACGAATATTAAATTTTATAATGATTGTTAATGTTCTTTATATAAATAATACACCTGTTTTCAAACTATTAGTAATAAACAATTTTTTTACAAATATTTTAAATACAAAATATTCTAACCGACCAGAATTCGAGTCTGCAGTAGACCACTAGACTATTAAAGCCGTTAGCGATTCAATGGTGTGGCATATATTATACTAGCTACCCTGGCAAACTTTATTATGGCATATGCAATATTTTGATCATTTGATTACTATATAAAAGTTCTTGTGAGTTAATCTCAAAAGATAGACATGTAAATGTATCTGTACGACTTGAAAATTTTAAGTTTTATAAATATAAAGCAATTATAATTTATTTCAATAATATAATTTAGGTTTTTACCTTGTTTTTTCAACAGCGATGTTGTTCTTTAGTTGCACGAGGGCTCGACCGCGATGCTTGCTGGCAGCTACAAGGCGGAAAGCTCTGGACGCTTCTTCAGGGGCGTAAACCACACGCGTCAGCGGACGGACGCACCCGCGGGCTATGCCCTCGCTTACGAGGAGCTGGAGGAGCTGAAAAAGCCAAGATAAAAATAAAATCATCATTATAAAGAACTTTGACATAAAGTCAAATACCATATGTGACTAAAGGTTTCCCTTTCATATATAGTAATAGTTATATCTATAATATACAAGCGATATGTAGCATTATTTCAAAGTTAATTTGAACTTGAATACCTTATAATTAGGTTCAAATGTTAGTGGAGAGGTTCAAAGAATATCATTAAGTGTCAAAGTAAATATGTTTAAGGAACAAACCTTAACTTAGAATAAGTAAGAAGTAATAAATAGCTTTTAAAATAAAAAACTACACTTCATAAATGGAAGGTGAAATACGACAGCCATCCGACCGTTGATTATAAGTATACATCGTTAATAACGTAAGTAACAGGGTGCGTTGGTACCCGTCGTCATTAGCCTTCTTACAGGCCTCTTAGTCTTATAGCTTTACTATTTCCTAATGTATTTTTCCTATTTTCCGAATTAATCCTAAACGATTTACTAGGTGGGAGATAAAGAGGAGTTAAATATGCTTTATTCGTACCTTTAATTCTTCTGGCCGCTCATTATTAAATACAGATGTGAAATCTATAACATTGAACGACCTACTCTTGGTCATGTTGTACATTCCATATGTGTATTTTTCTTTGTTTTGCAATAATCCGGTGTCGATCACCATACCTGATGCTGCACAGCATTTCAGGGATATCTAAAAAGAAAGATAAGTTTTGAAATGCCCCATACAAATTTTACCTTTTTGACAAATTTTTCCTTTCTGAGGGGTACAATACGCTATTCTATCAGAGACACCCTACAGGTTACTAGTGTAGGTAGTATATGGGTGGTTGTTTAGTACACAATATATATAGTTTTTAATACTTACACTCTTAAGTTCACCCTTTACGCATGATATGATTACGTCGCAACCTTCACCTTTGGTTTTACCCAAAACCATATCGCCAAAAGTAAGGTCCCTCGAGTTTCCAATATTGCTATCTGAAATAAGAATTTAAACACACATCAATTTGTTGAAAAAGTAAAGGCTTTGATTAGCATTAATTATAAGGCCACAGAAGTCTAACTACTTGTCTGCAAATAAAACCGAATCCAGGGGGAAATGGGTCCTACTTAAATCGGTTAATAGCTTTTGTTGTAATTATGCAGTACAAAATATTTATTACATTGAGTCATTTAATTTTGAATAAACACCTAAGTATTTTATGTGTCTATTTAAAACGGTATTATTAAATATTCTTTTAAATTTTTGTGGGTATAATATACAAAATGGCGAACAATCTCGACGGATTCGTCCTCTGTTGGGTTTTCTGAGTCAACTATGTTATTGTACTTTAATTTATGAAGTATATATGTACTTCTTATCGATCTGTTTCAAGCAAAGGCAGTAATGAAGATATATTTATAAAGATTATTGTAAATGAAACATTAGTGAAGTTTTAGTAACTGGATTATATATAGCGTTCACATCCCATCCACACATATAATAGTATAGTATTATATAAATAACAATAGTAATTAAACGATTGTAATGACCACGGCTGCTGCAAAGCATCCGAAACGTCGGGCCGAAGTTAAAAATAATTTTCAAATAAGTTTAACTAATATGTCGCGTTTTAAACCGTTAAAGTGTTTTATTTAAACAATAGTAATGTTATTAGGCCGTGGTAACTCTCTGTGTGATGCTACAAAGCGCCCAAAACGTCGTTAAAATAGTGCCATATATATCGCGGTTTAAACAGTTTAAGTATTTTATTCGAATGAGTGTTAATAAAATGACTATAATAAATAGTATTCTTATGAGTCACTGACCTTTGAGCTGCGGGAAGAGTCTCTTGAGGAACGTCTTTTTGCTCCTGTCAGAAACTGTGGTGAAAACTTCGCAGTTACTTGCCAGGCAAATGGATATGGCAGCTTGTCCCAACGCCCCAGTACCACCATGAATGAGTACCTTCATGCCAGATACTAGTTTAGCTTTGATGACCTGAAAGTACACAATATATTAGTAAGTTTTATACCTAAACATATTTATTACGTTTTACGTTAATAATTAAACATTCACAAATTTTGTTTTATAGTTATTTTGTAACGATTTGTACCTACTTACATGTTTGTGTATTTTTTTTTTCAATTTGCCATATATTTCTTTGTAATTATATATACATATTTCATATTTTGTGTGTGTAATAGACAAAAATTACTAACAAATCGTGTGTAGAGGCTACCGAATATCAGTGTTGGGACATCAGTCCCAATGCTGAATGACTGGATTGCTTTTCAGAGGCAAGTATATGGATGTTATTATTTATTTAATTAAATTTGTATTTTTGTAGAACAAGTTTTAATTGTAAATGATTAATTGTCGTTTGTGTGTTGTTTCTGATTAAACATATTGATATTAAATATTTAACGTCTGCAATAATTAACCTAAGTTAATAAAAAACGGAACAAAATATATGGACTACCAAAACTTTATTCGCGTTTTTTAACATGCTGTACTCACCAAGCAATAAAAGGCTTGACAGTACGCAAGTGGTACAGTGGCTGCATCTTCCAAGGTCCAATGATCCGGGACCGGCCATAAAAGTCTTGGGTCTGCTTTGACGTAACTTTGCGCAGAACCTTCACTTATTACACCCATAACTCTTGTACCGCTGGAATTTATATAATGGTGAGTAATGTAAATACTATCTGTAGTACACATTTAATAACACTTTAACCGTTTAAAACGCGATATATATTGGTTTAGCTTGTTTGAAAATGATTTTAACTGCGGCCTTACGTTTCTGGTGCTTTGCAGCTGATAAACTAATATGTATCACGTTGTAAACCCTTAAAGTGTTTTATTTAAACGCAATGGTTGGTTAATGTACGACACTTTTCAATGTTAAGTGCTCTAGAAACTAAAGGTAGATTAAATAAAAAGTCTAATTACTAAGGCCTCCCTAAATAGTTAAGCGCTTGGCATTGCTAATAGTAATTCCTGGATTCGTGTCCTGGAAGAATACTCAATTGTTTCAAATGCATATGCTTCAGAAATCTGATCTGTAAATTTTTACCAGTGAAACAGACATAGAAATGTTTCCCCACATGCCCCACTGGAAGAACGAGATTTCATTAGTTAGCTAATAAGAATTAATAATTATCACATACTGGTCTGTTTCACCGCTGTAGTCCATACCGTAGGCTTTATTACAGCCTCTGTTGAATGGAACGACGCCTGAAGCTCTCTTTACATCCATTTCATTGATTCCAACGTAATGTACCTTAGTGTAAAAATATAAATATATATACAATGTACAACAAACCAAAAAGTTGTTTAGCCAAATGAAGTGTTTCTTGAGTATAAAAGCGTATGTACAGCGGCCTATCGAAGCTTTTTTGTATTAAAAAATGTGTTCTTTAATGCTGTGGAACTTTTTTGTTTTTTCATCAATACTTGCAACAATTGCAACAATTGATTTTGTTTTCACATTTTTCACACCTTGGGTTTAAAATTTTATAAAAATTCTAATGGTAAAAATGTTGTAATCGACATAATACTAACTGGGTTTATCCTTTAGAAACAAACACATTAAAGTACAATTCTTTACGTTTATAATATTAGTGGCGATATTTTTTTTATAACCAGTTCAGACAAGCCTGGGGCTCACTAAGTAGATGCCCCAGCAATATGACATCTTAACAAACAGCTCTGTCGACGTTTTTTTGTATATTCCGAAATATAACTAAATATTACAAAAAAATTAAAAATGTTGTATAGGTACAAGGTATTAATAACTTACTGATACTTTAATTGTAGACTCTGAATTTGAAATTTCAGGAGCCTCAACCCATTTCAACGAATCCATATCACCAACAGTTTCGCTCTGCAGAACAACATTCTTTATCTTCTTTTCGGATGTCTTTTCCACTGGTATGTAGTAATATCCTCCCCATCTACCCTGGAAATAAAATTATTTTTTCATTAATATTTAGCAAGTGTTTCTTCTACGATCAAATTCTTTCGAGACTTACTTTGTTTAAAACAGCAACAGCAAACTCAGATGCTGGTAACGTATCCACTTGTTGCTCCTCATTATCTTGGTCGTGTATCATCATCAGTCTTACATCACGTCCAGTTTTACGCCATTTCTTAATGGAATCTTCTAGACTGTTCACTGGTGGGTAAGGAGAGAAGACAACTATTCTTTGGTTGCTAGGCAACACAGCCACTGTACTGGACAAATGGCTGAGATCTGCCTCCGAGCGTACAGTTACGAAACTAGCTCCGGCCGTTTTGTTAGGCGGTTGCCACCTTATCAATTGAATTATTTTATCTCCAGTGTCGTGTACACACGCGACACTGTACAATGAATCCGGTCTTGTTTTCATCTCGTTATTGTATTCTTTGTTAACGATGTAAGTGTTTGGTTTCAGTTTGCTGTAAAACTCTTTGCAGAGCTGTAAAAAAATTATTAATAGGTCCGGTAAAGGTTATTTTTTGTTATTTGCAAGATTATTACTATGTTGTTGATAAAAAAATCGGTATTAATTTTGAACACATTTGTTTACCATGAAAACGAATATGTTCTGGTTGTATCTACTGTCGCGAACATTCTTAAATTCTTTTAAGAGGAATCACACTTTCATACAAACTTTTGGTTTCTTGAACTTGTCGCACCCACCAACAGAAGCCTTATAAATAATATCTTCCCCCTTTTTTTCCACATTATTACAATACCCTGAAGCTTTCCTCGGTAAATGGTTATATTATCAATTCGAACTAGTAGCTTTGAACTTGAGGTAAGTTATGGTTGAAACAAACAAATGCTTTCCAGCTTATAAGGTTAGTATAATAAAATATTATTCCTTCTTAAAATTTAGAAACTGTATTAAGAATTACCGTTTCATTAGAAGATAAATGGTTGACGAAAATAACATCAGCATTCAAGTTATTATTCGCTATCTCGGTTCCAGCAACTTCACTGTAATTCATTTTTACACCAGAAACGTCATTGAGGACTTCATACAAACGATCGAATTTAGATTCTTTAGTATCTACAACTTGCAGGATGGAAACTTCATTCTTGTAAATATTCTCAGAGATTATTTGGAGATATGTATGGAGAGCTGAAACTTCCTGAAAGAATTATATAATATTGTATCATAGTGGTTTATTACAATTTGGATATAATTAAACATTTGATATTGTTCGCATCTATTGCATATCATGGCATTATGAAAGTAAAAATCTATTTAGACTTTAAATAATACAAAACGGGTTAAAACGCGATATATATTAGTTAAACTTATTTAAGAATTATTTTAACAACGGCCCGACGTTTGCAGCAGCCGTCGCCACGGCTGTTTTAAAACGTTAAAGTGTTTTATTTAAATGTGTACTCGCGTAAACTACAGACGGTATCCGTTTTGAAAATATTTACGACACAAGCTAGACTTGAACCCACAGCGTTCCGTTGCTACTCTAACCCCACCTCAAACACGGTAACTCGATTTGTTAGAGCAACAGCACGCAACGTTGCCGGGTAAAGTCTCGCCCATATCGTCCTGTTGTTCAATATAAATGGATTTTTAATTTTAACAATTATGTTGAGCTTCCGTCCAGCTCCTCAAGCTCCCACCGCATTGCGGCGGTCCAAGCCGAGGCCGATGTCCCCTAGGGGCACCCTTGGTCTAGCCCCAAACGCCCGGTTAGTATTCGAGGCCCCGTCAGGGCTCAAAACGTAAAATCAATAAATAGAAAAAAACTTACATTGGCTGAGTCTGCAACATAATGCGGTACAAACTGCATTGTTTTTAGAGATATGTCAGTTTTATATGCGGACAGATCGTGGTAACGCAAGTTTTCTATGACAACTCCACCGCAGCTGAAAAAAAATTACGTTAATATACATATATATGAACACACATACGGGAACATATGTGGGGTTAATTTTATGGGTGGTGATATACACTAGTCATAAAACATCTAAACAAGATGCGCTACCAACCTTTTCTGGCTTTGGATATTAGGAAATCTACAGACAAAAACTGAAACGCGATTCAACTTGACCGCTTTTTTATCTGTGGACTGTGTTTCGTGACCTGAACGGAATTTTGATATTCCTAATACCTATTAAAGTGAACTTTCCAAGAAAGGTCTGGCATGTTTTAGACAAACTATAATTTTATTTTAGAATGTTGGATCTGACGGGAATCGAACCTAAACCCGATGATTTGTTTTTTTTTATAATATATGGGATGTTGATTAGACGAATTCATTCATTAATTCCATTTAAATTCTATACGCGTAATTGAAGTCACTAATCACACAATTTCACATATTGTCACACATTAAAAACTAAACTGTATAAATTAAAAATTGTGTATAAATAGAAAAAAAAATTACGACACGACGGGCGGGCTGTTGCTCTAACTAATTGAGCCACCGAGTCCTACACGTCTTTATCGTTTTATTTCAGCCTATTGATACATGCACCTTTTGCGCCATGTAATTTCAACCTTAACAATTGCTCATTAAGGTTGAAACTTAAACTAAAGACTGGTAAAACAAATGATTCAAAATTTGCTGTTTACCTTGTTTTATCAAACACTTCGGAGACCTGAGCAGGCACTGCGGTGACTTTATCATTCGTAATGTCGCGGTGTCGAGTAACATCGATAGATATTTTCCTCACAAACTCTGGTAAGGAACAAACCTTCTCCTTTCTTTTCAGAGCGTTCAACTGGAAGACACCATCGATAAACGTAGTCCAGTTCTTATTCCATAATACTTCTGCTTCAGTAATTGTATAATTTGCAGATTGAATAGTCTTAAAGTCGCCGCTGAAACGAAAAGATTATTTCCAATGATCAATTTTAAAACGGTTTAAAACGTGTCCAAGACTAGTTCATTCATAACTAATGGACATGATAAAATGAAAAAAAAATGTATGTGTTATTTAAGGAATGATTTGCCAGACTAATTCGATTTATCAGCCTATCACCAATCAGCTCAAAGCCCCAAGTATCTGTTCAAAATGGCCGCGAAAGTCTATTTTTTTATAATAGAGATTCAGATTTTCCGACGAAGTCTAACGTGTTTCAGAAGAATTATAAATTTATATTAGTTCTTGTTTCATTCCGTTTAAACCTGTTTACTTTAATTTGTAATTATTAAATACCTGTAATTGAAATCCTTGGTGTAAAGTAATTTGTAAACATCGTCCGATTTTAGGGACAAAGGTTCACTAGCCTGTTGTATTTGACGTGGTATAATGGTTTCTTTTTTGTCGGCCAACGAGATATACCCAGTGATGATAACGACCTCTTCGTTTATTACCTGTGCAATAAATTTACTTCTGTCAAAAAAATATATAATTAAATATTTACATTGACTATAGGAAATAACTAAATCGTCGGGAAACCCTAGTACAGTATTGTCTGTACTTTAATCGAATAATTTATTTCACGCACACAAAAATACAATAATATAAATTGTATGTGTATGTGTATGTGAGAAGAAACCACTCGCTTTTATTGTATCAGGAAGTGATGGCCCGTGACCACAGTTTCGACAAAACTGATATAAATGAAAAATAATACAACAATTTTTTTTCGCGTTTAAAACCGTTAGTTGTGTGCTACTTGCGTAAACGTGATAAAATTACCTCAAACTTTCCTGTGCCCCTGTGCCAATTGACGTTGATTCGCAGCTGCCTTCTCTTCTGCAATATTGGTTGAGAGAAGAAGTGTAATTCGGTAAACTGTACCGATACATTCCTCTTTTCAAAACCGTTATACATCGCAAACGTATCCCATACGGAAACCAGAGCAGCGGAGAACGGGTAAACATTTTTTTCTGCGAAAAAATATTATCTATACTAATAAATAAAGCTGAAGAGTTTGTTGGTTTGTTTGTTCGGGCTAATCTCAGGAACTAGTTGTTGGAATTGAAACAGTAGTGTTGTGTTGGTCAGACATTCAGAAAAAATCGTGTTATATCTAATAGGAGCAATGAAACGGCGGGTAATGTGGAAAAAATCTATATTTGTGGGTATCCGTTGTGTATGCTGCGAAAACGGTTTACAATAAAAATGTATAGAATAGTGACTCCTCTTTAAATGATGTAAAAAAAGTCCGCGACGCTATATCTTATATAGACGTTATGTCTATCTTTTAAGATTAACTTGCAAGAACGACGGGACGGGACGCGACCGACTTCGTGGGTAATACTTAAGTTTATAAAAATGAAAGGGGTTTGAAAAAACCAATTTGTATGCCCAAAATAAATATTCTTAGCGGACGTAGTCCACAGCACAGCTAGTAAATATATAAATAATATATACACTTTAATATCACTTCGCAAAGCTTACCTTTGATCACGTGACCTTTTAAGTACATATGTTCATCATCGTGAACAGATATTACAAATTTGCATGCAGTTGCCGTTCTCTTTTCGGCTGAAACGTAGAGAGACAGGTTCCTGAAAGAGTTCATTTTTATGATTGCCGCAGATATTAGGCAAAATTATGTTTCAAGAATATAAACATGGTACTACTTGTTATCTGATAGGGACAGACTGAAAATCAGCGCTTAGCAAGCCTTGCTGAGCACATGCTGAGTCTTTATACCTTTTAGCATAAAGTTAAAATTGGTCTTTTTTTGTATTCTTTTATTTGTAAGGTTTTTTTTTTAATTACTTATTTGAATTGTAAATTATGTACTTTGTGATAATAAACGGATTATTTATTTATTTATTTAAAAATTAACTAAAACACTTTTAGCGGTTTACAACGCGTTACAACGTCTGTATTTTACGCGAGTTTAAAAACACATTTAAAAAAGACTTAACGGTTTAAAACGCGAAATATATTCGTTAGATTTATATTTATCTTATTTTAACTTCGACCCGACGTTTCGGATGCTTTGCAGCAGCCGTGGTCAATTGTCGTATATGAACAACACCGAAAATAATATCGCAAATAAAATTATATAACTCGCGTTTTAAACAGTTAATGGTTTTATTCAAATGTCTATTACTGGCGTGAGTTACAGATAATGTTTAGATTATTTCAAAACAAAATTATTGTCATTTTTTCTATACCAACCATTTCTCAGTGTGCGCCCATTCCACTTGATGGCCCAACATAGGAGTTCCCGTTGATACAGGAAACTCGACCTTTGGATATAGCGCGGAAATTTTAGGGTTAAATCCTTCTAAGTATAATCTGGAACACAAGTATACATTTTATTTAGGTAATATTATATCAGATAAAGTTATAGAAATTTAAAAAAAACTATTAAGATTAGAAGATAAGATCTTTTACGGTTCTAACCAATTGGCACGAAGCTTAACCAAACTCAGGCCATGTTTTCTTTTTCAATATCATATTTATCATCATATTTAACATTTAACATATAATAAAGTTTTCTGCGATTCTTATCTTTTGCATATAATTTTTTTGTGGAATAGAATAGAATTTATTCAGAATCACAACAATTAAAACTTAATCTAACCAACGATATCAATAAGTAAACAAAAATTTAATTATAAATTTTATTAAATACGACGATGTATTCCGACACTGATATTCTGAAGATCCCTTCAGCGGCCGAGCTACCGCAAACAAATTTACCAATAATATATATGAAATTCTGTAAGTTCACCGTTTGGAAAATACATATCGACGGGCTTGTCGGCCTAATAACCAACGGCTTGATCTCCATCGGGTCCGACATTTTTCTAATCAATTTTTTAAGGGACTTCGTCTGGAAACTGGATATTAAATGGAATATCGAAATTCCGGCCTAACCTACCATCAAGTGAATCCGTCTGTCCTCCTCTATGATTAAAAGAAATACATACTTTCCAATAGCCTCCAATAAGAAAATAACATTATCCACGTGTCCTCGCCTAGTGAGAGGAATATTAGTACAGGCAGGCAGGGAACGCTTAAGAATAGCCTGCAGCAGACCATGTGGGGCCACTTCAACTAATATAGCGTTTTTGGGAATCAGCGCTGAAGTTTCTTCGAATAGCACTGGGTTCTGAAATTATGGTATTCTTTAGAAGCTGAAATAGTTTGACTGTTTTTTCTAAGATGGCCATTAAACCTTTTATATACAAACTATTAGGATTTTAGAGCTAGAGATCTGCCACGTCAGGTGATCATCGACTAAGAGAAGACTGAAGATAAGAGCTAAAGATGATAATGCCACCCACTTGTGATGGCGAAATGTCGAGAATCATTTCTCAATTACAACGACCTAACAGTTAAAGAACTCAAATGCAATTGCAAAGCGCAAAGGCTTTATTATACAGTTAAGGGTTAAAACGACAGTTCAACGTGGATGTTTATCAATATAGTCCCAATATGAATGTAGTACAGTACCAGCAAATTATTGGTGTGATATTCTGCCGAAGAATATTTAGCAAGTTCCTCGTTCCATCTGTCTTGAGGTATTGATGTAGATACCCAACGGTCGCTACGGAGCCTCGGAGTTGTAATCACTTCGTTCAGATATTTAAGAAGACCAGGCCCTGAAAATATTTATGCATATAAACAGAAGTCAAAAGTGAAACACATTTATTCACATAGGTAACTAGGTACATTTTCGAACCAAGCCCTAAGCATTTTATCGTTGAAAATATTGATTGAAGTCATAATAACCATTTCCAAGCAGTTTAATTGACAGTGTTTACAATTCACTGAGGATTTTATTGAAAATAACATATTAAAATAAAACACTTAACGGTTTAAAACGCCATATATATTAGTTAAACTTATTTGAAAATTATTTTTAGTCTCCCCGTGACCACGGCTGCTGCAAAGCATCCGAAACGTCGAGCCGTAGTTAAAATAAGATTAATTAATATATATCGCGTTTTAAACCATTAGTTATTTAAATGTGCACTACTCGCGTAAACTACAAACTAGCAGTTAAGAACATATTATCCTATAACAATTTTTAAATATAATTTACTCATACGAAAACAACAAAATTAATCTTACCAGCTTCAGCAATATATCTAGAATGATAAGCAATATTGGAGCACGGAACCTCCTTAGCAAAGATGCCTTTCGCAGTCAGCGATTCTACGAAAGCCTTCATGGCATCTGCTGGACCGGATATTGTACTCGATTCGGAACTATTATGGCACGCTACCTCTATTTCCTTCGGGACTAATTTTGAAACCTGAAAAATGCCTTAAATTTAAAAAAAACGTTTATTACAATACAAATATATTTATTACATTTATACTATAAATTGAGTTTAAGGTTACTTCTAGCATACTATGCTAAATTATGTTGTTTTATAAAGCAAAAAAAAATGTTTTCAACCTGTTTTTGTATTCTAATTATCGAACAGATTTAATAAAAAGCTTATTCCATATCTATGCCAGCGACTTAGTCCACGTAGAATAGTTATTTTAGGTATCAAATTTTGTTTTGCAAAATTTATAAAATATACCCACGACCTTCGTCGTCCGCGCCCAATAGTTCTTGCAAGTTAATCTTAAAAGATATACATATACTATCGCAGACATTTTTTAAATTGTTTATTGAGGAAACATTCTTTGATAGCTTTTTCTGTCTATCTTAAGTCGTTTTCACAACGAACGCGTCGAACGTTTTATACCCTTCCTCGATACATGCTCTAACCAATGCGCTAACCATTTTTCAAACCGAACCAGTAGTATTTGAGATAAGCGCATTTAAACAAACAAACAAACTTTTCAGCTTTATATACTAGTATTAGATTATATAATATAACAATGTATGTTTACAACACTACAAAACGTTTGAAATTGAAATTCGTTTAAAGTAAGCAAGCGTACCTAATCTTTAGATATTACCTCTTGGTACCCCATGCCAACAGCAGCCATGGAACCGCGAATAAATGGTGTCTGTACAGACACGAGCCCACGACTGTACGCAGATAAGATCATTTCCTCTGCAGTAAGGCAACCATCGGCGTATGCGCAACCAAGTTCGCCTACACTGTGACCTATAAAATCATTATATATTTTTTATATACAGATATAGAACCCCTGGTTCATTGATTACTTATACATTGCTACCATTACACCAACAAGTGGAGTGGAGTTAAGAAAAATAAAGGTATGGTATAATTTTAAACCTATAATTTTATCAGGAACAAGTCCCAACTCCTTCAGCACATCTGTAAGTCCAATTTGGACAGCAGCGATTCCAACGAAACAGTGAAGAATATTATCCATGATAGTCTTGTCAGGTGTAGTAATTATGTGTACTATATCTATTCCTTTTGGTTCCAAGGCTTTACGACACCTGTAACATAATCCAGTTATATAAATATCAATAAATCTTTATACTTTTCTTTTTCCATGATAGTGAATCTTCTATTATACTTCTTTTAATATAAACTTGTATTTCATACCTTTCAATCGCTGCAGCGAAGACTGGTATGCGCATGAGTTGCGTTCCCATACCGGCCCACTGCGAGCCCATACCACTGTAGACGAACCACAGAGGACTTGTGGTATCATCATAATAATCAGCTTTCTCTGCTAAGCTTATCGTCTCGTCCTTTTCGTTTTTGTCTGAAAGATTTGAGTATTTAAAGATTTCAGAAGTTCAGTTATTTAGATAAAACAGATATTTATAGACTTGTTTCATTATTTTAATAAAGAAAACTAGCACATTAATACAACATTTTAAATAACATAAAAAAAACGCCTCTGAATTCAATAAATAAGAATACTTCTGGCATTTGGCAGTTCGAATCCTGACGAAACAATAAATTGTTTCGTTCGAACAGTCACTTTAAAAAAAGGAAAGAAAAAAGTATTTATTTTTTTGTCAATAAGATCTGATAATCTAATGGCAAATAAATAAAAATCGACTTAAATGGACACAGTTTTTAGTACGTGCCCGGCAAAAAAAGCCTTAAAACACTATTTTTGACATGTTATATGATTTAGCTTGATGGCAATATATAAATAAAAAGTGTTACCCAAGATAGTGAATCCTCTTCCCAAATGCGCAGAAATTTTGTTCTTGTGTATATTGTGCAAGAGAGCCAATTCTTCGGGATCTATTGGCCGGGACTTGAGGTCATTCAAAATTTTCTCTACAGCCGATTGCTGCCTTCCAGATATTGTAACAAGATGAGGGATGCTTGACTTGTATCGGTTAATATCCTGTAATATGATTTATGTATGATTTTATTACCTTTATAGATGGTTAACAAATGATATGGATATATCACCGGCCCTTAATAATATTATTAAGAATATTTTTGAAATAGGGTAAACACATTCTGCCTGGCCTGCCGAATTTTATTTACAGCCTTGTAGTCCACAAGACTGGAACGGGATTTGAACCCAGGAAACTCTCGTGTCGGTGTTAAAATATAATGGTAGAATATTTGTTTTTCTTTTAATTTGTCATATTTACCTTGGGTTTGTAATGTCCATGCAGCAAGACGTGTGCATTTACACCGGTGACCGAAAAGCCATTAACACCGACATACCCACGGTTAAAGGATTTATGATCAGTCACAATACTCATTTTTCCTTCGCGAAGCCCGACGACATCATCGCGAGGGTTCTCACAGTGAAGGTTCGATGCGATCTCTCCCCTTTCATAGCCGAGAACGACCTAATAATATTGAGAATCAGTTAACGTACCTTATTTATATAAAAAAAGCTGCGAAATTTAAAAATTACAGTATTTATTTTTATTAGTTTGTCTTAGCAAAAAATATGAGGCTGTTAGAGACAGAGTGGTCTAATAACAAAAAAACATGTTTGTATAAGAATAATGTTAACAACATATCATTGTTCACAATTCTTCGAGCAATCGAAGAGTTAACATCTCCTGATGATGCCGTCCACACGTGATGGCGAAACGTCGAGAACCTCTTCTCGCTCACGTCTGCCGAACAGCCCGAAAAACAATGATATGCTATATAACATTTTTAGACTATAAAAATATAATTAAGTCGAGTCATAAAATTGCAGATAGGCTCCTCTGCCTCTAACGGTCATAAACAAAGATAAATCTATATACTGATTTATTATATGAAACAAAAATATCGTTAATACTGATACATACACAATATATCATTACTACATCTAGGTGTACTAAATCACCTGATCTAGTGAGAATTCTAAACCCACCTTAGTTATAGCAGAAATTCCTGAAGCGGCCTCTCCATATCCAATGTTAGACATCACACTTCCAACAAGCAGTTGATTGTTTACATCACGTTTCTTACAAAACACGTCGTTAATCACTTCTAATTCCATTTTATCATTCTCAGAAGTCGCTGTAAACATGGAATTTTAAATTATACAATTTTTTTTAAAGGTTTGTCATCCTTTTTACCTACTGATGACAAAGATATTGTAAAATAAAGGAGTATCTTACCTGATCCTACCGCTTCAACATATTCTACCTCTTCCGGAGCAACTCTTGACTGTCTATAGAACTCTTTCAGGAAATCTCCAACTCTGTCTATCTCACGGTAAAAGCCAAATTTCGGACCATTTTCTCCTTCAGGTAAACCAGAAAATTCTGATTTCACATTAACTACTTCAGCGTAAACTCTAAAAAACATTTTAAGAAATGTATATGCTAGTTAGATATGAGAAGCCAATTATAAAAATACGATTAATTATTTTGTTTATTCAATGTCGTAAGACAAACCTTAAAGCATCCTTTGCTCTCTGAAGAAACAAAACGTTGACAGCTTCAGACTTTGCACATCCACAGGCATTTTTATCAAATGATTTTGTTCTGCCATCTTTGTTAAGCTGTAGAACTCTGAAAATAAAAAAGCCTTAAAAAGGATAAATACTACTAAGGTTACATTCCAAAACTTTTTATACTGAAATATTAAACCAATAAAAAAAAATATTTTTTTTGTCTACCTACTAAACATAAATTTAGGAAAAATAACAAATATATACAACTATAGTGCACCTTCTTAAGTGAACAGAAGACTGTGGGAGAAGACATAAACTAGCTCCTCCAACAATAGCAGCGTCCACTTCACCATGTAATATGGAATTATATGCAAGTTCCAATGCCACAGTGGAACTACAGCAGGCCTGGTCTACTGACATGGATGGACCCTTAGCATTCAACCAGTAGGAAATACGATTTGCGAACATACTTTTACTGCATCTGAAAGAAGAAGAGAATTAAAACTTAACTTTTGATTGTAGAGTTTGGGCAACATTACCTATTAAGAATATTTATTATTAAAACACTTTACCGGTTTAAAACGCGATATATTAGTTAGACTTATTTGAAAATGATTTCTAACTTCTTTTTTTTACTTAGAAACCAAGTACAATTTGAATCTTATGCGCAACTACAGTAAAACTCAATAACTTATCAAATTATACGGATTTTAATATTAAAACTTAATATGGGTGTTATTAATGTTGATCTAAGAATTGCAAAATAAATGTAAATATATCTAGGTCAAAAATGTAAATAAACAAACATGTAAATTAGAGGCGTGCGATTATGAGATATACTAATGAAATCATTCGATTATGAAATATTAGTAGTTATAATAGAAAAGGATAAATTATTCATCGCCTGCATCGCTCCATGCCTCTATCATTTATGTACGAAATTCTTATTCATCCACAATACGTTACTTTTTTTATTACACTAAGATTTTCTACAAGGAAAAAATTGCTGGATCTTTTAGAACACACTCGAACGACCTTACATTTGTTTGAATGAAATAAATAAGTAATTCAAACAGTACATAATCAAAGTTCGTAACTAAAATTGATGGAACTTAGGATGAAATGAAAATAATGAATACATATATCTTAATTTGAAAATCGAAAATAAATTAAAAAAAATTTCGAACCGGCCAGGACTTGAACCGGCATCGTCAGCGTTCCGTGCTGTCGCTCTACCAATTGAGCTACGGAGTCCTATACCTCATTATGGAATCTTTTCAACTTATTGGTACATACATGCATCTATCGCGCAATGTAATTTGAACCTTAAAAATTGGTGTATTAAGGTTCAACGTCTGATGCTTTTCAACTTAAGATATCATTAAAGATCAAATTACACAGTTATGCACGGAACGCTGACGATGCCGGTTCAAGTTCTGCCCGAGTCGAATTTTTTTTTAAATTTATTTTCGCTTTTTAAATTATATAGTGCCTTCATGTGCAATAACATGTAAAAAATATTAAAGTTTTCAATGAATATACTTACCCCATAATACCAAACCCGGTCCTGGAACTAACCATATAAAAATTAGCTCTCTCTGCTTCAGAAAAACATGTTCCCATGTAAACTCCTACTTTCTTGCCAGACAGATCGTCGGAATTAATACCTAAAAATTACATTTATTGAGTATTTGTTATTAACTATTTCTTATCTTATCTACCTACCTACCACTCTAATTCAGTTCGAAAAAAAAACAATATAAATTAAACAATTCAACATGCGTTGAATACAAAATGTCTAATAATTAAATACTTATCATTTGATTTAAAGCAAATAATATTTCTAAATGCAACTATGTAATTGTAAAACATATACATACATATATAAGAACTATCAACAGGTACAAGACGTAAGTAAGGAAAATTGTTATTTTGTTATTGAAGGATAATATTAAAATTAAATTTACGGTAATTAAGAGCAGATCCCAATTTTAACCAGATATTGTATCTGATATTTTTATTATATGTAATATTTTATGATATATTGAGCCAATATTACCAGCATCGTAAATAGCCTGAAATGACTGTTCCAACACTTTTCTAGACATAGAATCCATAGTGTTTCCAAGACGATAATGTACTTTGAAGAACTGCCCGTCAAAGTACTCCAAATCGGGAACCTTCCCTGTATATTGAGCCACTTCGGGATGGTCATACTTCCAACGGCAATTCTCAGATGTCACGGGGTTTACCTAAAAGGAATAATTATTTAAATTAAATAATTTTAACTGTTTTAAACCCGAAATATATTAGTTTTTTTTTGTAAAACACTAGAATACATTTTAAAACGCGATATATATTCGTAACATTGGACCGTAGTTAAAATAATTTTCAAGTAAGTTTAAATATATCGCGTTTTAAACCGTAAAATGTTTTATTTAATTGTGTACTACTCGCGTAAACTACATACAGTATTTAAATTGTTTTTATTTTCTTTTAAGTACAGCCCAACCGTGACGTTTTGACGATGATGGAGGCTTACGAAAATTTGGCTTGCGAAAACAAAAGGGTAATAATTATAATTATACTTTATATTGCCACGTATAAAGCCAAAACCAGACGTTATAGTACAAATTATGTAGTTAAGATCGAGGAAGGTCTGTTAGAATTAACAGGGCTCATAACTAAAACTGGCCAAAACCGAGGCGAGGCGCATGAACAGACTATGTAAAGGCCTATACCCGACAGGGTTTCGTATAAAACTTAACTTACTTGTCTAACACACAGAGTTTTTTTCTATTTTTAACCATTAATTCAATTTTAAAATATAATATATATATATATACTACTATTTTACTTACCATAACTGAATATACTATTTTACAATAAATTGTTTGATTTATTAACTAACACTTGGTGAGCATATGGTGGCGTTATAAGAATATTTGAATAAAACATTTTAAACGGTTTAAAACGGATATATCTTAGTTAAACTTATTTAAAAATTATTTTTACTGCGGCCTGACCTTGGATGTGTGCAGCCGTGGTCACGGGGGGGACCGTTTCAGCCGTTAAAGTGTTTTATTTTAATACTACTTGCGTAAACCACAGACGATGTAACAATAATAAAGATATAACTCATAAAAAGTGACCACAACAACAAAAAAAAAATAATCAACTGCCTTATAAGATAAAATAAGGGTACTAAATTCGAAATAAAGTTTAATAATACACATAATATTAATTAAGTGTAAGTATCAATTTAAAAACTTCCCAAACTTCTCTGTCCGAGGTTAAGAAACTTCCGCCTTCCCCGATTGGCATTGATTAAGAATATCTAACATGACCTACTAGAGGCACTACTGTTTAATAAGTTCAGCCACCAAAAACATGAATATTATTTATTCTACATCGTGTAAGGCTTTCACGCCCATTGTTCAGCATATATACCAACAAAAAAAAATTTTTTTTCGAGCAATCGAGGAGTTAACATCTAATGATGTCCTCCGCATAATGTGACGAAACGTCGAGAACCTCTTCTCGCTCACGTCAGCCGAACAGCCCGAAAGACAAGAATGTAATATTTATTCTTTTGAATCTTTGTATAAGTACAATAATCATTAACATTAATGCAAATCTTTACAAAAAAATAAAAATTATGCTCGTTAATTTTGTATTATAATATGCATAAAATTAACACAGTACATCCTGCGCCGACATTTTGAATTTGTTTAAGGCTAAAAAACGAGTAATTTGTAGCCTTTTTTTGGCTTCAAATAATTGATTTAAAACACGTCGACCCAGTCAATTATATCTCAAATGCCAAGCACAATGGATGTGTCTGATCTCGTGAAATTAAAGCCCGATACTTTGCAGGTGGTTCTTCAAGAAATCGGTTTGGGCAAGCCTGGTGAAATAGAAGATGCTATTGAAAAACTCAAGGAGTGGATACATCAGCAACCACATTTTAAGAAACGGGACTATCGTACGTATTGTATAGTTTCTTATATATAATGATAAGTTGATATCTTATTATTTAAATAAAACACTTTAACGGTTTAAAACGTTTATTATATTTATTTAAATGTGTACTACTCGCGTAAACTATAGACAGTACGCGATATATTAGTTAAATTTATTTGAAAATGATTTATAACTTCGGCCCGACGTATCGGATGCTTTGCAGCAGCCGTGGTCACGTGGAGACCATTTTTCCACCGGGGGGAGTCATTTTCCAATAAGTTTAAGTAATATATCGCGTTTTAATCCGTTAAAGTGTTTTATTTAAATGTGTACTACTCGCGTAAACTATAGACAGTATTTACCTTATTATTTGTCAATTTATTTGATTATTTTTACCATAAGAAGTGGTTGATGATACATAATGCGTATATTTTACAGAAGCCTTTTAAATGGTTCGCCCGCGAAGCACAATAGTGTACCTAGCTTTGCTTAAGCACCAAAGCGATGTTTAAATTTCGGGAGATTTTCTTATTTTTTTTTGGTTTCGGTTTTCGGTCGGGCAGAACACATAATGAAATCGATAAGGGTTTTGGGCACAACTTATGTCTCACACGTCGTGGACAAATAGAGGGCACACACACTTTTTATAATGATTTCGTTATTGTATGCGATTGTTCATTTGCAAGCTATTTTAGTAATTGTACACTAGTAAATAAAACTATTCTATTTTTAATTTAAAACTAGAAATTCGTTTTTTAGAAATTCTATTTTCTTTAAACGAAGCTACTCGTATATTGACCGCCTCTGTAGCCAAATGGTTAAACAGATTGCCTAGCATTGCGTTAAGCGCGAGAGGTCCTGGGTTCGAATCCCAGGGAAACACAATTGTTTCGGCCGGGCAGGTCAAAGAAGTCTGATCAACTAATTGCCTGTTAAAAGAATGGATCAGTGAAACGGACACAGAAATGTGTTCGCCCTATGCCCCTATGTCCTATAGGGGGAAACGGGCTTTCACTTTACTCGTTTACTTAAAATTCTCATTAATACAAACTCTAAAATATTGTTCTACATTTCAGATGAGCACTTTCTCAAAACCACGATCATCATGTCAGGTTCACTAGAGCGCGCGAAGAAGCAAATTGAAAAAATGTGTACGATGAGAACATTTTGTCCAAAAATCTTTGGAGTCCAGAACGTTAAAAAGGAATTTTCTTATATACTCGAACATGGGTAAAATTAAGTTTTTGATAAAATTTATTAAATAATGCCACAGTAATGATGTAGGAACACAATTAATTGTTATCAAAATTATATACGTAGATAGCTACGATATAAAATGTGCTATTCTCACTATGTAATGCTTCCGTTATTCTAATAATATTCCCAGCATTCAAATGCTAGAGGCTACGAAACATTTTAATTGCTTAATTTTTTATTTTGTAGGTCTTTTATAACAATGCCCGAAATCACCGACCAAAACCAGAGAGTTTTTATCGCTAGCGTTCACGGAAAAATATCTAATTCTTCGCAACTAACAGATTTTTATCGATATGGATTTTGCGTAAGTCTTTACTTTATTATATACTTTTTGCCATTTCATCCAATTTATATCTATTATATAAAAAAGACACTTTAACGGTTTAAAACGCCATATATTAGTTAAACTTATTTGAAAATGATTTTTAACTTCGGCCCGACGTTTCGGATGCTTTGCAGCAGCCGTGGTCATGGGGAGACTTTAAAACGTCGGGCCGAATAACTAATATATGGCGTTTTAAACCGTTAAAGTGTCTTATTTAAATGTGTACTACTCGCGTAAACTATAGACAGTATTTATATAAATAGTAAATAACTAATAATAATAAATAGTAAAATATACATTTATAGTATATATAAAAGACAAAGGTCTTGGTTTAGTGGTTAAAACTATGCTTAAAGCACGACAGCCGCGGATTTTTGAATTTTGGGTACACATTATACATTATTTTGGCTGCAAGGCAGTCTAATTACCAACTAGACTGTAACCAAAATCAGTGCACGAGACAGAATTGTCTGCCGCGTGTCTATACTATAAATACTAATTTTATTGTATCCGTTTGTCCGTTTGTCAGTTTGGCGAATATCTGAAAAGACACGACTGCATTGGAAAATATCACTACATTTTTGATCTTAGACAAGCAAACATGATGGAATTATTAGCTGTCAGCAATCCACTTGAAATGAAGCAGAGCTTCACGATTCTAACGGTAAGCACGTTTTGTTATAATACAATTTTGAGGATTACTAGTGCAATAATAAATAAATGTGTCAACGACTTCGTCCGCGTAGAATAGTTTTTTTGTCATCCAGATTTGTCTTTGCAAACCTCTCCTTTATCTTTATAAATTGTAGCTGTTACAAATGAAGTCGGTCGCATCCCGTCGTTCTTGCAAGTTAATCTTAAAAGATAAGATTAAAGAACAGCGGAGTCTTGGTTTAAGCTATGGTCGAAATGAATCTAAGTTAGAACCAAAGTTAGTCCAGTACAAACTTTAACATTAGTTTTGCAATAAGGACTTCATGAATAAACCAGGTTTTAAACCAGCTTTGAGAGTTAGTCTTCGCTTTGTATTAAGAGTGATTGTGTCGCGGATCATTAGAAGAAGAATTTTTCTTTTATACATATTTTTGGATATCTTAACCGTTTTCGGAGCATATGTATTGGAAACCTTCAAAGATGAATATTTTTTTCCGTTTTTTCTACATTTTCCGCAGTTTCTTCGCTCCTATTTGTAATAGTTCGTATATTTTATAATCTGAGACTTCCTCGAGAAATGCTCTAATCGAACCAAAAATAATTTTATAAGTTTTAAAATATATTTGACTGTAATCAGTCAAATATGTTTTTGAAACAGGCGCAATTATCCAAAAAAAAAATAACGACAAGATTAAACTTTGCATTTATATTTTTTACAAAGTAATAATACAGTATTTTGCTCATAATTCAAGTACTTATTGGATTAATGATTCCGAGCAAAAAAGAGCTAAGATAACGTTCCTTGCTTTGAAGCTTGAATTCATTATATTTTAATTTTAGTATTTGGAGTTATACATATATAAATAAGTCGGAATACAAAATCGGTACTACAGTCTGACTACAGTATAGTCTCAGTAACAGGTCCCGTGTATTGTACATGATGGCACTATATAAATTAAAATTCAATTATAAATTTAAAAGGGCAATAGCACAGAACGCTGTAGGTGGGTTCATGTCCTGCCCGAGTCATACATTTTTTATTAATTTATAATCGATTTTTTAGTTTTTTACTGTGAATTTCATTTAATTACCAAAGAAATATGTAAATACCATGATCTTTTTAGGAATGCTATGGAGTTAAAATCAAAGGGATTCACTTCGTAACAAAATCGAAACTCATCGAATCCTTCTTCACAATACTGAAACAGTTTTTGAAACCAAAGATGGTTCAACGTCTACATCACCACAGCAGTACTGATACCCTGGTCGAGATCATGGGAGAGAAGTTCCTCCCGAGTGATTTGGGTGGCACTGGTCCGTCAACTCGGGAACTTCACAGTTAGTAACATTACTAAATTAAACGATTATAAACGCGATTAATTCCAAAACAGCCTCGACTTGTTATAGACAATTTATTGCCTTTAAATTCAATACGAAATACTACTTGTTTAAACTATACCATTACACCAGCGAGCTCGCTGGTGTAATGGTCATTCGATCCCCACCGGGACCAACAATTTTCAATAATAAGTTTTCTGAAACATATTGGATGTCGCCTGGAAATCTAGGTATTAACTGGATGGTAGGAATGTCGAAATTCCGTCCGGATCACGATACACTGTACACAGATAAAAAAGCCGTTAAGTTCAATTGCGTTTCGGTTTCTATGGATTTCCAAATATCCAAAGCCAAGGTCGACAACACATCTAGTTTTAGTGTTATATGGTTAGGGTATTTCACCTATCATCAAGTGAAGTCCACGCTTGTCTGGCCTACTTTATCATATTTTCTTACAGACAAATGGGTGGAAGCATTATCTTCCGAGGAAAGCACGAAATTTTTCCAAGAGATGAACGAAGCTCTCATCGACGAAAGCCTAAGATCCACTTTTGAATTAAGCGAGGAATATGCTGGGATGGCCGGCAGCTTCAGAACCCTCACCGTAGATTAAGACTTCGATATATTCGCACTGCATTCGTTCGACCATGCCAATTTTTTTCCTTGTACATATTAGCATAACTCGTTTTCGCAAATATTTTAAAAATGTTTCTGGTTTTTAAAAATGTAATAAGAACTAATTTGACAACATCAAGGACACGTGATCTATTAAAAAGATAAGATAGAGAAGTCGGAATTAGTTAAAATTGGTATAGAATTTACGACTTACGTATTTTATTTCGTAGATTGACGCGGAACTGGATTTTTCTTAATAATATTTTACTACAGTATAATGTGTGGTAGATAATTTATAATAATATAATTAAATACTGTCTATAGTTTACGCGAGCAGTACACATTTAAATAAAACACTTTAACGGTTTAAAACGCGATATATTAGTTAAACTTATTTTCAAATAAGTTTAACTAATATAACAACTAATATAACAATTTAACAATGAGCAATGGAGAAAGTAAGCAGATCACCATACATAATATAGTCTTTTTGACAGGAGATAGATATCTGATCTACTACTTATCTGTGAACAAAGGGAAACAATATGTCTCCCTGACGTCCCACATTAGGATGTTCTATATCTTACCTTATTATAAAGAATCTCTTGGAATTCCTTAACATTGTACGCTTCTGGGTATAACCCTGCTACGCCCGATATAACAATCCTGTCACCAGGCAATTTGGATGTTGACTCTCCGGGCAGGACATCTTGAGGGTTCGGTGCCATCTTGGGTATCTTTGGAAGTACAATAAATATTTTTATTAAACCATTTGGTAGTAAACCACTTTTAGGATATGTAAGCTAAAGGTCAAACGAAAAATATAGCTGATTTCAGTCTTATTTAATATCAACCTTAGTTTTATTTAATATTAGTTAACTGTTATATATTCGCCTTAAACATTTTAGGAGTTTTTAGTAAATACATTAATAATTAAGTAAATAAATTATAATAAATGAAACTCTAAAACAAACTTGATTTTTCGTCAATGCTAATTTTCACTGTAAAAGTTTTTTCACTTTACAATTAAGTTTTTTTTTTCACTTTATGTAATGGTAAATATTAAAAACTCATTTGATTACTTTTGTTTATATTATTTATACCACGCTTTAATCCAACGCAGTTTCACCAAGATATAGTAACTGTTAAAACATTCGAAATTTCTCACATGTTATTGCACATGATAGCACTACATAAATTAAAAATCGATTATAAATTGAAAAAATGCGATATGATTGGTTAGAGCAACACACAGAACTTGAAACGTACTTTTCTATTTGTAATCGATTTTTAATTTAACAATTTACTAGTTTAAATAACAATTTAAAATAGTACAAAACTACCTTAGTCCACTGTGGCGTCAATAATTGGCGACAAAAAGTTGTACATTGCCTTTAATTTATACTCGAAATTTTAATTAAAAAATTACATTACAAAAGGTGAGAGACAGGTCGAATACTGACTAAATTTAAATAAACGTTTAATTATGAAATCACGTCAAGTAATATTCATAAAATGTAGCGATTAATAGTAACATTTTAATGGCTAATGAATACATAACTTACAAAGGTAAGGTCTAAATTATTACGTTAATTTAAACAATACCTAAGTTTGATTAAAATATATAGAATTGAGAAATATTTTGGCGTTGTTGTAATTTTCATCGTCTATCTGTTGTTACTTTGGTCAACGCCTGCTCTTCTATAGCAATAAATAGTAATAAACAGACAACGTACAAAGAAAAGCAAATAAAAAGTTTACTGTCTGTCATGTATAAGAAATAAGTACGAAGTAAACGATAATATATTTAAAAAAAGTTAAAATAAATATATCTCATTGTTCGATGATATCATTATAATCTATTAAATATAATTTTCTTTATCCTATTCCGTACATACCCTAACTATAACTTTAATATTTTTAAATTTTTAATCATTATGAATTAATAATACTGAGTTCGAAGACATTACCATCCTTTTAAATAAACACTCTAACGATTTAAACGCGATATATTAGTTGAACTTATTTGAAAATGATTTTTAACTTCGGCCCAACGCTTCGGATGCTTTGCAGCAGCCGTGGTCACGGGGAGACTAAAGATGGAGGATGTCTCTGACGTCAAAGTAAAAATTGCTACGCTAGCGCCATCTGTTCCGTCGAAGTTGGTATTTGGCGAAACTGGCCGGGTCCTTACAGAGTTGACTAACACCGTCTTCGCGTTTGCCGGTATGCTGTTTATTTAGTCATTTTCAAATAAGTTTAAATAATATATCGCGTTTGAAACCGTTAAAGTGTTTTATTTAAATGTGTTCTACTCTCGTAAACTATAGACATTATTTCATTATCAGCCTTTTAATGTTGGTTAAGGTAAGTCTACAAAAGGGTCACGTTTGTATTATAAATCACATAATTATCTTTAGAAATGATAGAAAGATAATCGAGATCGTAAGATAACTATGGTTCTTATATATGATAAGTCAGGAAGTTAAATATTATTTGTCCTAATGTCCAGCGTTTTACATCTGTTGATGAATTAATTGGTGAAAATCATGTGGAAGTGCATAGGAGCCTTGCTCTTGTTGGGGCAGTGGGTAATAGTAAGTACCTAGATATCTCTATACTAGCTGTGCCAGCGACTTCTTCCGCGATATTTTAGGCATCAAAATTGTTTTCTTCTTCTTGGAAGATTATTTCAAAAGATAGGCATATAGTACTTATATACTTTTTTAAAATCATTTCAAAGAATCATTATTTGATACATGTTTTTTGGGCATCTTGAACCGTTTTCGGAGCACAAAGATGTTCCTGAAATTAGCGAGTTCAAATGAACAAACAAACTCTTTAGCTTTATATATTAGTATAGATAGCTGTTACGCCGACGATCGCGTCCGTTATTTTCCTCACTTTGTTCTTTCGCTCTTATTGGTCGCAGCATGATGTTTCATAGCCTAAAGTCTTTCTAGATTAATGATCTCAAACTCAAACCATTTATTTATTTCACAAGACAGAATAAAAAATAAAAAGAGAATGAAGAAAAACAAAAAAAAAATAGAAACTTGGACGAGTGCTTGTGACATGGGGAAAAGCACTCGGCATGTGCTTCACCACCCAAAGTAGAGGGGAAGCGCCGGTTTTCAGTGCCCCCCCGATCTATCTTGTGATATCACTGTGTACAGTGAAGTTGTAGTTACTAAGATTAGCGCGGTCAAACAAACACACAAACAAACTCTTCACCTTTATAATATTAGTATAGATAATATTCCTGCCAAAATAATATTGTACTGGACCCGATGCTTAATTAATATAAAATAAAACTAAAGGTGCCTTAGGGTGAATAAAAATCGACACAGTAGTTTCTGAGTTTATTTATTACCAACATACATACAAAATGAAATAGTTTTAACTGTTTAAATCGCGAAATATATTAGTAAACTTATTTTTTACTACGGCCAGACGTTTCGTTACGTATACCTACGTAAAGTAGAGATAACTGTAACAAGTACGTATATAAATAAGCTATTTTACAGCAACACTTGTCACGGGTGCATTATTCATTAGATTTTTATAATGCTTTTAAAGGTGACTGCTGAATTATCATCAGACAAAGTAGAACGACGAGTGACGAACTCGGAAACGTGCTGCCCGTGTCCAGACACAACGGCACGTGATAGCGAACATGGTGCGTCAGAAATATTCCACGTGTTCGATGATTGTCCTTGCAGAGCGCGTTCAGATTCTGACGGTGCAGCATCAAGTCTTTCACCAGCCGTAAACGCTCCACAGAGGTAAGACAAAAGTTCCTTAAGTACAGTACTCCCCCAATCTTTTGGCCGGTCTGAAGTTAGCGTGGATTGTTGCGCAGAACCCAAAAGGCAGGTAACAGTTGCGACAAGAGGAGTGCGCGGGTGCAGGGCTTCCTGACTTTATGCTTAAAATTGACAGTACCATGCGCAAGATGGTGGTCGCGCTAACTTCAGCACGGCCAAAAAGTTTGAAGGGGGATGTGTAGCTTATACGAGTGACATTTAAATCTTAATTTTAACGGTCTGTAGTTTACGCAAGTGGTACACATTTAAATAAAAAAATTAACGGTTTTAAACGCGATATACACGGGCCATATAAAAGAATTTTTAAATAAGTTAACTAATTAATATCGCGTTATAACCCGTTAAGGAGTTTTATTAAAAAAAATAACAATTTATTACGCCAAATATATAATTAATTGTTTTTACTACCACCCGACGTTTCGAATGTGTTTCAGCAGTTTCTTAAGCGGCTAAAAATCTTTTTTCACTGTTAAAAACACGACATATAAACGTTAATTTACATGTAACTATTTCAATCGACGTTATGCATAGATAAATTACATGTATACTTCGTTTAAACGAAAGATTACATTTTCGTTGTTGATTGCGTACTAAGCATTTATTTGACCTTTGGTATTAAGAATTTTAAGTGTCGTCAAATATTATTTAAATTTGTTTAGTTACGTATAAACGGACCTTCATTAAATGCTAACGTAAAAATATCTTGCCCTACTATAGTATGTATAATAATTAGCATTAAACAAAAGTAATAAAATGATAGGTATGCAAAATGAAAAAATGACAAAGATTTTTTTTATAATAACTTAGAGCAAATTTAAGTTATTATTGTATTTTAAGGTTGTTTAACGTTTGCAGGCATTCACAGCAAAAGTCAGCTGGACCCAAACCACTATTAGACCCCGAAGTAGGACTTGCATCTTCAGTATTGGAAACTTTGAAAGAAGCTACGGAAGAAGGATATCAAGAAGCTCTAGCAAGAGACGCTGCGCGAAATGCAATACAAGGCGATTTAAATGATTTGGTTGATGCATTAAATACACACGAAGACCCTCTACCTGAAGCATCAAACAGATATAGTAGTTCTGTACTAGCACCGTATAGAGAGGATGCACTAAGCGATTTAGCATTTCGAAATAATCTAGACCATATGTTGCAAAAAACACCGTTAGACCTCTTCGTATCACCAAGTAACAACATAGAAAAATATTTAATTAAAAATGTTGCACACTAAGCCACTTTTGGTATCAAGGAAAACTCCTTTGTTTATTGCACGAAAGCCAATCAACCTAAACGATTTATTAAATTTAAGACAGCTTTCACTAAGCAAAAGTTCGAATCGAAACTACCCGACAACGAATTTCGGTACAAAAAGTAATTGTTATAACGATGAAAGATTACTTAATAAGGCAAATGGTAACAATGTCGAAACGAAAATTTTAAATTCGCTTCCCTTTTCAAATAGGGATGACAATATTGACACAGCAGAATCTAATTTAATCGGAACTACTGTTCCAGAATCGTCTGAATTCTTTTCAGAAAAATCGGCCGAAAATATTGATAAAAGCGAAACAACAAGGACAAATGAAAAGTCAATTGCGAGGAATATTTTAACGACCAGAGATGGTGCACACGAAGAGAGCCGAAATAGTTTAAAGGTTTCACATAATCCTGAAAACTGGGACTGTCATCGAAATAAAGCACCTACTCTCCGAAATAGCTTATTGCCCCAAGAAAATTATGATGATTTAAAACTAAATCAAAATAATAATGTATCATCACTAAAGAATATCATGCATACATTAGACGACCTCAGAACAGCTAAAAGTACAACACATGAAAATTTGGTCAAGCCTGATTCGATAGTGTCACCAAGCAATAACGATATAAATTCCAGGCCTTTTACCAGATCAAACAATCCAATATCTAAAAACATTGAAATGAATGAATTACAAAGCATGTCCAATCAGTTACTTTTTAAAGATAAAGGCGGCGATTCTCATTCTTTTAAAGCGAATGAATATGATACAACAGATTCAGGCAAATTAAATAACCACCACGAAATAATAGCAAAGGACGAGCCAAACGCTGCCAATAGCCCATTAAGGGAAGTACATAGAGACGATGGATTTATTTCAAATGAATCAGATAAATGTGTATTATTTGATGGGTTTGATAATTTTAAGACACCGAATGACAGAAATAGTGAAATGAAAATGTCCGCAAGTGAACCACTTAACACTAGATCAAGAACTGTCACAGGTTTCAAAAATAATTACAACTCACCGGTAGCTAAAGGCAAACAACATTTTAAAAATTTCGAAGACGTAAATTTGGACATTTATGACTATCAGCCACTTTTAAATGGCCAAGATAATACAAAATCCGCAGATACTTTATTGCCCCATTTAAATATAAAATCTTATAAAACAAAGTTACCTATACCTAAATCGTTAGACTTGAAACCTGTTAAACTTCAAAAAGCAGTCAGAAGAGGTAATGACATATTGGGTGCAGTATTAACACTCGACCCACATAACAAACTATTCGATAATAAAATTAAATCGACTGATTATAGAAGTGGACATAACATATTTGGTAACCCATTGTCATCGTTGCCAAGTATAAATGACATAAGATCATTTATAGAGAACAATGCTAAACATATATTAAAACCATCACGACTCTTCAACAGAGGCAACTCAAATTATAACTCACCTTTACCATTTAATATTGGAGATGCTGCTGAAAACATCAGATCCTATACGGAGGACGCTGTGAAAAATGTTCGAGATTCTATAGGAAATACTTTCAAAAACCAAGACAGTACAATTGGCAACGCACTAAATTCAAATGGCCTTATAGATACGATGTCAAAAACATCTTTCGATTTAAATGACAAACTGCATCTTTGGCGTTCAAATTTAAATAATAGACTGCAAAGTCTTCGACAAAATGTATTTGATCAGTCCCGCTCACCTTCTCTACAACAACATGATATCAGATATTATCCAAATACAAAAGACGTCCAAAGTTCGCGTATGCAACCAAAAGTATTAGGTTCACAAAACCTGTCAAAAACCCTGGCAATGCCAAATTTAAGATCATCAGACCGGCAACAGACAACATCGTCTAGAATCGCTATGAAAAGTCCAACTAACACCATAAATACTAACAGTGAAGGTCTTGGAAGAGTGCCTTCAATTTTGAACTCTAGACCTAGTATAATAGGACAAAAAAGCCAAGCAAAAGAGAATAAGATTTTCAGTTCCGAGAGAAATTCGTTATCACCACTTGTTCATCAAAGAATCAGTCCTGCTTTACCCACCCGTAGTGCACTTAGGAATCATTTAAATAGAGAGCAGAATACTCAGCCCAGTGAAGTTGTGTATACAAGAAGTCCAGATCCGAAGAATTCAGCTAAATCAATATCAAACAAGGATGAAAAATTCCCAAATACACGTAATATCCTGGACAAATCTACTTTGCCAAACATAGTTGACAATAATTTCTTATCCAAAGTTAAGGAGGCCATTGGAAGTAGGCTATCCAATAGAAACACAAATAACGATAAACATGACGTCATCCCATCTGCTTCGGAAACTCGGAAAGCAACGGGGCCATTTAACGAAAATGTTTCTTATAATTGCAGCATGGTTTGTAGTAAGACGTGATTAATTAAGCGAATTTGTGTGTCATGTTAAACGTTCATTAAAAAAATTCAAAGCGTGTTTGATTTTTTATTGAAGAGCATTTATATTCCATTTTATTTTATTTTATTTTATTCCATTTTCTTTCCATTTATGTTCTTGGAAAGTAAGAAGCTAATTGTAATAAAAACCTTTCTCTCGATAACCAAGATGCCACCAAGTATCGATATTAGGTTCATGATAAGTCACGTACGATCAAGCTCGCGACGATAATTACATTTACTGTTTATTTTTTCAGTCACGTAAATTTCTATTGCTTAAGAACATTGATTTTAAAAAAAAAGCTGAGCTCTTAATATATACAAATTAACACCGAGTGATACACATTAAATAAAACAATTTTAGTGTTTTGTCAGTGCTACAATAATTATTAAAATAAGAATAACGAATTTTAAAGCGTTCAAAATGTTTTAAAATGAACGGCTGCTGTATTGCATTTAAAACGTCAAACAAAACATAGTTGACTTGTTCTTCAACGATTAGACGATGTTATATAAAGAATGTTTGACTCAAGATATTTTTTTTACTCTTACCTATGAGTCTATCTTTAATTTGGTATGTGTAGAGATATACCTGCATATACACTAAGGATAAAAACGGCTCGGAATTTACAAACATAAAATGATAATTTTCTAACCAAAATCTAAGTGTTTTGTGCAATAATTAACAGTTACGCTCGTTTCTGTTGTATTGACCTATTAAGTATGTAAAACTGTTTAGCATTTTATTGAATACAGTATGCCGAAGTGTAATTTAATAATGGTAGGTATGCTAAGTCTGTGGAATTTTCCCACAGACATACAATTTATGCATCGAATACAAAACTCTGTTAATTCGTGTTTAGTAACAATTGCAAAACTTTGTTTCTCAAAAAGAATAAAAATTTTGTCAGTTTATTTCATAAAGTATATTTGTTTCCTAATCGGCAATGCCGTAATTTAATAACGATGATACCTAACATACAGAATATTACATTAAATTTTAATTTAACTTAAAATAAAATATTAATTTTACTATACTGATAATGTACTAGTAATAACTTTCTTTTGTTTATTATATTGAGAAACATTGATTACATTTAAATAAAATACGTCAACGGTTTAAAACGCAATATATAGGTATTAGTTAAACTTGCAGCCGTGGTTACAGGGTGATAGCAGCGTGGTCGGCTGTTCGTTTGTTTTTCTTTGTTTAAAAAATACCTGATTTTTTTAAATTATAGAGGTGGACAGACAAGCGTGGGGTTCACATCTGTGGACGGTAGTTCGTGATCCGGGCGGAATTTCTATATTTCTCCTGATTGTTATCCACTAGACACACTAGAAACATCGAGAACAGCTTAAAAATACGAACCTTTGTAAAATGGCCGGAAAAATCATTTATATGTCAATAAAAACTTGTAAATACTTATACCATGTTTTACTTCTTGCCAAACAATATCATGTACTAATTATCTATATAGTATGGAAGCAGACAGAATCTGCTATTTTTATAAGTGCCAAAATAATTTTACATTGGTGAAGTCGGGTGTTCGAACCCCGATCGTGCACATTTGATTTTCGAACTGAAGAAGTTATAATATAGTATTACGGTTCCTCAACTCATGTACTCTAGATAAAAAATATTTTACAATACTATTCCATTAGATTGTGTAACAACATTGCATATCTAAAAAATATTTAAAAAGAAACACGCATTCATTACAATTTTAGTTTTATAGAGCTTTTTTAGAGAACACAATCAAAATATACAGAAATGTTAAAAAAAGAAATTTGTTTTATAGTATGCGTTATATATATAGGCTGTCTTGCCGGTAAGTTGATTTTTATTTAAAATGAAGTATATATTAGCTATATCGTAAGAAAGCAGTAAATTTCTCATTTGATTGCTCGTTTTGTATAATCAAAGCTACTTTGTAACACTAATACTTATAAGTTGTTTATTATAGGATGATAACATTTACAATTTACGATAGATTATATGTGCTATATACTTATATATTAGTTAATTGCAAATCGTTTTTAGAGAATGGTAATTGTTAAATACTGTCTATAGTTTACGCGAGTTTAAATTTAAATAAAACAGTTAAACGATATATATTAGTTAAACTTTTTTGAAAATTATTTTAAATACGGCCCGACGTTTCGGATGCTTTGCAGCTGTCGACCACGCAGCTGTCTTCCCATGACCACGACTGCAAGTTTAATTACATAATATATCTCGTATTAAGCCGTTAAAGTGTTTTTTTATTTAGTAAGTAAGTTATTAGTATAGTAAATATATTTAATGTTAATTTAATTTAATATTCTATATGTTCCGGTAAATCATCGTTATTAAATTACGGCATCAGTAATTAGAAAACAAATGAAGTATCTTATAAATAAAAACTATCAAACTTTTTATTCTATTTAAGACAAAGTATGTGTTACTGACACATACTACACCGTTATCATTTTTTTCTTCAGACAAACCATGTGCTGTACGTAAAATCGATGGTCAATCCGTGGTATGTGTTTGCAATGCGACTTACTGCGACGAAGTAAGACGAATACCCCCAAAGCCAGGGACATATATGCGCTATGAAAGTAATGAGGTATGGCCTTTTAAAATAAATTACCTATTTATGACGAGAAAATCAGGTATTCTGTTCTTAAGAATGCTTTAGTTCAAATATTGTCTGTAGTTTACGCGAGTAGTACACACTTAAAAAACTTTTTAACGGTTCAAAACGCAATATATTTTAGTTAAACTTGTCTCCCCGCGACCACGGCTGCTGCAGAGCATCCGAAACGTCGGGCCGTAGTTAAAAATAATATCCATTTAAATCGATTAGGAAAATGTCGGACCCGGTGGGGACTGACCTGCGACCCTTTGATTTTTTGCCGTACATTACCACACTTACACCGACGAGGCCGTCTTGTTTTACATAGTAACATTGCGATGTAGTAGATAATAATACTAGATTCTTTGTATTCAAGGCAGGAGCACGATTTGAAACTTCTGATGGAGTTTTGCAGAACTTCACTTCAGGTAAATTAATTCAATAACTAAATGTAAATTATAATGTACCATAATCTTTCTAACATTGTCATTTCAGCGTTGACTTTTGAAGTAATGTTGGAATTGGACCCAACTAAACAGTTCAATAAAATCAAAGGATTTGGAGGTGCAGTTACAGACTCTGCTGCTATCAATTGGAAGAAAATGTCACCAAAGCTACAGAAGAAATTAATAGAGTAGGTAAAGGTTAAATTTTATTTGTTTGTTCGTTAGACAGAGCTTAAACGAAAGAACTTCATCTAAATACTGTCTGTAGTTTACGCGAGTAGTACACATTTGAATAAAACACTTTAACGGTTTAAAACGCGATATATATTAGTCTCCCCGTGACCAGGGCTGCTGCAAAGCATCCAAAACGTCGGGCCGTAGTTAATATAATTTCCAAATAAGTTTAACTAATATATATCGCGTTTTAAACCGTTAAAATGTATTTATTTAAACTTCATTTAAAATGAAATGCTCTTATAACAATCTAATATACATGCGCTGTCTACCTTTTGCTTGGTACTTTTGGGAATACACCGACTGAACGATTTTTCCATTTGTGGGCGATGGATATTCCTATGATCAATTTAATGTTCTGATATTCCAGGGGTCCAATATGTTTAGAAGAAGCTTTTTGATTATTAGTGGTACATTTTTACTACTGGACTAAAAAAATATTATTATCTACTGTTATAGCTACACCTAGGAGACCAAGATAATTAAAAACTAAGTATGTTTATTTCTCTTTTGCAGTTCATATTTTAGCAGGCGCGGTATAGAGTATAACTTTTTACGCGTTCCTATCGGCGGCTGTGACTTTTCCACACGTAAATACGCTTACAATGAGCTACCTGAAAACGACATTCGGCTTAGCAACTTCTCGTTGGTTGAAGAAGACTTGGAATATAAGGTAATATTATGGCATTATAATAAAGAAATAATCTTTAAAAGTTGATTGGAGACAAACAGATCTAACTAATCTTTTATAACTCGTATTTGTAAAGTTTTATATTTTTCACATGATAGCACTATTAAAATTAAAAACGATCATAAATTGAGAAATTTTACGATTCGTTTAGTACTCGAAGCGGCATCCACAGCCTGCAGTGCTGTTGCTCTGACTTAACGTAATTGTTTGCTGATGTTGTTGAAAGTACATTGCGCCATCTCTCGCGCATGTATTAATAGGTTGAAAAAATTACACGATGACTCTGATTTTTGAACTAGTGTTGTTTATAAGAATTTGTAGATCTGTCAACCAGTGCGTTAAGCATGGAGTCATAGAGGTTTGAATCCCGCGGAACGATAGTTTGTAAAGCAGAGCATTCAGGAAGTTAAATACCCAGCCAACAACATCTCAATAAAATGCGCTGTCGCCCTATTTTCGGTTCTGGATATTCAAAAATCCACAGACGAAACCGATACGCGATTAAACTTAAAGTTAACATAAGTGGACGACGGTTCGTGATTTATATCTAGGTTTAGTCCAACATGTTTTAAACAAAATATAAATTGATTAGAGACGTGTGGTGGGGATGGGATCGAATCCACGACCCGTTGATCGATGTTTTTTTTCTAGATACCAATGATCAAAGCAGCATTTGCGGCTTCTGTGAATCCAATAAATATAATAGCATCACCGTGGTCCCCACCAGAGTGGATGAAAGAGGCCTTCGGAATAAACAAATGTGGCCGTTTAAAGAAGGAATACTATCAGACTTACGCTGATTATATTTATAAGTAAGTTTCATTGAAGTGTCCAGTGAATTGAGAAGTAACGAACGAAAGAGAACTAATTTATTATTTGTCCTGTTACCCTTGTCCGTCTTCACGGTCCAACTCCACGTTGTTTTTACTGTGACTAAAAAGCAGCAGAAATGTCGGGAAGTGGAATTTAACAATAAACTAAAGTCCGAGTTAGAACGACTTAGATTAGTTTTATGATGTATTCACATTTGTGTCGGAGGTTTTTATTGTGGGGTTTTAGTCGGTTTAAGTCCGACATAACCCATTTGCTCCTTCTGGTGCGGTGGGTATCCGAAAGGATTTCACCACGTTAAAAAAAAAAGAAAAGTTTTATGATGTATAGTACTATCGTTAACTATATTATATATTTCTTAAATTATTTGGCTTACTACTGTCTGTAGTTTACACGAGTAGTACCTTCATATTTAAATTAAACACTTCAACGGTTTAAATCGCTATATATTTTAGTTAAACTTGTTTGAAAAATATTGAAACAAGTTTAACTAAAGTGAGTCAATTCTGCAAGGACCCAGCCAGTTTCGCCAAATACCAACTTCGCCGGAACAGATGGCACTAGCGTAGCAGGTTTTTACCTTGACGTAAGAGACATCCTCCATCTTCTGTCTCCTCGTGACCACGGCTGCTGCAAAGCATCCGAAACGTCAGGCCGTAGTTAAGAATAAAAACCCTTAAAGTGTATTGTTTAAATATTTGGTTCGAGTTGATAACTATTATTCACTCGTGATTAAAATTATTTATTTGACATGACAGGCTTTTGGTTTCGTTAGCACTAGTTAATTAGTACTTATAAATAAACATTTAATATAAAGCTCTTAAAAACTAAATTTATCCAGCTTTTTTGGGATCTTTTATTTCTTACTTTAAAGATTTATTGAAGAATACAACGACGAAGGTGTGCCCATATGGGGATTGACTCCAGTTAACGAGCCAGCCAATGGAATTGCTCCAGAGACCATCATAAACTGCATGACTTGGACTGTGGATAACTTGGTGCGATTCTATGATTGAATATCTTATAGAAATTAAAAGTAGATTTAACAAGTTAATTTTTTTAATAGAGGAGTACCTACTACATACAGGCATGGTATTTACTTGATGAAGGGTGAAATATCACAACGATATCTCAACAAATTGTATGTATATATATTTTGGCTTTGGATATTCTCAAATCGACAGACTGCAATCGGAAAGCGCTTAAACATTACGAAAATAATAAAAAATAGCAAAATATTAGAATTCTGCCGCGTGTGCGGTGTACCTAATATAATATTTTCAATTTATAAAAATTATAAAGGCTGAAGTGGCTTCTCTTAAATTAAGAAGCGGTTAATCGACAACAGATCGACACGAAGACGAATTATACTAGTTAATCTCTTTTTTCAGGGAAAATTTGTCAAAGAGCACCTGGGACCGACAATTCGGTCATCAAATTTCAGTGATGTGAAAATTCTTGCATGTGACGATCAAAGGCCTTTTATGCCGTATTGGGTGAATGGTGTAAGTGTTATTTATTCATTATAAGCAGTTTAATAATATAATGTTATTAAATAACTGGCCAACTGCGTATTCCGAACCTAGGTAAACAAGACTAGGTATATAAATATCATGTTGTAACAATTTCTATGAATAAAAGTAAGTCTATGAGTAATTTCCAAAAATTTCAAGTCCTTACCTGTCTTCTCTCAAAAAATCGCGCTTGTATGGGATCCCTCTTTAAATATTTGTCATTATGTTCTTATATAATAAACAGTAGGGTTTTGCTAAAAATCAGTGTTGTACCATAACTGTGCTGCGACTGACGCAAGACCCTTTTGACATCACTTCTCTTCAACTGAAATTTAATCTTTTATATCAATCATTCTACTTTAAATTACACTTATTTCTACTACTACTACTAATGAATGGCAAATAAAGAGATTTAATATTATTATTATTAATTATTATTTATTTATTTTATTTTAAGTTAATATCACCCCCTTTACTATTGCGTTTATACTGGTTAACTTGAGATAAAGTTTGAATTTAGACCGTTTTTTTCCTGAACCATATAACAGATCAAGTCTTAAACACTTACACTTTATTCCACATATATGAACATTATGTTATCTATATTTTTTAATTATTATCTGCGCGCATACTCAGGAGGTTATCGTTTTTTGTGAATATCATTGGCAATATTCAAATTATTCTACCTACTTATCAAAAAACTACCTTCTAAGTGTACTTCAAATGTAATTTCGAATTTCTCTTTTAGATGTTCAATATTCACCCAGAGACCCAAGATTTCGTTGATGGTCTGGCAGTTCATTACTATTTTGATAATAACTTCAACACTATAATTTTGGACGAGATCAATAAATTGTATCCATCTAAATTTATTATAAATACTGAAGCGTCTGAAGGTTTGTACAATAAGAGTTAATGTATCAATGCAAAAAAAATCGACGATGACGTGTATGACATAGTAGCTATTGATCAGAGCAACAGCACGGAACGCAATTGAGGATGCCGGCAAGTGCTCCCCTTGTCGTGATTTTTTTTAAAATCTAAAATCGATTTTTCATTTAAAAAGAGTACGTTTATAAAATAAAGTACCCCACAGGAAATAATAAATGATCCATGTTTTAGGCATTTCCGGAAATAAGAAAATTATACTTGGATCATGGGATCGAGCAGAACATTACGTCAAAGATATAATACAGGTATTTCTGTACTTTACTTGACAATACCACTACTACTACTATAAAGTGTAAACGCAGTTTATAAACTATTAGTACGTATTGAATACTCCTACAACGTAATGCCTCTTAAAGATAAAGCACTTTTAACGGTTGAAAACTCAAAATGTTGACTTATTTTCCATTTTACGTTAACGTTTCGAACACTTTACTGCAGCCATGGTCAGGTGATGTTTTATTTAAATGTATAAACTATAAACAATACTTTATTGTCTGTGGTATAAGCGAGGTGTCAAGAATTAAATATATATTTTTGTTTAAAATACGTAGGCCCCTTAAATAACATCTTTTGCATAACTTGGTTACCAGGGCAACCTACAGAACCTGTTCTTTTGTGTTAAACGTAAAGAATGCTTTTATAAAACAGATAATAATATTAAATAATTGTTCCCTATCAATTATACACATTGTATGTAAATGACCTTATATTCGGGATATTTGTTTATGGCTATCACATTAAAATTTCTTCTAACAAGCGATTAAGCTACTTGCATACATATTTATTGTAGGATTTGAACTACAACTTGGTTGGCTGGTTAGATTGGAACTTATGTTTAGACATGAAGGGTGGCCCAACATGGTGCAACGATGAACTAGACTCTGCTATCCACATAGATGTCGAAAAGGAAGAATTCATCAAACAACCGATTTTCTATGCTCTGGGCCACTTCTCCAAATTTATACCACCAGGATCAAGAAGATTACAGATTAATTCAACTGGAAATAAACACGTTTCGAACGTCGCTTTTGTGACACCACAGCATACCGCAGTTGTTGTTCTATATAATGAGTGAGGATTACTTGGTTATTGCTTTTTAGTCTAGTGTTAGTCAAGTTTGCATAATTCAAGGGGCGCATGCGCAAGAAACGATCCTCCTCTAAGTCCTTCTGGTTAACTGTCAACTAGTGGATTGAATATGATAATACAAGGTCGTAAAATCTATTCGACACTATCATTCTAAGATAAGTAGGTCGCTGTAATAAAAAAAAATCTTTTCCAGGGGTGACCCAGTTCTAGTATCTATTAAGCTACACGACAAACAGGCAGTTACTGTCTTGGAGAAACGATCAGTAGTTACAATTGAAATAGCACCAGAAGAGTAAGTTTGTTTTATTATCATTTTAGTGCGAAGATAGAGAAATGATTTTTTATACAATTTGTTTTTACGTGAGTCTACCATGATTCTTCTCAAATGTTGTTTTATTATTTGTAAGTTGAATACGCTTATATAAACAAATGAATAATTGGTAAAAATGTAATAATTTAAATCAAATTTGATTGTCATAAAAACGTTTCTTGCAAGGAAATCGCGCGTAAAAGATTAGTTAAAAAAAACTTTAATATTATTAAATGTAGTTAGTCGGCTATATATATATCAAATATAATTTGTGTATAGAATGCTTTTAATTAAAAATTGTAAACTGATACATAAATAAGAAGACATCCATATGGTTGAAACAATATTGCTTTAATTTATATACAGTGAGCGTTAAACAATTACACTTTCTTTTACATCGCGAAAATAACAATAGACACATAAACTAAAGACAAGCTAGGGCTCACTTAACTTAAGTCCGTTTGGTATGGCATCTCGCTTCTGTGTAGGGTTTTTCTCAATTTAGGCGCCATTATATGGGGCCAGTCACGTGATATCGGATGATGCAATTCCATATTGATGTTGCATCATTTCAACGTAAAACTAACATAATACATTTATACAAAAATTAAATAGTAAAATTATAAATTTGGTTGAACAATCGTTTTATCAGTAACTAAATCGTCTTATTTATAAAGAAAAGCTTTACATAAAATACATGATTCAAAATGAGTTATAATTGTATGTCTTAAACAGGACACTGTATTTATAATGTACTAATTCGGTTTCACATGTTAATAAGTTGTTATATAGTTATAATAATTAAACGGTTACATTTACATTCGTCTTAATACAATTTTGTAATATTTATAGAATATCTGTATGACTTTAGAGACAAATTGAGATTAAAACATAACTTAGTGTAACAAAAGAACTTAAATTATCGAATAATCTAACACGCGCATATAATTATTCTATCATACATGTTCTTTTGGTTTATTGAATAGTTTTCCCAATTCAAATTAAGAATATTCCCCGTTAATTCCACATTTTTTGGGTTCTATTGGTTGCACCGGTAGTAATGTTTGAGATAAACAAACTAATATAAATGTGAAGAGTTTAAGTAGTATTTAAAAAAGTTTAGATAAGTAACACACTAATAGCTACACCACGAGCTAAAATTGTAGGTATTTATTTAGACGATCGAAACACATTATTTTCTTTAATCATGTACTTAGATAACACCTGTTTATATAAGGGTAATTCAATTAATCGTTACGTAACAATTATGAATTGAATTGATGATGTAATCATCCAGGTGGTAATTATTGACACTTCTATGGTTAACGATTTGAGACCTAACGTACAGAAAAGATATATTTTAAAAATACTTTAAAACAGACTGTAGTACGTGATGTGTACAGTTGGCTTTTTGAAGAAGAGACAGGCATGACGTTCATCTGATGGAAGGTAAAATACTCCAGCCATATAAGATCGAAATAAGATGTCTGTCAACCTATTTTGGCCTTAAATATTCCGCGATCCACAAACTGAAAACGAAACGCGATTAAACTTCACAGGTTCTTCCATTTGTGAACGGTGGTTCGTAACCTGGACTGAATTTCGATATTTCTGCCACCCACTTAGTATCCAGATTGTCAAACGAAGTCCAACATGTTTCAGAAAACTTATAAATTGATTAGAAAAATATTGAACACCGTGGGGATAGGATACAAGACCCGTTGATTTTTAGCAAGGCATTGCTGCCATTAGACAGAAATGATTATATATTTTTTTGGCTGCACAGTTATGTAACAGAAGAAATTAACATGTCGTGTTGTATATATGTTTATTTTATTTCATTAATATAATATGTTTATTAAATTGTGTAAGGCTTTCACGGCCATCGTTCAGCATATCATTGCTTTTCTCTTCCGCCGAGTTGTCTTCGAGTAACCACGCCCCCACACACCACACCAATCTGCGCAAGTCAGAGTGTATATAATCTGAGGTCGCGGCTCATAATTCTTCGAGCAATCGAGGAGCTAATAACGTTTCCTGATTATGCCGTCCGCCTGTGATGGCGAAACTTCCAAACCTCTTTTGAGAGCCCGAAAAACAATTATATGCTATGTTTATCATTTTTGTAAAGAATTGTAATATAACTATATTTTTACAGTATTAGCATGGATGTTCCAAGAAAGCGAGAAAATCGGAATAGATCTACAATAAAGAAAATCCGAGGGCCAACTATTATTAAATTTTAATGCCGTACTTATTTTATGCTATATTAAAACCCGTGTAATTTCGCTTATTGTAATGGTCCTAACAGTGTCTATTATTTACGTCAATGTGTATAATATATGTATTTGTATTTACACAGGTGTGTTTATAAGTTAATAGTCGATATAATATTTATATAATTATTGTCCAAATTTTTGGCCCACATTTGAAAATCAATAATAATTCACATATTTTCTTTCCATCTTTCAGAAATGTTGTATCAATTTTAGCTCAAGATTACGTATTAAAATTCGATTATGAATTTTTTTTAATACGTCTCGCGCAGGACTTGAACCGGCATTCGCTCAATTCCATGTTGTTGCTCTAACCAATTGACGCACAAATTGAATTTAACATTGCGCATGAGTTGCATGTATCAATAGGTTGAAAAAAATCGAAGATCACGTGAAGGACTCGGTAACGTAATCGGTTAGAGCAACAGCAAGGAACGTTTAATATATTTTATTTTTCAATTTATAGTCGATTTTTAATTTATATACTGCCATCATACTGGAATAACATATTAAGATAATATTAAAGTTTTCGTTACGTATCAATAAAAAATAATATGTACTGCGTTATATTAATTTTTGTATTTAATACTCATTAGTCATTGAATACACACATCCGCATTGCACCTAAGACAATATCATCTACATAGATAAACACCGTGACGCAAATATAAAGCCTCAATATGAAACTATTATTTATAAGATTCGCTACCAAAATTATATGTTTAAAAGGAAGAAATACGTAACTATGTATTCTACTCGGCTTATCAATATACAAGTAGAGCAAAAAATGATAATTCAAGGCCATTCCTCAATTGAAAAGAGGTTTTTAATCGCTTTCTTCAACACTTGCCTACTGTCAATAATAGGGTATTTAGTGAAAGAGAAGCTATTGACAAATTTTGCGGTCAAATCTTTATATGTTGGATATTCTGCCGTTTAAATTACATCGAACATGTACATCTTGTTTTCGATTCTCGTCTTCTATTCGTTACCCAGTTATTGATATTGTATAAAATAATAATGAAAAGAGCTGAAAAGAATAATGGAATCTTATTCTTTCAGCGAATTGCGAACATTGAATGCGGATCTCTGAAATTCTAATGAGCTGTACAGGTTGACTATAAATGGCACACTTGCTAATTAAGATTAAGGTATTCATGAACTTACGTTTTTGAGAATGGATACAAAATTAGTGTCACTTCTTAGTATCGTCTTATCGGCAATATGTAGAGCGGGTGAGGAGTTAATTTATAACGAATGCGATTTAGTGTTTTAAGTTACTGTCGTGTCGTCACGTTTATAGCAAACAATTTATAAATTGAATGATATCAATGCCAGTGATCACAAAATAAAACCATTTTTAACAAGTTGAACCATACTTAACCAAGTGAGCTACCGCGCCCTACACGTCATCATTGAATTTCTTTTTCCCTTTTATACATATACCCCTTTTTCATTTTAATTGGTTTTGAATTATGCCTATATCTGCAATAACGTGTGAAAGATATTAAAGTTTTTCATTTGCTATTAAATTTCACTTTAGCTTACAAAATGGGCACTTACCTTCACGTGGTAAACGAGAAATTCGGTGATCGAATTTACACAGGATAAAACTCCTGGCCATGTAGTGGGCCACAGTACAGATTTAAACATATAAGCAGTAAAGTATAGCAGAGGCAATAAAGTATTTTAACGTGATTTTAAATTAGATTTTTTATTAGATACAGACATCCCATGTAACCAAAGAATAAACGATGGTTACCCCAATCATATAGTGTGTGTTTGTAATGCAACATATTGCGACACCATAAGCAGAATTGAACCAAAACCTGGGACATACATCACGTACACTTCTTCTCAGGTAAGTTTACTTAAATTAAAATACTTCTAAGTAATAAATACAATACGAGGTATACTTCAATTTAAATGTTCAATTTATATAATGCCATCATGTGTAATAACAAGTGAAAAATATAAAATTTTTCACGTTTAATGAAGTGTATTTCCAATTAAACGTTCACAATAGATACTACTAACATGTATTATTTAAAAATGAATTGATTTGAGAATCGTTATTTTTATGGCTTCTTGTTTTTTTCTATTTCCCTAGCTTCTCTACATATGACGCATTTTTAGACTGTGCTTGATCATAGTAAGTCAAGTAAAATATAGATGAATAAATAAAAATCTACTGCAATTGTTTTTAATAATAGTGTAAGCCCGTAAAATTTTTACTTTTTAATTATAACCAAAATCTTTTAAGACACTTCGAAGGCCAACTAATCAATGTTTACTTATTAAAAATAGTTTTAATTTTTACTTTAATTACTCAGTACTACAAATAGATACGAATGTATAATCGTTTTATATTGCAGGCAGGCTCCAGATATCTAAAAGGAATCGGGCGCATCGCGAAGGCAATTAAAACAAATGGTAATATCATAAGTCGTAATATGTAACTTACATCCAGAAAAATTGGTTTCACACTATGGTGAACCTTTTGACGGCCTTTTGACGGCCTTGTTGGTAGCAGTGTAACATATTTCTAATAATTAACGATTGTGGGTTCGATTCCTCCTGGATCTAAGATGTTTCTAATCGATTTACTATCTTTTTGAAGCACGTTGAACCTTTTTTTGGATATTAAAAGGTAATAGGAATATCGAAATTCAGTCGGGGTCATATTAAAATCTACCTACACATTAAAAAGCTTTGAAGTTTACTTTCGTTTTCAGTCTGTGGATTGCTGAATATTAGCCAACATAGGTTAACAACGCATTTTGTCCTTCCGAAATGAAAAATATAGACAACGTTTTCAATTGCAGTCAAAATATACATAATATAAACATATGTTTATAGATGGAACTTACGAGAAAGTGTTCGAAATCAATCCAAATAAACAGTACCAGACTATCTTTGGATTTGGAGGAGCAGTTACAGATGCGACGGCAATCAACTTTAAGGTTTTACCGGAAGGAGCCCAAAATAATTGGTTGGAGTATGTATTTTAGACTCAAACGGCCTTATTACCAAAAATACTTAAACCAGAAGTGCGTAGTCTCGGTTTAAACTTTTAAACCATGGTCTAAATAAATCGAAGTCAGTACCATAGTTAGTCCAGTACAAAAACTTCATTTTGTAATCAGGATTTCAAGTAGACAGGGTTTAAACCAGGTTTGAGATTTAGTCCTTGTTTTGTAATAAGAGTGATAATGTCTGCTTGCAATTTTAAATTTAAAAGAATAGAAGTAATGACAATTGGATTTGATAAACATCTCCTGTAAAAAAATTTTGCAATTTTTCAGCGTTACTTAAAAATGTCACCTTGTCATAAATGATAACCTCAAATACCTAGTCTCAAATACATAATTATGAATAGTCGTTCCTACTGTTCCGATAGTAGTTTTATTAATTCAGTTTGTAAGTACTACTTGCGACACTATCTATTTATTAATGTACACACAACATGTAACACTTAAACAAAACGTTTATAACGGTTTAAAGCGCGAAATTATGTGTTTAATTAATTAAAAACCCTATGACCGCAAGCTAAGCAGAGCATCTGAAACTTCAGGTCGCAGTTACTAATTAGTGAACTAATATATTTCACGTTTTAAACCGTTAAAAGTGTTTTATTCATATTTTTTCAGTTCCTACTTCAGCGAAGACGGGATCAAATATAATATGTTACGTATCCCGATTGCCTCGTCAGATTTTTCCGAAACACCATATTATTACAATGAATATCCGGAAAACGATGAAGACCTTACAAACTTCACCTACACGCCACAGGACATAAATTATAAGGTACTCTATGTAGTAAAGACCACGAGTTAAATATAATAAAAAAGGGGCAATTAGTTAGATATCTAAGTTAAATTAAATTACAAAAACAAAACGTCCTAAGTACAAATAAATGCGTTACAATGTTGTGTTATCTATATACTTCTAATATATTAAGCTGAAGAGTTTGTTTGTATGTTTGAACGCGCTAATCTCAGGAACTACGGGTTCGAATTTAAAAATTATTTTTGTTTAAATAAAACACTTAAACGGTTTATAACCGATATATTATTAAACTTATTTAAAAATGATTTTTAGCTTTTTTAATTTTTTTTCACTTTAAAAATCATTTTTAAATAAGTTAACTAATATATCGCGTTTTAAACCGTTAAAGTGTTTTATTTAAATGTGTACCACTCGCGTAAACTATAGACAGTATTTAATTATTTTTGTGCTGGTTAGGAACGACGGGAAGGTACCCAAACAGCAATTAGTACCATACTATTCTCCAACTAGTCGCTGACAAAGCTAGTTTCTAAATAAAATAACACAACATCAACATTATTGTCTATATATATAGAAGAAAACTATTTATGTATATGTAAAATTTGTTTGTTGTTCACCTGTTTTGATAGAAGCAATCATTTATAAGAGCAGCAGACAATAAAAGCCATAACAAAATAATAGTTATTATACTTATATTACAAAAAAATAGATTGATACGTTTATTTCAGTTAGTATATAATATAGCTTTTATTATGGTACTTTACAAAATGTCTTATTTTATCATTAAGAATTATTTGTTTGAATTTAAAGATTTATATATGCTTAGGCGGCCATTTTGGAAATGAGTCGGTTTCTTTGGTTCCAGATACCACTGTTATTGGGTGCCATGGAAACCGCTAGTGAGGAAGTGTGGGCGTTAGCCTCAACCTGGTCTCCTCCAAAGTGGATGAAGATAGTAGATGAAATAACTGCAACGAGCAGACTGAAGATTGAATACTATCAGACCTTTGCTGATTATCATTGCAAGTAAGTTGATACTGTTACTAGCTAAGTATGTGACTTATACAGCGTGAAGTAGTTATTTCAGGCATCAAAATCTTTAAATACTATAAATGTAAATAAAAACACACACATCACATTATAGTACACAAAACACACAGATACCTGCACAATGAAATTTTACAACTATATAGGGAACCGGGCGACCTTATGGCTAATAACGGTCTCTTCCAGGCAACCCTAGAAAGAAACCAAATGGACGACACGAAGGAAGTGCCAAACTTACAACTTTCTTGTTTAGCTATAGAATATAATCTTAAAATAGTAATAACAACCTATCCAATATAACGATTTATAATGTAACAAATAATTTAATGATCCTTAGCTTTATCCGATTATACGAGGCTGCTGGAGTGCCTATTTGGGGGGTCACCACATCAAATGAACCTATTGACGGTTCAATGGTATCTGTTCCGTTCGGACCACAAAACACTCTTGGATGGACAGCATTTAGCATGGTAAAGTAAATAGTCAAATTTCGTTTTAATTCCCTACTGGAACTTTTTATCTACACGGGATAGCCAGGAGTGAGCCCTATTCGATAATATTATTTATTTTTAAACTCAAAATATTAATTAAAAATCGATAATAGATGGAAGAAAATTTACGACTCGGGCAGGTCTTGGACTGCCATCCACAGCGTTCTATGATGTTGCTCTAAACAATTGAGCTACCGTGTCTTCATCATCGTCACGTCATCGTCGAATATTTCCAAGTATCAATAGGTTGAAAATAATTTCCATAATCATAATTTTCATCTATGCTTTCATGTGCAATAACATGTGAAAAATATTAAAGATTCTTAATATATACACATGAGCTAGTTGGAGTAATGGAAGTAATGTATGGTCGTTATTTAAAACCTCACCGGGTCTACCATTTTTCTAATTCATTTATACGTTTTTTTTTAAACATGTTGGACTTCGTCCAGAAATCTCAATATTTTTTAGGTGGTTGGATTATCGAAATTCCGACCGGGTCACGAACCACCGTCCACAGATGAAAGCCGTGAAAGGTTTTATCGGGTTTCGGTTTCAGTCTGGATTTCCATATTTCTAAAGCCAAAATAGGTCGATAGAGCTACTATACGGCTAGGATATTTCACCTACTCTCTAATGATATGCTTAGTCTCCCTCACTCCTACATTAATAAAATTATTACAGATGAAATGGCTGAAGAATAACTTCGGTCCTACCATGAAAAGCTGCAACGGAAAGTCTAGAATAATCCTAGCGACCGATGATCAAAGATATATGCTGCCGCTGTGGGCTGATGTGGTGAGTATTGATTTCAAGATCACATAGCGTACCATAATTTCTATTAAGTAACTTTATTAGTGGGAAATTTGGAAAAAACGGAGGAAAACTTTTTGAGGGTTATCGTTGCGATAACGGTTCATTATTATTTAAATGGTCTAAAACGTGTCCCCGATAGATTTACTTAAGATTAACTCACTAGAACCATTTTTATGGTAATCAGATTTTGATCATAACACTTTATACGGGAAAAGAACGTTTTTCAGATCAGCTAGTGTATGAACATTGTAGTTACTTGTCAAATCGTTAATAACGAAACATCTAGGGCTAAAATTCTAGAATATAACTTTTTTGCGGCTGTCGCAATTGACCACCTCTCAATTTCCCAAAGTTGCTGTGAAGGCTGTTAAAATTTCGCAAAAGGTTATAAAAAAAATCTTAATGTTTTCAGATAGTTGCTCAGGAAGAAGTATCTCAGTATGTCGATGGCTACGCACTTCACGCCTACGCAGATCAGTCTACACCCGGCGATATAGTCGAGTCCAATTTGAAGAAATCTCCTACTAAATTCGTGCTTGGAACTGAATTTTGCCATAGTAGTAACATTCAATTAATTCGTTTTAGATTCAGAATATCAATTTCGATATGTCCTTAAGTTAATCCAGTTTAAATTTACATAAAATAGTGTGCTACTTAAATTTTAAGTAAAAACGTTAAAGTGGCATTTTCAAAACCTTTTGAAATTTATGAAATTTATGAAAAAATGAAATTTATTGAGAATCTGTAAGTCAGAAAGAAAGTAGATAATATAAATGGATATAATTGTGTACGATAACTAATTAATATTACAACATAAATTATAGATTAAAATAAAACACTTTAACGGTCTAAAACGCGATATACAATGGTTAAAGTTATTTGAAAATTATTTTAACTATCGTGATCACGGCTGCTGCAAAGCATCTGAAACGTCGAGCCGTTCTTGAAATAATATTCAAATAAGTTTAACTAATATATATCTTGTTTTAAGTGTACTACTCGCGTAAAATACAAAAAGTATAAATTACAATATATACATATAGATGAAGCAATTCATGCAAAATAATTCCTTAACTATCCTAAATGCAAAACTTCAATTTAAGTTTTTACCTGTGCCACTATAGTGCAACTCGCATTTTTTTTAAATAATAGACAACTTTTTGACATAGACAAAATTTATTAAGTTAAATAATAATAGACAAATCTAAAACGGAAAACAAAAGCCTTACTGAACTCTCAGTAGTGTGTTCATCTTCTCTTATTTTACAATTATTATTAGTTTGTTATTGAAGATAATAACATGTCGAATTGAATTTCAGCTGGGAGCGGTCCAAAGGTTGATCTTGGTAGTTGGGATCGAGGAGAATTATACGCTGTAACTATTCTTGATGTACGTATTGATGATTTGCCTCAGCTAAAGTATACTTTGGTTATAGTAACAATTTTTGTCATTCCATCCATTTATTATTTTTTACGTAATTTAAAGGTTCAAACGCTTTTTAAAATCCTCGAAAATGATGTACCTACAGATATATAATATAGCTTTCCTAATATTAAGTCAAATCTGCTACGCTAGTGCCATCTATTGTCTAATATATGGTAGTTTTAAAAATTATATAAAAAAGGTTTTTAACCGTTAAAATAGATCTTGCGAAATACACGAGATATATTCTGTAGTTATAAAACAAAATATCAGGTAGATAAATATAACAAATCTCGCTAAAGTTGTAAATATCTAAAATTATTTACTCAACATGAAAACATTTTGCTTATAAAAGCTTAACCTGACATAGCGTAACGCTTTTTAACTTACGTAGATACAATGCCAATTCGAGAATGAGTTTAAATTTATATTAATTAGTATTTATTTGACGGGCAAGAGATATTGGCGATGTTGTCTTTTTAAATAAATCATTTTTAATGGTGTAAAACGCGATATAGTAGTTTAACTTATTTGAAAATTATTTTAACTGCGGCCCGACATTTCTTCCCCTTTAAATTTTTTTTTTTTTTTTTTTTTTTAAAAAAATTTTTTCTTTTTTTAAACTTTTTTTTTTTTTTTTTTTTTTTTTTTTTTTTTTTTTTTTTTTCCCCCCTTTTTTTTTTTTTTTTTGGGGCTGTACGCTGCTGCAAGCATCCGAATCTTTCCAAATAAGTAATACCGTAAACAAAGTGTTTTATTTAAATGTGTACTACTCGGACTTAGACAGTATTTAATATTCATTTGTTTTAGAATCTTGTAAATAACTATGTCGGTTTCATTGATTGGAACATGATTTTGGACCTACAAGGTGGTCCAAACTGGTCAGAAAATTATGTTGACTCACCGACCATAGTGAATGCTACCAGTGGGGAATTCTACAAGCAACCTATGTTTTACGTCATGGGTCATTTTTCCAAGTGGGTCCCACGGGGTTCCAAACGAATTAGTACTGTGCGACGGAGTCCTGTTAAATATACCCCGGATAAAAATAATATGTGAGTATATTTATACTACTTGTTTTTTAGGTGTTGTTATTGGTATATTGGTTATTTTATATTTTAAAAAATGTAACAGGACGGTACCAATAGCGGTTGGTAATTGGTTCGATTTCCGCCCATGTTACTTTTATTTTACAAGTCGTGTTCTGATAATGATATATTAATTAAAAGTCGAATATAAATTGAACAAATGTTTACGACTCGGGCTGAACATGACCGAGTCCCACACGTCAGCGTCGTTTTTTTCAACTTACTGGTACATGCACCTCTCGCGTCTCTCTATATACAGCAATAACAATATTAAAGTTTTCAAATGGTATGTTCATTTACTGTTTTTTTTCAGATACGACAAAAGTCCGGAAAGAAAAGACATCTATGACCACGTAGCGTTTTTGACTCCAAAGAACACTATCGTTGTGATAATTGCCAATTAGTAAGTATTTTGTACCTTATAAATAAGAGTAGGCAATGATTACTCCTGTAACAATAACTAAACCAAATCTACATTTTATTTACTTAACAGTACGCTTATCTACATCTATACAATTTAAGAAAAAAACAAACGAATATATTTACATATACTACTTAAGAGGGTAGAACGATCGAGAAGGGCTAACATTAAAATCGGCCCCCGAATTGATCGTCAAGTTTTATTTTATAAAAACTTGTACTAAAATTGTTGTGGCAGCAATGCGCAAATAATGTAGTCTAGCAAATTATAAACTTTAATGTGTTAGAGCCTCTAAAATGAAACAAACCGTTAAAAAAACAGTGGTAAATAAAAATAACTTAGAAATAAATTAGGAAAAAAATAAACACAACGGTGTTTAATATTAAGAAACGTTGAACATAGGCCTAGTCAGAATGTAGGAAACGCGTTTTATAATATCTAAAATTCTTTATATGAAAGAAGAAGACAGATAAGCCCATGCTTATCTGTCTCCTTCTTTCCCTTATCCCCAAGCGATATAATATTTGAACAAGAAGTGCTACGAGTTTTGATTGTTCCATCTCTTTCTAAAAAATGATAAGGAAGAGAACCTCTCCATGGATCCATGATGATGAAGTCTTCGAAGACATTTAAATATGGTGTTTCCTCTTTCAGCTACGATGCTCAAACTGCGGCTCTGTTGATCGGATCCAAGCAAGTCACCGTTTTTCTTGAAGCTCACTCAGTCGTTACGGTGGAATTTAATAACCCCATAAGATCACCCTAAATGTAACAACTATCTGCTTTTGTGGTTTAAGATTTGTTAAATGATTTAAATTTTTTGTCTCCAGTACTATCCTAACCACATACATTTTTAGATTTAACTAGCTGACCCGGCAAACGTTGTTTTGCGGAAAGGAAAAATGATTAAATTACTAAAATGGCTATTAAAAATAAGGGTTGACCGTAAAAGGGGATCGTAAAATTGAGAATTGTATGTATTTTTGTATCATAAAAAAATAGAAATTAAAAATTTGGTCTAAAAAATAAAAACTTAGGGGTGGACTACCCCTAACATTTAGGGGGATGAAAATAATGTTGGCCGATTCTCATAGATAGCGGATAAGCACAAAAAAAATCATCAAAGTCGGTCAAGCCGTTTCGGAGGAGTATGGGAACGAAAACTGTGACACGAGAATTTTTATTCCTAAAGATTTTTCATTGACTAAATGTCATTAATTTATATGATTAAATTCCTCTTTTTATTTATTATCCTGTATTTGATATTATGTTTCAAAATATTATCATTACGTCTCATATTTGAAAAGAAACTATTTCCGATGCAAATAAAAATTCAGATAATTTAAAATCCCGCGCTAAATGTCAACTCTTTTAAATTGAATAATACGACCTTTGACATTGTCACCAAAGATAATACTAGACGCTATCTCTTTTACACAACATTTGCAAGAAAGAGACAGACAACAATCTTCATGGAACTCCGTAATATAAACATGAGAGGTTAAGGAATAGTTAACAAACATAAATAATTTCTAATGCACAATGCTCGTTCGAAGTACTTTAACGCTGTTTGGCTTTATATTACTATCGTGTGTATATAAAACTACAACAGGTAAGCAGTTTTATGGACTATTATAATTTTACTGACTTATAACGATTTCGTGGTATCCTTTTCTACACATATTTCGTTTCCATGATTTTAAAGTGTTTTATAAATACAAATTAATTTCTCGCTAAAATTATAATTAAGAAAAGAAGTTATACAAGAAGAGAAAATATGCATAAAAGATTCTTCTTTAGATAAGCCCTGTGCAGCCAGACAAATTCCAAGGGAGTCCGTTGTTTGTGTGTGTAATTCAACGTATTGTGATGATTTTATCAGAGAACCACCAGAAGATGATTCCTACGTCATGTATACGTCAAACAAGGTGAGATACATGCAAATATCTTTCAGATGAAGCCAAAAAAAAGGAAATAAATTACCCTTATCCTCATCTTTCATCTTTATGTTGATTAATATTATAAAATAAATACAACATTTCAAATTTCTAACTTGCAGGCTGGATTACGCTTCGAAAAAGAAATCAAAGGCTTTCAAAAAGTAGGCAAGTATCTCATACCGAACATATAGTAAATAAAAACTGTAAAATTTGGATATTATTTTAACTACGGTTCGACGTTTCGGGTGCTTTGCAGCAGCCGTGGACACGGGGAGAGAAATCATTTAAAATATTATCCAAACAAGTTTAACTAATATATATTGCGTTTTAAACCGTTAAAGTGGTTTATTTAGACAACAATAAGTTTAAAATATACCTTCCAGGAGATAAACATTGCCTGTACTGCTCTGAAATACATTTGGAATTGGACCCTTCAGTGACGTTTCAAAAAGTAGAGGGTTTTGGTGGAGCAGTCACTGACGCCGCTGCTATAAACTGGAAATCTTTGAATCCTGCCCTACAGTATTATATTATTAAGTAAGATGTTTACATTGATATCTTTCAGTGATAATGTTGATCCTTGCAGTAATAATGTACATTATCCAGGTTTAAATTTTACAAGCCTAACCTTAGCGAAGTTTACAAAGACATTAAACAAAATCCCTCCTTTTTTCTCGCGCTGAAACAGGTCCTATTATACCAACGAAGGTGTTGAATACAATATGGCCAGAGTACCCATCGGTGGAACTGACTTCTCTACCAGGACATATGCCTACAATGAATTTCCCGTAGACGACGCTAACCTTACTAATTTCCACTTGGCTCCTGAAGACTATAAATTAAAAGTAAGGAACTCTATGACATATATTAATATAACATACAATATGTTATAGCTATTGTCATTATTATGCGCGACCATAAAATTTTAATTTCCCTTTATCTATTTCAATAGTATGAAGCTGAAGGGTTTGTTTAAACGCGCCAATCTCAGGCACTACTGTTTCGAATTCTTTTTGTGCTGAACAGACTACATAAAATCACTCTGTATTTAATAGAAATGTGAAAAAACGGAGAAAAGTTATGATCTTCGCAGGCTTCTCTTAAATGCACTGCGAAAACATTTCAAGAAAGCAAAACATATGCTAAGATGAATGGTTTTTATTTAAAAAAAATGCGACAGTAGATGTCTTTCTATTAAATCAATGCATTATTACCAAGGTCTATGAACACAATCTTTATCCAAATAAATGTGTTGTGTTGTTATAACTATTTAACGCGGACGAAGTCACGCGCACATCTAGTACATTAATAAAACAATGGAAATCGTTTATCCGTTCGCAATAATAAATAAATTTATAAAAACTTTAGTACGGCGATACGAAAAGAACAATAGAGTTGATATATAATAGATCATAATATATTTGTATCTTTGACAGGCTTACATAGGAAAAAAGTGATAATCACATGTTTATTCCTAAACAATATAATAAGTCAGTGGGTTAATTCGTGTGCTTACGACGATGTTAATCAGGCAAAGTAAATTCGCGACTATATGCAGATGACAATTGTGTTACAGCTTATCTAAGAAACAAAATAGTGAATATATACTTACCTTATAAAATAATTTCAGATACCAATGATATGGGCGATTCAGAACGCATCACAAGTACCAATACATATAGTGTCAAGCACCTGGTCTCCTCCACCCTGGATGAAGACGAATAACGCATTCACGGGGTTTAGCCGTCTGAAGGAGGCATACTACCAGACATACGCTGACTATCATTTAAAGTAAGTTCATTTATGCAAAGAAGATCCTAAAAAATGCATTTGATAATTTTTAATGTCCTTTGTAGGTTTATTCAAAAATACGAAGCTGAAGGAATACCGATATGGGGTATAACGACCACAAATGAACCGATCAATGGAATATTTCATTTAACAAGTTTTAATTCTTTAGGCTGGACTGTAAATCAGTTGGTTCGTATGTTATATTTTAATTAACATAGAAATGTATTAACGTTAATTTCATATTGTCTAATATATACGTTTCATCTGTTCCGTCGCCAAATACCAACTTCGACGGAACAGATGGCGCTAGGGTAGCATTTTTTTACTTTGACGCAGACACCTACCACCTAAGTCTCTCCGTGACCACGGTTGCTGCAAAGAATTCGAAACGTCGGGCGTAGTTAATAAAAAGTTTAACTAATATAAATCGCGTTTTAAACCGTTAAAGTGTTTTATTTAAACATTAATTTCGTTAATAATCGTTTCAAAATATCCATTTCCACATTTCAATTTGAAGTATATGACTAATTATTGTGCAAAAGATTCGTTACGATATTTTAATCTATTATAATGTTTTAGTTACGAATATTTTTATTATAGAATCTTACAATATTCATATGAATTTCAGGGTAAATGGATAGTAAATCATCTAGGTCCTACTATCCGCAACTCCACTCACAATCACATAAAAATTTTGACCTGTGATGATCAGCGGTTTACGGTTCCATTCTTCTTTAATATGGTAAGCTTTTAATGGCTTTTAAACGGTGAATATTAATCAAAATTAACGAAACTTTACTCTTAAACTTTCCTTTTATATCAAAGATAAGACTTTACATTCTCCTTTATAATTTTATTAAAAAAAAACAATCTTGAGAGTCTCTGCAAAATATAATTTTGTAAAGCAAACAGTGACACTTTGTTTATTTCACAATTTGTTTTTATTTTACTTGGTCGCGAATAACCACCAGCCACTAATCCTATACAGCTATATACAAATAAAACAGCCTTTAATGTTTTAAAATTATTAAACTCTGAATTCTCAAAGTATTCTACTCGTACTCCGCGATATATATATCAATCTGTAAATCAAATTAAAAAAAAAAACTCAGGCTATTGGATTTTAACAGATGTTGCATGAGCATCCAGAGGCCTTGAAAATAATTGATGGCATAGCTGTCCACAGCTACAACGACTTTATTACACCAGCATCAGTGCTAAACTTTGTTACCAAATATTATCCAGATAAATTTATTATATCAACCGAAGCCAGTGAAGGTATGATCTAATTTGTGTTTGAATTTGCGTTAAGCTTATCGATATTTTAATTTTAATATAATTAAAAAAATATGTTTTTTTCAGGTTCATTTCCTTGGCAAAATAATGTAGTTTTAGGATCATGGGACAGAGCTGAAAGTTATATTCATGATATATTAGAGGTACCAATTAAGATATTCGTGAAAAGCCGTTGGTTAAATGACACTGACCGATAGTAGAGGATTGTCCTACTGTTGAAAAGAAATTAATAATTAACATGTTATGTCTACGATGAATCGTTTATCATTGTTACTTGGTTAATTTTAATTTATACTATTCTTTGTACATATTTCCAGGACTTAAACCACGACGTTGTAGGTTGGATTGATTGGAACTTGTGTTTGGATTTAGCAGGAGGTCCGAATTGGGAGTCAAATTTCGTGGATTCACCGATCCTTGTCAACGCACGAGACCAGGAGTTCTATAAGCAACCGATGTTTTACGCTCTTGGGCAGGTGTCTAAGCTCGTCCCTAGAAATTCAACGAGGATTCAAGTCACCGAGACGAAATCTTTCTTCCAGAGATCCGTGAAGCATGTAGCCTTTGTAACGCCCAGAAATACTACAGTACTTGTGCTATATAATAGGTAAAGCATCTAACTTTCATTTTATTAAGCTAAGCTTGATCAATAATTCAGAATTTAAAGAAAACATTTTTACAAAATATATGTTTAGTTATAGATATATTTGCCAATACTTCACTGTATTCATTTCTTTTAATTGAATGTGATTTTTTTTATTTCAGCGGAAAGGCACAATCTGTGACAGTTAAATGTGTCGATGTCGTCGCAAAACTAAATCTCACTGCTCATTCGATTACGACGATCGAGTTTAAAACAAGAAAGGAACCAGAAATGAAACTGGAAGATCTTCTAACACCTTAAAAAGTCATGAAGGTCAAAATAAATGGTTAAAAATTGCTTCTTTATCTCATTTTAAAGTTAAGTAGAATAATTTAAAAATGCGATTAACTAGGTCAGTGTGCATCATTCGATACTTGGAGTAATCTATCATCTTATATAATATATATCTGATCCAATACAATATCGTGAAATCCTATCACCATCAGCTTATACCACTTTTTTAATGATAGAGGATCAACGATCAACAAGACCGTAAATTTATCTAAAAAAATCGATATCGTTAAATTAACTACAAATATGATTAACCATCCATAAATAAAACACTTTAACGGTTTACAACGCGTTATTAGTTAAACTTATTTGAAAATGATTTGTCTCTCCGTGACCACGGCTGCCGAGACGTCGGGCCGAAGTTAAAAATCATTTTCAAATAAGTTTAACTAATATATCGCGTTTTAAATTGTTAATGTGTTTTATTTTATTAAATAGTGTGACGTAACTCCATAATTCATATCCTCTGTAACATACTGAATCATAGTTGTTATTTAACTAATATTCCTCTTTCTTTATCACTAAAGTGGAACCACAATTCTTTAGTAAATAAATACATATAAAGTTTGTGACTCATACTAATACAATAGCAAATAAACAAACGTAAAACTAGATCAGAGGTCAACTCAGCAAGAAGTTGTTGCTAAATTTATAAACATAAAGACTCGCCAACATAGTACATTTACAAGGTCTTTTCACTCACAAACTATTTGTCTTACTACAAGGATGTTCTCTCCAAAGATTTAAAAAGTCGTTAAACTGTCATTATATTAAAATGGTGCTCGCTCGTAGGACATGACCTTGGGCTAGTAAGAGACAGGAATTTCCATCCACCATTAACTTTTTACACCAAACCAGTATATGAATCTAGGACCTCTTAATCTGTAGATGAGGCTCTGTAACGAGGGCATTGGATCTTTTGATGCTAAACTATATGCATTCAGTGATACATTCAAAGTTCTTTTATTTGAATTGAAGAAAACAAAAGACGAACACCGGATGATCTATTATTTTATTAAACGTAACGGAAATGACTAAAGAGCCACAATTGGACAATAGTTAGATGACTCGTCGAGAACAATAAAGACGTTTTTAACTGGATGTAGGGGAGTTTGACATATACATAGTGATTAAGGACAATACTTAGGTGATATACCTATAGGTGTAGTCTTGCCCTGGCCACAGATGAGATAAAGATTGTTTTTTGTTTTGCTCCACTAAATCCTACCATAATCTTTATTTTTAAGGAAAGAGTCTCCGCCTTAGAGTCGTTGAAATTTTATTCTTTTTAATAAAACTTTTTAATATTACCTTTAAAAAGTTTTGTTTGTTTATCACGATTGCCTCACTTGTCACAATTGAAACCTGGACCGGGGGACAAAGACAAAAATGTATTACTCTATCCTGGTTCCTCACACAGAAACCATAATGCTTCTATCGCATCCTAAAATTTGGGTTACATTTATGTTGTAGGTGTAAGATCTAAGACAAAATAGCAATAAATCTAACTTATTATTTTAACGGTAACAAACATCATTACAAATAATAAAATTATATATAAAATTTTTGTGGTTGAATAAAATTCATAAATTGACCTAATAAAATACCGATTTTGGAATGTCATTTTCCAAACTCTATATTTTCACACTTTGAAGGAACCTAACGATATGAACAGCAAAGCAAAATAGTGAACGAAACCACAGAAGAACACAGTAGACGGAAAACGGAAATAAAAATTAGTTAGGAAGTATGTGTATAAGGTCTTCAAGAAGAAACCAGAACAAAAAGTATTTTTTTGTTTTAGATATAGTAAGGCGAGAGTAAGTCTCATAATAACACTTTGTTATACACAGTTGCAAAAGTGACTCACTTAAACCAAGTATCAAATTCAATAAACGCGAAAGCAGGTCATTAAACCAAATCTGTTTAGCTTCTTCTGAAAGCGGTTTACGCACTACAATATTTCCTAGAAAACGTATAATCTCGTTATTTATATTGTCGTATGCGTCATAATACAACCAGTGTTCGTTTGAAGTTGCAACACGACGGTCGTTCAAAATGTTTCGATTATGTATAGGGGTGTTATCACTGTGTGCTGTGGTCTTATCACACACATATCACTTGGGTGCATGCCCTGTGGTGGAACCTATGCCAGGTTTTGATATGAATCAGGTATGTTAACTGGTTTTACTTCAATTACAAAAAGTGTACCGGCGTCTTTATTTGTGAGCGCATTCTGTAGAAATAAGTTTTGTGTGTATAAGAGAAACTTACGTCTGTTGTGAGAATCCCTACCACAGGGATTCTCACAACAGACAGGCTGTAATTCAGATTATTAAACATTTGTATTCTACTCAAAAACTGTTTGAACTTTATAATAGTAGGTACCTGTTATTATATTAGTAGGTATTGTATAACAGTATTCTTTCTACGTCCACTAAACTAAAGTATTTAATTATAAAAAATATGTTAAATAAATATGCGTACTTATGAATATGGGTCAGATGTTAAACTTACGTTTCGATAGAGAATCAAGATAACCTTTGTCTAGTTAAAATAAACAGGATATTTATTATGTCTTACAATATCTTCATTTAACAACAGTCCTACAACTACGAATTACTTAACTACTTTTTTTCCTCATTTATATGTATTTTCTGTGGTGTGTTTAAATAATAAAGCAATAATAAATAAATAAATTTGAAAACTTTATTATTTTTACATGCACTATATTATAATTTAAAATATTTCAATATATAATTTCATTTCAATAATTCAAAAATAAATTGAAAAATGCAGATGCCGATGCCGGTCCTGCCCGAGTTTTTGCAATAAGATGAGATTTTTTCAATTTATTTTCGATTTTTAAAAATAAATAAATATTTTGTATTTGCGACAGCGTATCTGTGACTTTGTCTCATATATTCATTTTCTTGTCATCTTTAAAAGTTTGCTTTTATTAAAATTTTAAGTTCAGATTCTTATGCAAAATTCCTTGATACTTCAGATATTGTCCATTGGGAACACAATAAATATAAAGTAAAACAATTGTGTTACTAGATATATCTATACTAATATATAAAGCTGAAGGGTTTTTTTGAACGCGCAAATCTCAGGAACTATAGTTTATGAGAGAATGATTCCTCTTTTAATAATCTAAAAAAATCCGCGACGCTATATGTCTATATTTTAAGATTAACTTGCAAGAACGACGGGAAGGGACGCGACCGACGTCGTGGTAACAGATTAAGTTTCTAAAAATGAAGAGGTATGCAAAAACGGATTTGGATGCCCAAAATAACGATCCTCGCGTCGCTGACAGAGCTAGAATTAAGTAATTCTAAGTAAAATTTTGAATTTATGGTATTTGGACAGGCTTTTAAAGCTCTGGTAATAAAGTTAGTAGATCCTTTGTAGTCTGCTTTCTGTTTAACATTTGAAACATAACAGTACATCGCGTACATAATACACGAGATAGCAAGATGTAAACATGAGCATCTTGACCTCGATGGCATTGACAAACAATGACTCATTGAAGCCATAACTCATAACACTGTCTTTTGTTTGAATGATAGAACTAACGGGATTTCTTTTTTACGATAGAGGAAAGATAAACACGGCCTATAGTATCTAAACACGGTGCGCTATCAACCTATTTTGGCTTTGGATATTCGGAAATCCACAAACTGGAGCCGAAACGTGATCAAACTTCCTATCGATACTTTCTACGATATTCATATCACTCATTTAATATCAAGATTCCTAAACGAAGTCCAACAAGTTTCATAAAAATTATGAATACTATTATATATAATTTTAAGGTAGTTATTGTTACCATTTTTAGTAGCTTCGTTTTGACCCAGTTATATCCCACGGTTTGGGCCACATTTCCTACTCTCACTCTACTTCAAACTGAGAATCTTTAACATCCATTAATACTAAATTAGTGATGATAATCGTGGTCTCCAAACAATGAAAAACATCCTCAAAGTCCATGCTAGTACTAGATATTTTCTTGAAATTCAAAGTACTGATTTAGCATTTTGCCCGAAGGAGATTGGACCAGTCTAAATTTCTTAGTACCACATGACCAACAGGAACACATACTAGAATTAGTTTTAGTAAATTATATGGACAAATTAATTTATTCTTCGTGTTACATACTGTAATAATAAATAATGTAGCTGTCTTGCGTGAATCAAAACATGAAATTAAATAAGTTCGTTTGCGTAGTTAAAGCACTACTTAATAACTAAATTTTATTTATAGATGCTCGGAGTATGGTATGTGATACAGAAAACCTCAACTGCTTCACACTGCATCACTTACAACTTCACCAGAACAGATGAACCTAGCACATACCAACTGGAACAGGTCTCCCAGCATTTTATCCTTGGGCTGACCCCCCTCAAACATGACTATAGGTAAGAAATTAGCCTGTATTTTTCTTTATTTGCATAAGATAATCACTCATCAATCCATCGTCGTTATTATTACACTAGTAAGTTACTGTTTGTAGTTTACACGAGTAGTAAACATTTAAATAAAACACTATATATAAGTAAATTTATTTGAAAACTATTTCAAATATTTTATTATTGGGCCGTAGTTATAATGATTTTTAAATAAGTTGAACTAATATGTATCGTGTTTTAAACTGTTACAGTATTTTATCTATGTTAAATACTGTCTGTATTTAACTTACTAGGCTATTATGAACGTTTTCTTGTATATAATAATTGATTTTAATACAATTATTTTCTGGTGGATTATAGAAAAATTGACAAGTGATTTTTTTTTTCATACTTCAGATACACTGGCATCCTGACTGTACCTGATCCATCAGTATCAGCACGCATGAGGGTCAGATTCCCTCTGAGTAAGTAGTACATTACTATATTATACCTTCATAGTGGAGTACTGTTTCCCCCGGTGCGGCATGGGCCCAACGAACATGTTCGTCGAGCTAGACTGTATCTAAAGGCAAGCAGTTGAATCAGACTTCTGCCCTGCCCGACCTAAACAATGTACAATAAAAACAGGGCCTCTCGTACTGAACCTAAGGGTAGCGAACACGTTTAATAATAGAAATACAAAGATCTATAATTTTTATGGCAGTAAACAAAAAGTATATTGTTACTTATAAATTGGAGTGCATCCAAATTACAATCTGAATTATTTGTATATAGATATTTTATTATAAATAATTATAATAAAAATAAAATACCAATATTTTCTCAATTCCAGGCGTTGCTGGGTCAGCTAGCTACACTGTGATATCAACGGACTACTCTAAATATGCTGCGATCTTTACTTGCCAGAAAATGTCTTTTGCGCATCGACAATCCGCGACAATCCTCTCAAGAACTAAGGAGCTGGACAAGATGTTTGTTGATAAAGTAAGCAATTTATCAATTTAATGGTAATACAGAAATACGCCTGCGAAAAAAATAAGGCAATGGCGTAGCTAATTCGAGAAGTAAAAAAATGACAGCACCATACAAACGACTTACGACTTTTAAAAGTTTTTTGTTTTTTTCATTTTTTATGAAGTTTACAAATTTAATTAGTTGTTGCCAGAACGGAACCAAGCTACATAACATTACTGTTACTCTTAGTTATATATTCTTCATTGTTATGCTTATAAAGATAGTTAAAACAAATCTAATTAAAAAATACAAAAAAGTAATACATAACTTAACGACAAAACACTATTTATTTATAAGTTAAACTTATTTTAAAATTATTGCACCTACGGCCCGACGTTTCGGAAGCTTTGCAGCCAAGGTCATGGGGAGTGTCCCCGTGTTTTATCCAAACGTTTTATGTATTTAAATTGATACTTGAATTTTTATGAATGATGTATTGCTTTTTAGATGCGAACCAAACTGGCTACCTTCGGCGTAGATCCTTACGATCTATCCCTGATATCACAGAGTGAATGCCCGAAACATCCCAACGGAACTACGGAAGGTGTCAACATTAATATAGATCCTAACACATTTTCCACACATAACATCGGAGAAGCCGTAAGGAAAACCGGGGGAGTTCTAGGTAACTGTTCTTTCCTGTTACTGGGCAACATAATCTATATAATATAATCTGTACTAACATATAAAGCTGAAGAGTTTATTTGTACGCGCTAATCTCAGGAACTACCGGTTCGAATTGAAAAATGTAAGAGTTAGAGCATTTATAGAGGAAGGCTATTATAGGCTATAAAACATTGCCCTGTGAGTAATTCAAGCAAAGATACAGCGAGAAATGTGAAAAAAAATGGGAAAATGATTCATCATTACGTACGCTGCAAGAACGGTTCGAGATAGCCCAAAAATATGTCTAATAGACATATTTTTGGGTCTGTCTAATAGATATATATATCCTCTTTAAATGATCTAAAAAAGTCCGCGACGCTAAATGTCTATATTTTAAGATGAACTTGCGAGAACGATGGGAAGGAAAGCGACCGAAGTCGTGGGTAACAGCTTACGTTTTTAAAGGGGTTTGCAAAATCGAATTTATTGGATTACGAATTAATATAATTAATATCTGTACATAAAGATTTGATCGCTTTGTGTTTCAGTAGAACCATTTAGGACGCACTGGTCGTCCTTGATTCGTGTAACTCATACATTTTGATCCCGCGTTGCTGCCACTATACTTAAACTACATAAACATTTTTGTACAAACATTGTAAAACGGAACTAAATAATCGATTTTAGATTTAAACAATTCTATATTTAGTTACGTTCTGTCAGGCTGGAGTTCGTCTAGTCCGCAATCGGTGACACTGTAGCTTTTGCTTAGATTAGGTTAGGGTAATGTGGATGCCGGTTCGAATCCCGCTTCTATCGTATTTTTTTTATCCAAAAATTATTTTTTCATTTATATAATCCCATCATGTGGAAAATACTTAAGTTTTCAAAACGTAACTAATCTAAGTTCAGCAACATATTTCGAGATCCATATCGCCTCAACACGTTAAGTAACGACACGGTTCATTTGTTAAATTGTTTTAGAAATAAGATCCGTTCTGTGATTTCAGCGGATGGTGTCGAATACGTAGTGGACGCTGGTAAGAAAGTATATCACAAAGTGGCCAGTAGTAAGGAAGACCTGACAGAAGCACCTAGCAACGGACGCAGCATGGATGCTGATGCTGAATGGCTGCCGTAAGACTATGAAGTCCTGAATCCTAGAAGACAACTTGCAAAAGACCAGACTGAATACAACAGTTCCTACTTTCATTTATTTGTGTAAGGAAAATATTTTAGATTGTAGCAAAGTTGTCTATATATTATAATACTCACGTCGTTATTTTAAAATTAATGTTAATAATAAAAAACAATAAATTTATTAAAACTCATATCAGTATTTAGTTATGGTTTTTTAATCATGTTTACGTTAGCGGAAGGTTAGCCAAATTGCTAAACGTATTGCCTAGCATTGCGTAAAGCGCGAGAGGTCGAATCCCAGGGAAACATAAAATTGTTTCGGTCGGGCAGGGCACTGAAGTCTGATCAACTACTTGCCCGTTAAAAGAACGGATGAGTAAAACGGACACAGAAATGTGTTCGCCCCATGTCCCACAAGAGGGAAACGGGATTTAATTTTTATTGAGGTTTAACTCCTTAATTTCTACACAAAAGCTTGTCGAAAATTTTGACGGGTTATGTTGGTCTAATGGTAGCAATGTATGGCTAATAAATAATCTACTTCGATCGCTTCGATCTTCGAGGCTTCGATCTTAACCAGGTTCTAATTTTAAATTTGTTCTGAAACTGGAAATCTGTATATTGAATGGTAGGAATATAGAAACTCCATCCGGGTCACGAATCACCGTCCACAGATGAAAAAGCCGTGAAGGCATATTGCGGTTGATTCATTCCACCGTAGAATCTTCGTATTTTTTGTAACACTGTAATTCCATCATAAATGATTGTCATTATCTGCAAAGTAGGACATTGAACCCTGATTTTCAATGTCGTTAAGATGTCGTATTAATGTTAAGGTTGGAATTACATTGCGCAAGAGATGCATGTATTTATCGGTTGAATAAACTAAATGGTGACACTATGACAATTTTTGTCCTCATCTTAATAGCTATTTCGTTTATTATATAAAAATTGCTACGCTAGCGCCATCTGTTCCGTCGAAGTTGGTATTTGGCGAAATTGAGGACACGGGGGGACTTAAATTCCATACACAGCGTCAAATATATACATTTAGAAAATTAAACAGTATACAGGAGTACAAATAAGTTTCCGCCGTTTTTTAACACAAAATACAAAAAAATATTATAGAATATGGCGGGTGGGGCAACACTTCCCAATGAAGTATTTCCAAGTACTTTTTCACGGGAGCCGCAACATGTGGACGAGCGTTGTCATGCAGAAAAATAATTTTTTCGTGTCTAGAATAGTTTTGAGGGCGTTTTTCCAGAGCTCGACATGAACTCAAGTAAAGGTCATAAAACAGGTTAAACTTATAGAAACGATACCTCTAATAATTAATTATTTAAATTCGGTATTATTTTCGACAAGGCAAACGCGTGACTATAAATTGTGTAGTAGAAAAAAAATAATTGAATCGTTTCTGACAAATTATTACCTCATTCTTATAGACAGATATGAGGTATGTAATAAAATGTTTTATTTTCAGAAAACACGGAATTTAATGGACAATTCATAGAGGATGCTTCTTAGTTAAAACCACTAACTGTATTTTACGTTTGATCATATACATAGTTTCCTTAAAAAGCAGTGTACAGAATATTACAGATATAAGTAGATACCGTTTAAATTCATACATTTTTGTTTATAAAATAAAAATACCAAAAGTAATTAGTTGGTAGGAGTTCTCTCGCCCAAACTCAATAATACGCTCATCTACATACGGTCTTCGGAATTACGTTTTGCAAGATTAAGATTATTTATTGTTTTCTAATTTACATTACTTTTATTTTAAAAACATTATATTGCCACTCGGTGAATCATATACGGCTATATACTTTTATACGAGAAAGCTTCTTGTCGTCATTCTCAGAGACTTGTTGTTCCTGGTGTGGAATGTTGTTATTTAATTAACATATCAAATTTCTCCTTTTCTTCATTCTTATATAATTTACAGAATATAAGGACGACTTCTTCCAAGCTCGTCTTCCTTAATCCTTTTCTGAATCTCTACTAGCGACATATTATAAAGCGTTTCTATATTTACAATTAATATTTCCGTATTAGGGGCTTCAGTTTTTATTTAGAAATTGTCCATACGAAATAAATAAACCCTAATACGTCAACAATGAGTCATTATTTTTTTACATCTCTAGTATTATATAAAGCTGAAGAGTTTGTTTTTTTCTCTTTAAATGATCTTTTAAGATTAACTCGCAAGAACGACTGGACCCGAATGACAGGACGCGACTGCTGTCGCGTCAACTTAAATTTATAAAGTTGTAGTGGTTTGCAAAAATAAATTTAGATACCCCAAACAAATATTCTACGCGAAGTCGCTGACAAAGCTAGTAAGTATTATCTGATACCTGTGAATCTCATTTGAATATGTATGTAAACAATCAGCCATATAATATTATTATAAAATATAGCCTGTCTTTAGTTAAACAATTTGCAGGTCAGAAAAACGCTGAATTTCGATGTGATCAGTTGCTTACCTTAAATGGAATGTTATAATAAATTGCTTATGTACTGCAGTGCTTCTTAGACCAGCTCAATATTTTAAGCTATTATTTTTTTAAGTTACTTTAAAGCCAGACTACTAGAAACGAGCGCGACGTACGAAGCGTAAAGCTCTTTTAAGACATCTCTGAATGACGCCGCGTGTGATGTGGTAATATTAAGCTTCAATATATCTTAAAAGAACCTTAGAGTATATTAAAAAAGCCCTTATACTTAATATCTCGCAACTTGTGACGTTGGGGTAACCTTACATCATTTATAACGTACAAACGGAAATAATTTTACATTATACAAGTTGACTGCGGTAATAACATATCGTGTTTTTGTGTATTATGAAAAACATAAAAATGATAATCATATTATCAATATTAATTGTGCTTTACCTGGATACAGTTTATGCTGTGTTGTATTCTATAAACAGTAAGTTATGTGTTTTTTTTATCATTATGTATTTTATACATAAACATTTAAGCTAAGCTGATTCAGCTTAAATATATATAAACAAGATTAAAAGAAGACTAATTAATCGGTAACATTGGTGGCTCATAATTATGATACACTGCAAATGAAAATTAAGTGGATATGATAGTGCAAATGAAAATTAATTTATACTATTCCTATTTCATAGTTCGTTATTATTATGGAAGTAAATAAATTCAATTCAAAAAATATTTATCGTAGGGACAGAGTTCTACCGAATGCCGCCAAAAATATATTTAGAAGATTATGATAAATGCTTACAAGATCCCGACGGCCTTTATTGCACAGTGCACCTGTCTCTGGTTTCCGATACTCCCAGTGAATTGGTTACAATGATAAAGGTATTTCTTTACAAACTGGTCCAAACACAAAATCAGTAGAACAATTACAAATGTCATCATAATAAAAGTCCTATTTACAATTTTGCTTCAACAGTTTACTTCAAATTATATGTTATATTTAAAAATCATTATGAATTTCAGGATTATTCAGATCATAGTGTAAGACATTTTAATCATACGAATCCACATTACGGATTATGTGTTTCAAAAACTTGTCAACAATTTATCAAAAGTAATGTGACGGGGCTTGAAGAGGTACTTGAAGGATGCCTCAACGAAACAATGTGGGATAAATATAAGCTGAAAACGAAAATCCACAATAGTTCTTATCTTTGTACACAGTCTAATGAAATTAATAAAATAAATACCAGTGATGTTATAGTACTAGCTTTGTTGGTTATAATTGTAATAATTAACCTAGTAGCTACAAGCTATGATAATTACATTGGATGCACAAAAAAAGAAGGTAAAATATGAATGTTTTTATCGAGAACTTTTAGTAGTACCAGAAAGAAGGATAGAAATGTGTCTGTCTATATTGTACATACTATTCTTGTTGATGCGAATTAAATCAACGTCGGTAGCGAAATAAATTAAATTCGCGACATGTCGAACTCGTTTTTAATCTAGCAATCTGTGAATCTAGTTTGCTCGAGAATTCTGTACATCTTAATCTTACGTCTACCTAAGATAACGTAGACGTAATTTAGATGTACAGAATCTGCCTGTTATATTTTGCATTAATATCTTCTAACGAGTTGTCTTGATAACCGGTGTAATGTTTACGTAGAGTATGTTATCCTTCTCCAAAACAAAGTTCTGCGGATTATTTCATTTTGTTGATTAATTCAATACATATTTTTCAGCGAACAAGTATTTAATAAATTTCTCAATATCTAGAAATTTGACGAAGCTTTTGGAAGTTAGTAACAGATCTGATCCTAGGCAAGATCGATTGAAATGTTTGGATTGTACGAAGTAAGCATATTTAACAAGAACAGATAAAACAAGCATTATATTCTTATTATCTAAGAATAGTTTGGATTGTCTCCACAAAAGTGATTCTTACTAAGAAAAATACTCTCTCTCAAGTTAAGATTTCCTGAACATAATGTTCGTTTAATATAACATTTCAAGTCTATATAATTTGTACCTATGAAATGTAAAAAAAACAAAGAGGCATTTATAAGAACTAAGTAAACTAATTTAACTTTATTTTATAAATATAAACATTTTGCAGGTCAACATTGATAATGATGGTTATAATGGGACATTCAATACAGCCGCTGGTAGCACTATGCCAAAATGTCTACGACTTGGAGGGGGTGAGTCAGAAAGCCATAAACAACACAATCATTATAATTTCCCTATAAATTATTAATATTAATACCTTATTATGTATAAGTCGTAAATTAACAAATTTATTAATTTGTATAAAGTCATAGTATCAATTGCATTTCAGACATACGATAACATCTTATGGCATATATACTACAATGGAAGTATCATAGTTCAGGTTTTCTTCACAATATCCGGTTTTCTTTTAGCATACAATTTGGAAATTGCGTCAGAAAGAGAACCACTTCATTACCTCGAAATACCAAAACGAATCGCTTTAAGATGGTTGAGGTGAGTAAAAATTTATATACATATTATGTACTATCGGTATGGTAAATATTTGGTGGTCTAACCTTGGTTTTTTGTTGCCAATATTTTGGACACTGTGCGGTACAAAAGTGCATTTAGGGCACCGTAGCGGGCTGATGGTGTATTTAGTGGTTCCGATCGACTTTTGCCTTCGGTGGAGTTGGTGATACCAACTCAAATACGGACGATGTAGTGGGGATTATCGAACCCCACGTAACAAATACCTGACGTGGGCGTGCATTCACAACATCCTTTAAAAAAAAGGCATGCCAGACATATCAGTATCCGAATAAATATTTCTTATTTCTTCAGTTCGAACCCAAGATGTCCTTAGTTATTTAATCAAGGAGACAATGATTGTTTCATGTACACAATTGATGGTGGAAATTTTATACATTTCAGTTGTAAATACTTTTTATTTACAGATTGACACCGCCTTACGCGCTTGTTTTAGGCATTTCTGCAACTTGGTTGAGGTTCGCGCAATCAGGACCTTTGTGGAAGGTATACTGTGACTCTGATAATATTATTCTGCTACCGAAATATTAAATATTAAATTAGGGATGGAAAGTAAAAAAAATAATAAGTATATCATTGTTTTTGGGGCTGTTAGGCCAACGTGAACGAGAAGAGGTTCTCGACGTTCCGCCATCACGAGCGGACCGCATCATCCGATGTTACCTCCTCGATTGCTCGAAAAATAATTCTTCGAAACGTCGAAACCTCCGAAGCCCGAAAAACAATGATACTGAACGAAGGCCGTGAAAGCCTTACACAATTTATTGAAAATATTAAGTGTTTATTTTCGATTCTCTAGTTACACAAGGCATTGTTACTCGGTGTTCTAGTAGGAGCTATTTGTACAACTTTATTGGGAGGGTAATTGTAGTGATAAAGTGTTAATCATATTTTTGGTTAACATTTCTAAATAATATGAACGTATTCAATGTGTAATTTGTGTACTGTTCAAGAATTTTCCTCAATCAAACCTTTAATAAATAATCTACCTATTGTCTATTCTAGTTAGTAACTTTGTACCGTATGGCAATAACACTAATTCATGTAAATAACGTTCTTTGTGTGATAAGAAAATACATATATAATGTAGATTATGTAAGCTATCTCCTCGGCTCAGTGGTTAAACGTGTCGAGCGTTCCTAGGTTCGGTTCCCAAAACGCAGCGTGAAGTGAACTATATGGACCCACTTAATTATGATTTAAAAAATCATATAATAAACAATATTGCCCTTATGTATAGCGGATGGTCTCTGTAGATAATAATGATCCAAAGAACATAAGAAATAGCAAAACAAATGTACAATAATTATAATTATACATTGCTTTGTACAAAGTCAGAACCAGAAGAAGTTATAATACAAATTATGAAGCTAATATTTAGAGCCCCCGCAAACCACAGACTTTCTATCGGCCGATAGTTTGGTTGGGCTTATAATCACTATGAAGATGTATGCAAGTCCGCATACTACAACGATTTGGTATCGGCCGATAAATAAGTTTGATGGGCTACTCAACTGCGTTCAAACTGAACTGAAAACTGAATATCGTCGGCCGACTGTTGCCTAGTTTGCGCACTCATCACCAACCCAACTGTTTAGTTGGCGTAGTGTGCGCGCTAACAGCCCCACCCGACCAAACTATCGGCCGATAGAAAGTCTGTGGTTTGCGGGGGCTCTTATGGACTGTTAGAATTTACATAACGAAGGTAGGAAGGCATACAGCCTTTCTTCCTTCGTTATAAAAATTGATTTAGCTTTCAAATAATCTTGTACATCTCGGCCATTACCAAACATTAATTTCATTTTAATCATGTTTTTTCAGGTTATAAAGGCTTTTTTTAATGCACCTTTTGTAATCGTACGATTTTTTATTTAATCTCTTTACTCTTTTCAGACATATGTTAATAATTCCGTGAACGAGTGCAGAAGTAACTGGTGGGCTAATTTGCTATATATAAACAATTATTATGACAACTATTTTAGGAACGGAACAAAGTGCATGCTACAGACGTGGTAAGTACAAACGAATTAAACAAAGTTTGCCAAACTAGGTCACCTGGCAAACTTCCTTTTGCCGTATGACGTAAAATAGTTATTTTGGACATCCAAATTGGTGTTTGCAAAAAGAGAAGAGATCTTTATAAATTAACCCACGACGTGGGTCGCGTCAAATGCGTAATATGTCGCATGTGTCGCATCGTATGTGTTACGGGCATTTTTTAGATTATTTAAAGAGGAATCATTCTTTTCTACAAATTTTCATAGCAAATCTGAGATAAGCGCGTTTAAACAAACCAACAAACCAACTCTTCAGCGTATAATATAAGTATAGATTAGAAACATAATACATTACGAGAAGCCCCCTTGATTATAAGACTCACATTGTTACCATTAAACGAACGAGCCCTTTCAAAAACAGTTCAGCGACGAGTTACAATGTACAACCTTAATATTTGTTCTAAAATCCGTAAAGAACAGTTACGATTACAAATTACACGATAAGAAAAAATGCCTACGGATTAGTATCGATTTCTTGAATGCCTTGACTTGAGTACAAGGGACATACATGCTTCATTTGAATATAGACTCGTTATATAAAAAATAATTCAAGGCAGCGGTGACCCTTTGAGGTTAGTTAATTATATAAAGTTATAGCCAAACCACAAAAGCATAACGTGTTAATCATTTAAATAAAACACTTTAACTGTTTAAAGCGCGATATACTTACTTGTATTAACTACGGCCCGACGCGGACGTTTCGGATTTTCAAATAAGTTTAACTAATATATGTCGCGTTAACTAATCACGTAAACTACAGACATATAGATTTATGCTTTTATTAGACAAGCTAAGACCTTAGGATTGTTTGGCAACATTATTTATAATTAATTAGTATTATATTAAATTAGATGTGCCAGGTTCTTCGTCCGCGTATTTATTTTTGGTGTCATAATGAAGTGAAGTATATATTTGGCCATTCAAAACTCAAACAATCTGATAGATAAAATTCTAAATTATATTATATAGATGAACCACTTGATTTTTCGTTAGCGCGTTCAAACAACCAAACAAATCAACAATCTCTCCAGTTTTATAATATTAGTATATATACCCACCCGACGCGCCTCCTTCACGTCCCGTCAAGTCATTCTGGCGAGTTAGAAATGTGTCAAGAGCAGGCAAAGATTAATAATTTTCCCTGCTTTTGACACATTTCCCACTATTTTGCTCTTATTGGTATAGCTTAAAATCTTTCTTAAATATCATTTAGACCTAAATAACTGTATGAACCCACAGTTTCTGCGATTAGCGCGTTCAAACAAAGAAACAAACTATTCAGCTGTGTAATATTAGTATACGTATTTATAAATATAGAAGTGCATGAATAAAAAAAATAATTACAAAACCATTTTCTTTGTCACAATAACCATGCTTAATTATTGCTTTGACGTTAATTACAAAGTAAACATGACCGTTAACACAGTACAGGAAGGCAACAGACAACTATCAATTTATATGAATTATTATTGTCCTAAGATATCTACATAAAATACTATTTGTAATTCTGTAGTTTGTGCAAGTAGTACACATTTAAATAATAGTACATTATGAAATAAGTGCGGTAAGTTGAAAATTGCAGCCGAGGCGATATTACTAGCCCGAGGCATCGGCGAGGGCTATAAGAAAGCAGAGGCTGTAATTTTCAAAGCGCACGTATGTCATACGACGTTTTATAACATATTTACGAGGAAATGACGACATTTTCAAATAAAAACAATACAGCGAAAAGAAAAAGCGCGTGGAATTATTTTTACTTGTCCACAAATAAGCGATGCGCGCGCATCAACGTTTTTTTGTTTTAAGCAAAGGTACAAAAACAGCCAGTATTACTATATAAAGTATATATAAAGTAAATTAATATTTTTGTGTTTTTGTTATAGATAAATGGTTGTAATTTATTGTCAAAATTAATTAAATTAAAGAATTAAATGTTTATTTGTTATATTTTATTTCCCAAAGTTAATTTTATTCATAAAATGTTGACCATTTTCTTGACTTAAAACCTCTTTGCTAAGATTTTTAAAAGTATCGTTCATATTTAGACGGAGTATTTTAAAACTTTATTTAAAAAAAACACGTGCCTTTTACATTACATTATCGCACAAGTACGTAATGAGATACTCTCTGTCTTTAAATTAAATTGTTTATTGATAAATTGTAATATTACATTTTCTAAGTTTAAGTATGATGCAGACTCTATCTCCTCTATACAGAAAAATACAATATTTCGCTGCCTTACTTGTTTTTCTAAAAAGCAAAGGCGTTTCTCCTGATTTTCTACTTTTGTTTGGAGATTTTCATACTTTTCTTTTCATGTTCGAAATTTTTCTTCCATGATGTTATTTATATTTTGCGTCACTTGCTCTGTAACTTTTTCGGCGCATTTTTGTATGGTGTGTCTTTGTTCGTCTAACTCTTTTTGTAAGTGACGTAGTGCGACCATAATTTCTTCCATAATTTTAAAGTTTAAGTATGGAATTATAAAGGAATGTCGTTTTCGGTACCAGTATCGTCCTCTATTGGCATATACCCAAACCGGGGTTCTTGCTAATTTCTAAGTTTTTTTAATATTATATATACATAAATTTAAATTACTAACATATCCTAAGCTTAGGTACTAACAAATATCTGTTTAAAATGTATCAAAAATAATGTAAACGGCAAGAAATAAATGCTTATTATTATCATTATAATCTTCATTAAAATTTTTATTTCTATAATAATCTAAAAAATATCCGCGAAAGTATACTTTTAAGATCAAATTACTATAACCGTTTCTATGTTAACAAAATTTGGTCGAAATATTTCATATAGCAAAATAGCGTTTGCCAGTTCAGCTAGTACTAAGATAAGAGGAAGTAAAGTAGCATATCCTTCATATGTTTGGCAAAAAAGAAACATAACACTGTTGTTATATATCTCATCATAATATATCTCAGGTATTTGGCTGCGGATTTCCAACTGCACATAATTGGTTTGCTTGTATGTGTACTATGCAAGGGTCCAGTAAGAAAAGCAGTCTTGGGTCTTTTATTTATTGCTGGAATAATTGCTCCGGGGCTACACACCTACTTTCAGGACCTCAATGGAACATTACTTTTGTATTTAGAGTAAGTAACTTTTGCAAAATAACTATAGTCTATTTAAGGCTCCTTTTTTATAGTAATATGTATATTAAGAAGATTGATCGGATCTGTAGCCAAATGGTGAAACGTGTTGCCTAGCATGACGTTAAGCGCGAGAGGTTCTGAGTTCGAAACTCACAAAACAATGGATTTTTTTGGCAAGGCGCAGAAGTCTGATCAACTACATTGAAACGAATATAAAAATTCGTTCGCCTAATGCGATCTTCATCAATCTCAGTTTGTTTTCTAAGTTATTATCAAAAGTTAAATTGTCCCGAAAAATGGTTATGTTAAGTCATTGTTACATATCGATAAAAAGCAAAGCCGGCATTAAAACACGTTTCTTTTTATTATTTTTACTTTAACGAATTTGATTTTAAATTCATACTAATTTGAATTAATTTGTCGAATTGTATGTTTCAGGTTCATAAGATCGATGTTCGTGAAAGATAGGACATTTAACATTGTGTATATAGCAACTCACACAAACGCAGCTAGTTTTATAATGGGACTAAGTTTAGGACTTATAATTTATCGGGTACAGAACACAAACTTTGATATTAAGAAATATTCTAAGGTTAGTTATCACAGCCTTTGTAGCTTATTTTGGTTTGATATAAGGAATATTTATATTTGGCTTATTATTATAATCTGCTTCATAAGTAATAATTCTTTTTCGATACAAGGAATCTTGCGATGCGCCTCTGTTTTAGCATTTTATTTATTTATTTATTTCAACAATGAATAAATTGAGTAATTAAAAATTCACACACATACGATATAGATGGTTTTATTATCTCGGATTTGTATATAGTAGCAGTTAAATGACTTTTACTCACACTACAATAGTTCGTCTCTCACAATTTTAACAATAGGGAAGAAAATTGTTATTGCGATGGTTTGTCGAACTATTCTCTACGAACTATTTCCCAAAAATTAATTACTACAATAACACAAATATAAGACGAAAAATGTTCTGTTTCAGATATACGTGTACCTTTTTAAGCTGTCACTTCCAGTCAGTTTTGCGGTCATTCTTGTTGGTATGGTGGGATTTAGGAATGGTCCTAAAATCTCTATCTTTACACGTGTAGTCCTTTCTGTGCTCGTCAAACCCTTTTTTTCAGCTATATTTGCGTTTCTTATCTTTGGGATTGTCTTCAAATTTGACAGTAAGTATTTACAAAGCTATAGCTAAGTGGGCTTTCTAGTTGATCCGTGGTCGTCATTAAGAAACGGTTTTGATATCTCCATACAACGCGATATTCTTCGCTTAGTTGAGGGACCTGATACTCACTCGTGCGTACCATTTCTTTATTACGACGGCCGAACATGACGAAAACCCAACACAAAATTCGAACATGTTATTGCACAGGATAGTTTTATGTTATTAAAACACAATGGTAAATCAGAAGAATACGTTTAACGGTTTCAAATGCGATATGTATTTATCAGACCGGTATACCACCTTTTCGTATCGCGACCTTGGCGCCGGCGCCGACCGCCCGCGAAACCGGGCCAATTGCCCCCCCCCCCCCCCCCCCCCACCCCCCCAAACCCCCCCCCAAAAACCCCCCAACCCGGGGCAAACCGGGGGCCCCCTCTCTCCCCACACAAACACCGCCCCCCCCCCTCCGGTAGTTTGCGGGGCGCCGGCATTCGCGACTATGATTGCCCAAACCCATCCAACACTATCGTAGTTCAAAAACCAATTGATTTTACAATTACCACAAAATAAAAAAAGTTTAAAACAGTTGAAATAGTTTTAAACTTTTTTTATTTTGTGGATCTGGTAAAATTTCTTTTAGTATACTCAGTCACTGAGAGGAAATTTGATTTAATTTCAGAGTTTTACCGTCGATTTGGTGAAGCCTACTTATGGACTGTCCTGTGTAGGGTTTCATATTGCGCATACATATGTCACATGGGCATTGTCCAAATATTTGCTGGTTCCAGTCAAATGATGATTTATAATGTCTATACTTTGGTAAGATATTTTTATAAGCTCATATATAGTAGTAGTGGTTTTTGTGTTATTATTAAACCTGCTGAGTTTTTTTGCTTGTTTGAACGCGCTATCTCAATAACTACACACGTTCGAATTGAAAAACAATTTGTATTGTGTGGGTTAGAACATTTATCGAGGAAGGCTTTTGTACATCAAGAGTCTAGATACAGTGTAAATGCGTAAGAAACGGGGAAAATTATTCCTCTTTCAGAGTTTCCGTTGCGTACTCTGTTAAAATGGTTCAAGATACCCAAAAAATATGTATGACAGAATGATTCCTCTTTAAATTATCTAAACAAACTGGGACAGTAGGTAAATGTCAACTTTTAAGTTTAACTTGCAAGAACGACGGAACGCGAACGACGTCGTAGGTAACGGCTAAAATTTGTAAAGGTAAGGTTTGCAAAAAAAAATGTCGCCCATAATTGTTATTCTATGCGGACGAAGTCGCGTGCACAGCTAGTATTCAAATAATTTTGTATTAGCTGTTCAATTCTGAAAACTAACTTTTTAAAAGGAGTTAATATGAATAAAACTTTTACGTTTTTATATTTTTCATTACTTTAAATATTTTCTATAGTTACTTTATATTGCTGTACATTGTAAAAATTATCAAGCAGTCACGATTTAGTAATTTCAGTTTATAGTATTGTTGGGGAGTCTAATGTGTTCGTACATCCTGGCTGTCATTTTGTGGCTGTTTGTGGAATCGCCATTTTTGGGTGTCATAGATACGATTAGATCCAAATCCAAAGAAGATAAAATAGCTACAGATAAAACTGAAGACCAAATTGCAAGAGGGAAAAAAGATAATAAAAAACGAAGGGTACCAAAGACATAACATAAAGATAGAACACGGCACGGGTAGAATATTTTTATAAAATAAATATAAGTTAAAATGCGTAATAATACTAAATATATATTATATTATCCATTGTCTTTTTTTTCATTGTCAAATATAAATAATCTTAAAACAAGTCGTATTTACTTCAATCAAAACGATGAAAAATAATAAAAACTAAAAAAAATTACTACTTAGACGAAAAAAGTATACTTGATATTATGTGTTTATTTTATATGGCAACAAACCATATTTTTGTATCAATTCATGAACCATTCAAAACCATCACTCGGCACAATTCCTTTAGATAGACCTATTTCAATTTGTACGAATTTAATTTAAACATTTTTTCGAAAAACTATGTTTGATATATAGTAAATGGATAGCGATTTACATTTAGTTACGTGTGGGTTGGAAAACCTAATGGTGCTCTATTTTAACCATAACATAGGGCTCATAAGTGAGATTTTTTAGAGTCTTGTAGTGAAAACTGAATCTACCCGAGTCCCATAGAACCTCTATTTTAAAATTTACTAAACCCTGTTGTTTCCATTTTATTCTCAACTTACGTGATTAAATGTTGGTAATTATATTTATTTGTAATAACTTTTAGCAATGCGTATTATTACAATCTATTTGGTCTACCTTTAAATCGAAGTAGCATGTTACTAGTTAAAATGATAACGAATTTAAAAAATAACAATATACATAAAATTGACTTTCGAATCAAGCAAAGAACTAATATGTTATTTAATTAATTGGCCCCTGTTTGACAAAGGTTAGAAGATGGCAACCCTACGATAAAAATTGTATAAAACCTGAAAACGCACAATAAGATTTAAAATTCAGTGTGAAACGAACCTGCACTATTCAGGCTGTTGTTAGAATCAGAGACAAACTATGAACAAAATACTAGGGCTTACGTTTTTCCATGTTTTCTACCGTTTCTGGAATTATATAACAGACTTAATGGTAAGTAAATAATATATTAATTTATTGGAAGTTAAACCTAGGAATGGATTTGTATCTTATTAAAGCGTTTGTAATCTTTCAAATCCCTGTTTTGCAGACACTATTTTTATAGAATGCCACCTCAACATTATTTTGATGATTACAATAAATGCATGGTAGAACCTCCAGGATTATACTGCTCTGTTGATTTCACCTTAGTTTCTGACACACACAGTGAACTTCTAACCTTAATACAGGTAAAGTTTATAAAAATACATTTTTGAGATACTAATTAACGAAAAACTATTAACACCAACAAAACGGACACTGCTTCATAGTTTATATTTCAGGAATATTCAACATACTTCTCGCACTTCAATCACACAAAACCAAGTTACGGATATGTTGTCCAAATTTATGATATAACAAAACGAGGCCAATGTCCTGAAGACACCTTAACAAACTGGAAGGATACAGCTTAAAACAAAAGTCGATTATGTAAAATCGTAGATTCCAATAAAAAAAGAAATATTAAATGCTGAAATATTTTTGCGCTGATTATCTTTGTAATCATATTGCTAAATTTTTCGGCAGCATTTACGATTTATTCGCTAAAATAAAAAATTGGTAATGTTTCTATACAATTTAATTTTTTTCAACAGTAAAGTTTCTAACATAATAGTATTAAAAAATTGTTAAATAGGAAATAATTATTTCTTACTTTTCGATACGAAGATATCCGAAACTTTTGAATGCTGAAAATAAGCAAGGCCTGCAAAATAGTTTAAGATGTTTAGATGGACTGCGGTAAGAGTTTTAGGTTATAGAGCTGAAGAAATTTATAAAAAAAAAATGATATAAGTTTAAAAATTAATGGTATATATTCAAGATAGAAATAAAAATTTTAAACGCTTCGGCGAAGGTGGTATTATCGACTTTGTTGCAACTATCATACCCGGTCTTAAATTATATACTATTTAATCAGCAGAGTTTTCTGGTTAAATTCAAAGCGTATGGTTTTCCTATAAATTAATATATTTTTTTTTTCAGAGCAATTTCAGCTTTATTAATTGTTTCTGTGCATGCTGTTCTATCCTTATTCAGATTTTATCAAAGCCTCTCTTTTTCGAAAAGGTGAGCTTTTATATATTAATTTCCTTTATATTTTAAGTTCCGAACTGCGATTTTGCCGTCTGTTCTGCATCAGCTCTTATAGCAACAAGCGCTTTAGCTAATGTGGATTTTTATTTTCAATTGATTAATTTCTCTTTATTAATATTTCTGTTAATATGTACTTGAGCCTACAAAATGCACTTTTTTATACTGGCATTTGAATATATACAAAAGATTCCGTTATATTTTTACTTGTGTAACAATACAGGTACAATAGATAAATGTTTGCCTAATTATGGTTGATATAAATGAATGGCACCTAGCAATTCTTCAATATTTTCAATCTTGTATACCAAATTTCAAATATGTTTTTTATATTTTCCTGTTTCAGTCATATGACTACATATTGTTCCAAATGTTTTATAACGGAACACTTTTCGTACAGTGTTTTTTTATAATATCAGGACTTTTACTAGCGTACAATTTAAAAACTGCTTCCGAAAAGAACGATCTTAATTGGCAAGAAGTACCGAAGCGCATTGCTCTACGTTGGCTAAGGTGAGCGACTATAACATAACTTAATTTATTCATTACAGAACATTTTGGGTTTTTTTTTATTATTTTAATATGCTGGGTTAATAATAATAAAACATTATAATATAGTATTACAGCGCGCTAATATCAAACTTTGAGCGCTATTTTAACAAAAACTAGTTTTTTATCAAAACCATAACGGACCTCTATTGATTTCGGACTCAAAAATAAAACCATTTTCATAGCTATAGCAAGTGCTGAAATTATCGTGAATACATATATTTTTAAAATTTCAACGTAAGCGACAAACTCACGACCGATTAAGCGGAAGTGTTATCGCAACCTTAATTAGTTATTTGTAATAGCTACGACAATAAAGTAATTAAGAAAATGATGCTGCTATATCACCACTCACTGCATAAGATAATTATTTTGAAACTGCTTCCGAGAGCCCATAGCAAGATACAAGGCCCTTACTTTCATGATACATTCTTACAATATGAAGCACTGCGACATTACCATCTTTAATTGATTTTATTTGTGATACCGATGTTAATTTTTAGCAAAATACTAATCCACCTACAACTACAGTTGTTGGTTACAGTGATTCTGTCAATGACAGTTCTTATACATTAATTTCCCCCGTTTTGTTCACATTTCTCGCTGTATCTTTGCTCCTATTAGTCACATCGCAATGCCTTTAACCTTCCTCGATAAATGCTCTTACCAACACAAAAATAATTTTTCAATTCGAACCCGTACTTCCTGATATAAGCGCGTTCAAACAAACAAACAAACTCTTCAGCTTTATATATTAGTATAGATATCACATTGTAAAAATGTGACCTTATATTGCCCAAGAAAATATGCATATTACAATGAAAGTATGAAAGAAAAAGGCACACGGAATAAATGTTGTTACATATGTGTGACAGTATTTTTCCTTATTTATATATGTTAGTTAGAAAAGTTATCCATGCTATTATCAACCATCTTGTGACAGTTGTGCTGGGCAAAATAGAAACCGTGCAATGAGAGTTCTAGCTGCAATATGATAATTAGCTCTAAAACCACAAGTCAATTATGGAGACAAAGTTGACTTATCTTTTGTCTGAACATGGCGAGTCCTAAATACTGTCTATAGTTTACGCGAGTAGTACACGTTTAAATAAAACACTTTAACGGTTTAACACGCGATATATTAGTTAAACTTATTTGAAAATGATTTCTCCCCGTCACCCCGTGACCATGGCTGCTGTAAAGCATCCGAAACGTCGGGCCGAAGTTAAACATCATTTTCAAATAAGTTTAACTAATATATCGCGTTTTAAACCGTTAAAGTGTTTTATTTAATTGGTGTGTCCTGTTAATTTAATATATAGCACTATTGAATGTTTTGTTTGTAATAAACATCATTTGCTCCTGAGTAGCCTACGATCATAACTAATGCCATCTTACACTAAAGGATACACTGTGAATGTTTTAAAGTATGGAGACTTTATGAATAGGAAGCTCTATTCACAAGCGTTATTGCCAGCTAAATTTAAAATCAATTTCAATCAATTAAGAGTGGTAGAATATGATAAAAATAATCCTGAAAATTATACAATTAATATGGATTAAGATGGAACAAAACCGTCACACGCCCTTATACGACGATGAGCTTCTATTTTCAGAAGCTAAATAGACATAAAGATTTATAGGAGCTATGGAAAATCATTAGAACCAAACACATACCATAAAGAATATTCAAGTATGAGTCAATGCAACCTTACGTTGCTTTAGATGAAAATCCGTCATTCAATAAAGCCTAAGAAGACAATTCAAAATTAACTATTGTAATTAATAATTTTTGCAATCCTCGTCGTTTATATATAATTTTATATAAGTACCTGTAAATTCTTTGTAATCTGCATGATCTCATTATCCCAAATGTTAAATAAAAATATATTTTTATAGGGATTATATTATAGTTTCTAGGACTCCTTGTCATTTTAATAGATATTTTTATTGTAAACTCCAAAATAACTATCGGTTAAAGGCGAAATTATTGTAAGCGCCATAATTGGCATAAATGCCTGCTATTTTTGGTTGATTTCCTATAATATATTTAAATTACTAAAACTTATTGATGAATGTGAAATATTTGAATACTTTATTTTTTTTACATGTTATTGCACATGAAGGCACTATATCATTTAAAATCGAAAATAAATTGAAAAAATTTTCGATTCGGGCAGGACTTGAACCTTCATTCGCAAATGTTATGGTTGAAATTACATTACGCGATAGGTGCATGTATCAATAAGTTGAAAAATATCGACGATGAGGTGTAGGACTCGGTAGCTGAATTGGTAGAGCAACAGCACGGAACGCTGACGATGCCGGTTCAAGTCCTGCCCGAGTCGAAATTTTTTTCAATTTATTTTCGATTTTTTTATGAGAAATATTTTTTTTCCTTCTCCTGTAAAATTTGCTTTTTGTCGGTTACGCTAAAACGGCGGTCAAGGCTCGATATAACTAAAAAAAAATCTCGTTTTAAACCGTTAAAGTGTTTTATTTAAATATGTACTACTCGCGTAAAGGTTTTATTTTGTACCAATAGCATTCTAAGAATTAAATTTTCAAGAAAAATATTTTTATTTAATTAATTATACACTTTCAGACTAACACCACCTTACGCAATAACTTTAGCTCTTGCAGCAACTTGGATGAGGCATGCAGGGTCAGGGCCACTGTGGGAGGTGAAGTTTTTAATTCTCACGATAAATAATTCTTTTTTTTTTAATTGGTATTAATTTAAGCAAGAATCATTGTATTATTTTTATAGTTGAATTTGTTTTCAGGAAATTGTAGGGGAAACCGTCAACGCCTGTAATCTGCACTGGTGGAAGCATTTGCTTTTTATCAACAATTACTTTAGTAATACTCAATGTATGTTGCAAACATGGTAAGTGTATGATAGAACGAAACACAAACAGTTTTAGGCACGCAGTTTCTTATAAAGAGACAAAAATGTTTACACAATGTGCTTATTTACAATTTTTCGCCAGCCTGTTTAAACCGTAAAATATATGAGATGTTTTTACTGCATCTCGACTTTTAATATTTTCAAGCTACCGTAGTCACAGGGAGAAGTATATTGCACGTCTAGTCGCCGTTGAGTGTTTTATTTAAATATATATTCGAAATAAAACATTTAAAACGCGAAATATATTAGTTAAAATTTAAAAACTATTTAAAAAAAACACTTTAACGGTTTAAAGCGCGATATATTAGTTAAACTTATTTAAAAATGATTTTTAACTTCGGCCCGACGTTTCGGATGCTTTGCAGCAGCCGTGGTCACGGGAAGACTAAAGATGGAGGATGTCTCTGACGCCAAAGTAAAAAAATTGCTCCGCTAGCGCCATCTGTTCCGTCGAAGTTGGTATTTGGCGAAACTGGTCGGGTCCTTACAGAATTGACTAACGGTGTCTTCGCGTTTGCCGGTATGCTGTTTATTGGGATCCAGAGTTTTTAATATGGGATCCCAGGTGTTTGATAATTTGAGGCCGTCCTCTCTATTGAAATTTCGGTGTTTTTTGATTTCAATTGCTACCGTGACAAACTACCCGTGACCGCGTGACCACGGCTGCTGCAAAGCAACCGAAACTTATTTTTACTACTATATTTCAAGTTTTTAACAATTAAAGTGTTTTATTCGCATAAACTATACACAGTATTTAAATTTATACTATTGAGTGAACTACAGACAATACACATGTACACATGTTTTTTTTATTTTCAGGCACATCGCAACTGATCTACAGTTACACATTATGGGTTTGCTAGTGTGTATACTGTGTAAGGGTAGAGTCAGAAATATTGCTATTAGCATCTTATATGTAGTGGGGTTCGTTGTACCAGGATTACATACCATTTATCAAGATCTTGATGGAGTCCTTATGATAACTTTGGTGTAAGTGATTTATATCTAATCTATATATAATAAGCCCCCTCAAAAAAACATGTCGCCAACATATTTTTGTCGTGAAAAGTATAGTAATATATTTTGAATTCCAAAGTTCGCCATTTATTGTATATTTTTGGGCTGGTGTATTTTACCTTTGTCAAGTAAACCCTAAGCTTAGCGCACGATTGGAAATCGAAGCCCAGCTCACGAACACGTCACGTGATCATACTACCAATTCATATTTAGAGCTAAACTATTTTGTAGTGAAATAAGTTCAATAAAAAACTTTTAACAGCTTCTGTTACTCTTTCACGCCAAAACTACTGAACGGATTTGAACGAAATTTGGTACACAGATGGTCTAGACCCTCAGAAAGAACATAGGCTTTTTATTGCGAAAAGCGGGTTGTAAGTGGTTAAAAGGGGGGGTTAAAGTTTGTATGGAAATATGTGGTTTTTGAAGCTAGAACAATGAAACTTTCTTCTTTGGCTTTTTGGGAATAGGAGTGGGAATAGGAGCGGGAGTGGGGTAGGCGGTGGTTGTGGGGGATGGGGTGGGAGTGGGAGTGTCAGTTAAAGTATGAGTGAGGTGAGGTGAGAGTGTTGCGGTAAAGTAGCACTTACAACATAGATTGGCTGCGAAAAATGCGCAATTACATACATTAATAAACAGCCTAAATAATTAAAAAATCTACTCTAAGTCACTATTCCACGCGAACGAAGTCGCGGGCACAGCTAGTATACTATAAATACGTATTTTTTGCTACTTTACAGCAACTTAAGTACATTTCTCGTCAAGGATAATACATTTCTCTATGTATACGTACCCGCACATACAAATATTTCAAACTTCATTCTGGGTATAGCTTTAGGACATTTCATCTACCACCTACACTGCAAAAACTTCAGCCTCAACAAATATAAGGTAAGTATACGTTCTACATTAAAGTAATTCATAATATTACTCTGTCGCGACAGCGCGCGCATTGTCGTAATATTTATATCTTTGCTTAGTACATGCATTAACTGAAGACCGCTAACTGCCCAAAGCGTTTCTAACACATTTAAAGTAATATTTACGCAATAAATTAATTTTCACAGCGTAAACACAATAGTAATAATACTGTATGTATTCGAATAGGTACGAATTCACTATTATAATTGCCTACAAATACTACTACTATACCAACATTTCTAATTTTTTTTTTTAGATTTACAAATGTATGATATATACCTCAATTCCGATATTGTTTGCTTTGATACTTCTCGGCTCTGTCAGCTATAGAAACGGTCCCAGATTACCAATTTACGTAAGAGTGGCATTCGCAGTTCTTCTCAAACCTATATTTGGTGTTGTCTTCGCGATACTTATTCTAGGCATCGTGTTTAAGGTAGAAAGTAAGTAAATCTTTTTTATTGACGTTAGTACTGAAAATAGCCTTTTCACTGCCACAATGTAACTGTGTGAGAAAATACTTTATTTAAAATTGTTCAATATATATACGGAATAAACGATAGGGACTGATTTAATTTACATTTTTGGTCGAAGAGACTTATAAATAAATAACTTATGTTTCAAGATTTAAATTTGAAAAATGCTTTTTCTATTAGACATTAAGATTTTTTATATATCTATAAATTCTTACATTCTTGTTAGCTTTATATAATATGTACAAATGTCTCACAACATTTAACATATAATATTTGTTTTAGAAAAGAATATGTTCATCTTTATAATAGATATATATCATGGCTTTGATGATTTAAATATTATATGAGGCTGCTAGCGGCCTCTAGAGGCAGAGTAGCCAAACTGCAATTCTATGATTTGACATACATATTTATATTTTTATTGTCTAAAGCTACTAAAGCACAATGACAGAAAATTGTTACATAATTCATTTTCATAACTTAGTGTTAATTGCGCATTTTTTATTTCCTCCTTATTGAAAATCATGTTTTTTGTTATTAGTTCACTTTGTCTCTTGCAGCGTCACAGAATTATCATGACTTAATGGCATGCTTTAAGGCTTTGATGGCTTCAATATTGTGTCTATTAAAGTATATAATTCCTTTATTTTCCAGAACATTTGAGCGGATTTTTCGAAGCACGTATATGGACGATTATTAATAAAATATCGTACTGTACTTACATCTGTCACATGGCAATTATAAAACTACTTTTGTGTTCTCAACAACTGATTAGATCAGATTTTTTCCAATTGGTAAGACAATTAAATTCGTTGGTTACACTCCACCAAGCTAGTCAAATGTATTTGAAATAAAACACTTTAACGGTTTAAAACGCAACTAATATTAGTTATACTTATTTGAAAATTATTTTTAACTCCGGCCGACGTTTCGGATGCTTTGCAGCAGTCGTGGTCACGGGGAGACTAGAGATGAAGGATGTCTCTGACGTCAAAGTAAAATTTGCTACGTTAGTGTCATCTTTTCCTTCAAAGTTGGTATTTGGCGAAACTACCCCGGGTCCTTACAAAATTGACTCGGCATTTGCCAATGTGCTGTTTCTTGGGATCCAGTTTTTAATATTGGATTCCAGGTGTTTGATAATTTGAGGCCGTCCTCTCTATTAATTGTTTATTTAAACTTCTACAACTCGCGAAAATTAATTTATATTACTTTTTTTAGGTTCATTTTCTATTGGGTACAGTGTGCATGTCACTTTTAGCAGCCACAGTTCTATGGCTATTCGTGGAAGCGCCTGTTTCTGGAATTATAGACAGTATCCGAATAGGAAGCACATGTAAAACGCAGCAAGAGAAACCAAAGACCAGTTAATATAGTGACTTCTCTGCCAACATATAGTAGAATAGTCTATTATTTAAAGCATACTTTCAAGAAAAATAAATTATACCTATTGAAGGCTGTTATTAAATTTATAATCAAAATTCGATTATATTTAGGTATGGATGGATATAATTTTCCATTTTGTGATTTTTATTTTTTCTCTTTAACACACAGACGTTTAAAATGTCTTAAACAATTGTAAGACACAAACCCAGGACCATGAATGCTATGCTGCTATTACTAATGTGTTATACTGTTTATCTAAATTACTAACACTCCATTTAACTTAAATGCAACGCAATTTCCACCGAAATACACCGAAAATGTATTCAGCGTTTTAAACCGTTGTGTTAAGCTTGAATTTGCGCACAAATCAAGGTTTTCATAAAAAAACAATATTCTCAATAATAATAGCTATTTATTCAACTCATGTTTCGTTACTCTTAAAACATCTATTTAGCGTAAAACAATTATACGTTTGTACAATCGTAAAATAAATTCGTCGTCAGTAAACTAATTAAATGCCGAAGTTTTAGTGTAAACCAGAAATGCATTTGGATGAATGTAACAATGACACACTGAATATAGATTATAACTAGTATACAGTAGCGAGATTTTAATGGAACTATTATATTTGAAGTCCACATTTAAGACCAACAACGAAGTTTATAAATGTTTATAGCTAATAACGAATAAAATCTATACCAAGAAAATTTCGTGTAAGACATTGGGAGTATAATATTATCATTGTTAAAGTTACAAAAAAGCTGATATTCGAAAATGTTTGAATGATGAATAGTTATGAAGACTTATCAATTTGGAAGCAATTATCAAATGACTATTATATATTATCTCTGGACAGTCGAATTCTATATGAACTAAAAATCTCAATCTACCTACAAAACTTTATTTTCTAGTTTAATGAAAATTCCAATGGTATAACAGTAGCATCAAAGCCTTTTCACGTTTAATTTACAATATTTTTGTCAAGTCCAAAAATATACGGCAAATGAAAGAAGTACGGGAATCAAAATGCATTAATTTTATGAAGGCATGAGTGTTTATTGTTTATATGATGATGAGCCTAGGGGGTGCAGCGCTCAAGGAAACGGGGGTAAAGGCACACATCGCGGATGTGGTGGCGGGCTAACAGCCAGCATAGGAATCGCTCTAAGCCCAACCCATAGCCACCGTGTGGTACGGAACCAAAACGACGTTGATCCGTGTACCAATAGTAGGGAGATGGGTCGATGCCTTCTCGTTTGTAACCTAAAAAAGAGAAATTAGTATCATTAATATTTTAGTAAGTACTACCTACTAGTAATATATATATATAAAATAATAACATCACTTCAATAGAGTGTAATAACTTCACGTTAAAATAAATTATGAGTATTTGCCAATACATTTTCCGGTTTAAACCGTTATTTAATTATAATTTTCTATTTCCACAACTACTCACCTTCCATCAGCTCCTCAAAGTCCCAAATCCTCATGGAACCGCCTACTATTTCGCCGACGCCCGGCATCAGCACATCCACAGACTCCGTTAGACGCTTGTCATCTTCACACCGCGGCATGTAGAAGGACTTGATCTCAGCTGGAAACTTGCAGAGCAGTATCGGCTCTCCGATTGCGTCCGTCATCTTACGTTCCGGCATTTCGGGAATGTCCTGAAGGATTTAATCAATATATGAATTAAAATAATTTTTTCCGATTATCCAAAGCCCAAATAGGTCGACAGCGCAAACCATGCATGTCTCTTCTCTATTATTAAAAATTACATATAATTTTGATAATAATGCAGTTGAGAGGATATGACATAAATATTAAAATCTGTAACAAGAGCGAGCAGTTAGCAATTTTTTTACACCTAACCAGCATGTAATCATTGTAAGTTCGAATTTGGTATTATTATTTATTTAATACAAGCTCTATATTGACTGATGTAAACATTTAGGTATATAAATGTAAAACTATGTCCTAAAGCGATCAAATCATATGGTACTTACATCTCCAAACTCGTAGAATGATCCATCATCCTTAGTGATGTTGTTTTCTTTGAGGTATTCAAGAGCATCGGTATATGCCATTCTCTTGAAAGGCCTTGTTGGTTTCTTAAAAGGGAAACATTAATTTTATTTTACAAGTTCGATAAGTTGTGGAGAACAAGATTATAAAAAGCCAAACTTTAAGTATGACTTTAGTAACGTTACATATGCCGTTATATAAAAACAAATATTTCAACATGGTTACTTCCAAGATGTCAGAAGAAGCTCTTGTTTAGTAGAAACAACAACCATCCTTTTTAGGTCGCACCTACCTTAAAATCTGGGTTGAGTTCATACACCAGCTGACCCTCGGGGGAGGCCAAGACTCTATCTACAACATCCACCACCAGATCTTCAATCCTGTCTAACAGCTGTTCAAATGTAATAAAGGAGAACTCTGCTTCTACGTGGCTATACCTGTAAAATGATAATATAAGTACAATCTGTGGATAGAACATATTGAATTACAGACAAGTAGACTTCTATATGTAAATAAAAAAGATTATTCCTATCCCTAAACTACCTCAAAGCTAGGATATCTCATGTTATAAAATAACTCTTTCTAGTCTACATACTCGGCAAGATGTCTTCTAGTCCGCGATTGTTCTGCTCTGTATGACTGCGCTATGCAGTATACATCTCCCAAGGTCGCCAAACACGTTTCAAGATAAAGCTGAGAGCTCTGCGTCAAGTATGCTTGTTCTCTGAAAATGGACATACATTTTTTAAATAAACATGACATCTTAACATGAAACAAACACAACGATAAATGTTATTGGTCAAACATATGGTAAATTTGAGGTAAATTGAGGACATTGAACATTTATCACAGAATAACAAAAAGATTTGCGTGAAAAGGGCGAGGGAAAAGAGGGCAGTGTGTTATATATTGACTGTCGCTGACTAGCCGTGTCAGCGACTTCGTCGGCGTTAAACATATATTTTAGGCATTTAAATTTGTTTTTGCAAACCTCCTCTTCACATTTTTCCCATAAAAACATAAATAAATATGGTCTGGTGTAAGAGCTAACATACCCAAAGTAACTAAACTTGAAGAGAGTACTACCGCCCTCACATTGTGTCTGGACGAGAGTGGGTGGTGTCACCTCAGTGTAGCCGCGGGCATGGAAATGCTCTCGGAACGCGCGAGTCACCGCGGCTCTAGCACGAAGTACTTTCGAGGTGTTTTCGCCTCGGATCATAATATGCCTGGAAAATTTTTATAACCCATAACTCAATAGTTACAAATGGTGCCTAGCATTGCGTTCAGCACCCAGATTCACTGGTTCAAATTCCAGGGAAGAAATAAATTATTTCGGTCCGTCAGGGCACAGAAGTCTGGACAACTTGCTTGTAAATAAACATTTCTTAATAAAATTGAGAAGAATTGGGACATAGACATTTGTTATAATTTTTAAAATAACACAACACAATTAAGCTTATTTTAATAGAAAATATATAAGTAAAAGAGTTCAAGATCTTTAACAACTGTGTAAATATTCACATATGATAAAAAAAATTGTCTTACATTTTCTTGGTTGAAAACAAAACTTATTTTATTCAATACCAGACAATGGAATGTTGTCCTATCATTTGCTTACATAGTGTAGCATAAGTAGAATGATACATTTTCTTGTTAAGTGCTAGCATAGTACATAAGCAAAGTAAGGTACTATAACACTTTCATATAATATAGTAGGTTCATAAATACTAAATATTATATTTTAAAAAATACTGTCAATTGTCACTTAAACTATGCATCAAATTAAAAATATTTGAAATGTGATGTTACGATACCTGTTATCTAATTGAACATCAGGATGGGCCTCCTCATTTAGTATAGCATCAGCTCCTCCGGGTGGTGCTAAACCAACCAAGTCCCAGTAGTCAACCATTAACTCATGACCCCCTGGTGCCTATACATTGAAAACCATCTTTTGAAATTAACTTATAGGCAGAACTACCAACCAAATACTGAAGTTATCATTCAAATTACAGACATTCTAAAAAATTGTAAATCTTACAGATTTTCCCTCAGGAACTACTTCGAGGCTTCCATACACTGTAACAGATGACTCCGTAGATAGAACCAGGGCATCATAAGTCTGACAAAGAAGGTTATGGAGCACACATTGTAGGTAGCCAGTGCCATCCCTTAATGTAAGAAAAGCAAGAGATTTTCCTTGTCGCCTTAGTCTATGAACCCAACCTGATACCTTAACTCTTTTCCCTCTGTGGTCTTGTGCTGAAAATAAATCTTACATGTATTAAAAGCTATGGAATAAATATACTTGTAAAATGTGTTGTAAATGTTAATTACCTAATGTTAATGACTTATGCCTAGAGTTTAAATGATGACTAAGGAAAGTACATTGATAAATATCTAAGTTAATATATATGATACAATAGACTGAACTATTTCATCACATAAGCTAAGTGATGTACTATACTATGAGTATGTACTATGTATGGTGTCTACTTATACAGCTTTAAACATTGATTTCTACAATTTTTGGAGATTTAATTTTAAATTCCTCTTACTTTGATATATTTTGACTGAGACTGCTTCAGGGAGGTTAGGATCTTGTTTTATAACTATTTTCTTTGCTTCCTCTAAGTTCTGTTGTCGTTTCTCATTGCCTTCTTCTTCAGCCTTTGCTTTATCAGCCGCTTTATAGTTCTCTCTGACCCAAATTTTTTGGATTTTTTTCAATTGAGACTTAGCCGCAACGTCATATTTTTTACTTTCTTCCTTGGAGTCGACGTAAATGGTAGGGAAAGGCTCTTTCCCGGCACAGCGCATAGCCTGCAAGATGGTTTTGAATGGTTTATCTTCTGAACCATTTCCAGTTTCATCATTTCCATTTTTCTCCGATGTGTATATCGCATCTGGAACAGCAATATGTTTATTTGCCGCAGTCGGTATTAACTATTGATTAAAGGTTATGCAAAAATAAATACGTACCTAGTGACAATTTATCTAAATCTGGCATCTTGTAGGGCTTATTACAGTATGTAACAGTGTCTAATGTTTTCAAGAAATATCCTCATTCGAAGATAAATTTTAAATTTCAATACATGTGCATACGTCAAAAGAAGACTTGGAAATTGATGTATGTATATGATAATGATATATATTATAGTTTGAAAAGTCGAAAGATTTTGTCATTACGTGGAAACGTCAACGAGTGACATCGATATGTTTATATATCCATCGTTGTTGTCAAGGCTGTGGTAAGAAGTCAAAACTCCCTAATTATTTGAAAAATATAAAACCATTTAACAAAACCTTTACGATTGATTTGAGTGACGGACAAATTTAATAATTATCGATGTAACTTTGAACTTTTATACTTTATAATGAGAAAAATGTTATCTTTCGAATTTTATTTTTCAAAACTTCTGTGATGATTAAAATTAACCATCTGGCAACAATCGTATTCTCTTTAGTCAACCGTCAACACATGTCTTATTTAAAAACAAAATACGTTACATATAAATCATTGCATCTGTCCGCCATTTGAGGATCTCGATTTAATATAACTTATGTTATTAACTTGAAACTTCTTTTATAAGTAAGTATTGTGTGCATTTTTCTCTTTATTTAAGTAATAAGTACAACTAAATGACTACTTCAACTTTGTAACTATGTACTTTATATTAATAAGTTTTACTTAAAAAGCTGTGTTCTTTCAGGCCATTACCTTCTTCTAGTGAATTTGGCAATAATAAAACTATCACCATTCCGCACTATAATATGGACGACTTTTTGAAGATAGAGAAAATCGGAGAAGGCACTTATGGTGTAGTTTACAAAGGGAAAAATAAAATCACTGGTGAATATGTTGCTATGAAAAAGATAAGACTAGAGGCCGAAGATGATGGTATCCCGTCTACCGCTATAAGGTACAAGAAGAATATTGTAAAACACAACAAGGTTCACTAAAAATACTTTTGGTTTTGTTAGGTTATTAAGATCACAATAGCTATAGAACTCAGAAAGGCTTACCATGTGTTTATACAGTAATAATAAACAACACAAAGCCTGGTGTTTTTTTCATGTTGCTGGTTCATAAAAAATATATATATTGTTTTCTTCATAATTTCACATGGGCAAAATGTCAGAATATTGTGCAAAGTTGTCTTAACTTAGGTATGTTGGCACTTCATAGATGTTATATTTATTTTTCACAGAGAAATCTCATTACTTAAAGAACTGAATCATGCAAATATTGTCAAGTTAGAGGATGTTCTTATGGAGGAGAACAAACTTTACTTGATCTTTGAATTCCTATCAATGGATTTAAAGAAGTATATGGACTCCTTAGGTTCGGGAAAGGTAAATATATATATTCTATAAATTAGAAGATATTTATATCTCTCTCTAATAGCCGCACCTCACTCTCCACGAGGCGACACTAGAGAACGCGAGTGCTAGAGTGTGGACGGTGCGCTCGTGTCCCCTCGCCTCGCCTCTCTAGCGCTCCGCTTTCTGTTGGTATTTCGAGCGCGAGTCAAAGGACGCGAGGGAGTCAACCACACTCTCCCGCTCGCTTACTTATTTGTTGACTGCTGCTGTCCATCTTGCACTAAACGTAGTGACTAACTAAATAAAATAGAGAGTGTGGATGACTAGCACTTGTGCAGTCTGCGCTCGCCTAGGAGGCACCTCTTGAGAGTCTGGAGCTGCCATAAGGGTAGACACATTTTTTATACAATCCTTATGAATAATTAATGTAATTTTTCAGTTTATGGAACCCATGACTGTTAAAAGCTATCTCTACCAGATAAACAGTGCTATATTATACTGCCACCAGCGTAGAATACTCCACAGAGATCTCAAACCACAGAACTTACTTATTGACAAAACTGGTATTATTAAGGTTTGTAAATTATATACTCCTGTGTGTTGTTTGTATTTCTCATTTTAATATGGACCAATATTTAATTTCCTCTGTTTTACTATTTATATGAATTTACAGGTTGCTGACTTTGGGCTAGGTCGTGCTTATGGTGTGCCTGTTCGGGTTTACACACATGAAGTTGTCACACTCTGGTATAGGGCCCCAGAAGTATTGCTTGGCTCACAGAGGTGATGTACTTTTGAGTTATACTACTGTTATGTATGTAGGTTCTATTTTAACAGCAGACTAGAATTATCAGGTCTTAGATAAAATTTTCTTTTTAAATCGCCTTTTTTCTTTTCCAATTCTTTTGAAGTTTTATTGTATTACTTAGTAGTTAGGTTTTGTAAGTCATGTTTTAATATTTATACTATAATATTTTTACCATGTTACAGGTATTCATGCCCAATTGATATGTGGGCACTTGGTTGCATTTTCTCAGAGATGTCTTCAAGGAAACCACTCTTCCAGGGTGATTCGGAAATTGATCAGCTGTTCAGGATTTTCAGGTGCTTATTAGAATTTCAGTAGATAGAAGATTAGGACAAATAAAGATGACTAAGAAATTCAAACTCACCCCATTTTTATCTATTATTTTTTGTAAATATTGTTTTATATATAGCGTATTCTTAACAGGATGCTACGCACTCCAACTGAAGATATTTGGCCTGGAGTATCTTCTTTACCAGACTACAAGCCAACATTCCCCAATTGGACTACCTTAAACCTTCACAACCATGTAAGTAGTTTAGTAGCATATCTTTTTGAATGCATGTGAATTATTTTGTAGGGTTTAACTGGGCAATAGATAATATTGTAAACATTTTCGAAGCGCGATCTCCAATGAAGTGTCTGTCTATATATTAGTTTAAATTGTATGTAAAACAAAAATTCCTTGGAGGAGCCCGCTCTAATAAGAAAATATACATGCACTTAAAATGAAACTTGGCGATAAAAGGAGTGGCGGCGAGTTTCATTGCCAGTTCTTCTTGTTCGTTCTATGTCCTTGATTTGAGAACAGAAAGTAAATGTACATTTACCTCTGTACCTACGTGAATAAATTATTTTTGACTTCGATCACATTCATGTATGTTTATCATGGTAATCTTCATTCCAGGTACAAAATCTTGATGAAGTTGGCATGGATCTACTACAAAAGATGCTAACGTACGACCCGGCGCGCCGCATCATCGCAAAGGATGCGCGGCGTCATCGATACTTCCGTGATGTCCAATTGCCTCCAGAACTAACCCGCACCAATGCATATATAAGTGACATACAAACTAATGGACACTAGAATGAGGTGCCCTACGAGACATTTTATGACTTTCCAAGAGAGAATGTAACACGAAAATGCAATAATAGATATTCTTTATCATGGGCGATCCAAAAAATTCCGCACACGTTTTTTATTCATTTTTAGACTGATGATGGATGGTAGTCCATCCTTGTTACATTTGTGTGACTTACCCGTTCCAGCGGACATATATTTTGCAATTTCATAGATAGAAATGATAATATCCATAAGTTTTAGTTTATTTAAAAACGTCACGAAATTAGCGCCCCTGTTCCATATACACTGCCTCCCCCCCCCCCCTTTTGTGCTTTAACGAGTGACAATATTGATTACTGTCAACCAATTAATGTATGGTATAATTGGTTGACAGTTATCAAGACTCAAGTCTGGCTTTGCATTTTCAGTTTACATTTCAACAAATTGGGTATGCCATGTATAGAAACATTAGTACAAGTATTTTGTTAAATTTAAGACTCGGGCTTTTAAGTACTGTGTCAATTTCGGCAGATATTCATGCAGACAGATTCAACTTTTGTGTGTCTTTCAGAAATAGTTGATTATTTTTGAAAGACACACAAAAGTTGAATCCATATACATATGTATTTAGATTGTGACCCATAATTGTTATATTAAGGAATTATAAACACACAATTTTTACGAATTATTGTCAATTTATATATAAATTATTTTTACGTATATCTTATGTATTTCACTTAATCAGCCTTAACTAATATCAGTCTCAACATTTCCTCAACTAAGTCGAGTATTTATGTATATGGCCAAACACGTCAATTAACAAACCATATAAATATTTATGCACGAAATAATTGTATGAATGACATGTGTAATCTGGAGTGAATAAAACACAATACAATAAAAAAAAGGTATATTCTTTTATATCTAGTGACGTATCTTGTAAACCTAGTGATGTATAGTGTATACTGCTGGATGGGTTGGCGGTTGCTGAAGAATGATGCGATGAGCCACACCACTCAACTCCTGCGCAGATAACCCGGACACTACTGTACCATTTTGCAGCTGAAACAAATTTTGTAAAGTCAACAGTCTAATAATTAAACAGAAATAGAATTATTTTTAAGTAAGTAGTTATAGTCTGGATCGATTAATTTATCTTTGGGGTAGTTATTATAACATTATACTGTGATAAAACTAAACTCTCTTCGTTGTTGGGGTAGTCCCAGACCTCATACAGAGAATTGTAGGAGCATTAAGAATGTTTCCTGAAAAATATACCTGCAATATATTCGGTAACATTGTCTGGCACGACGATGTTGCCACATGTAATTGTTCCTGCTGCACTTGTTGTACACCCACAGCCTAAAACAAAACAATAAAATGTAGGATTTTTTTATGGGTATAGCTAACCATAACATTAAAATTGCAGATTTTGAATTATATTGATAGAATACTCACATGTATTTGTATCGGCTGTTGATGGGGTTGTATTTGTATTGTTTGTACTTGCAGTTGTTGGGGTTGCTAGAATAAAATACCACCATATTACGATATGTTTACCATAATTTAATTGTGCATTGCGTTAAGCGCGAGAGGTCCTAAGTTTGTATTTCGATTAAACATAACAGTTCTGTCTACACAGAGCCTAGTCATCATCTGATGTAAATATTTAAAGTGAGGTATATAAATGTACCGGAACAAGATTTTACAACCACAAACTTAGCTACGATTATTTTTGTTCGTAGTCTCGTGAGATTATATCTATCTACTAAGTTTACCTTAGGTTAGATTATAAGCAATTAATACAATAGGAATGTAATCTTTACCGTATTTATTTGTTGATGTGTTTGTTGCAACTGTAGCGACTGTACTGACGATATCACAGGATATGGCTGTTGTACGCTCTGCAAACATTTTTTTATTAAACACTTGTTGCTGCAAAGCATCCGAAACGTGGGGCCGAAACCGTTAGTTTTTTATTTAATTATGTACTACTCGCGTAAACTATAGACAGTATTACATTACAACCATTTCTAAAATGTTGGTGACTAAGAAACGTCGATTGCTTTCACTCCAGGTATATGTTAGTTTAATATGAAGATTTTTCAGGAGTTTTGATAATAAGTAATATTGTACATTTCTATCGAGAGCACTTGTACAAAATCAACTTTACAAGAGATTTTGACCGTTAACCTCACAAAAACTTTTAAACTATTTTATTTAAAATTAAACACTTGAACGATAATAATAATAAAATGTAATTATACTCCGGACAATAAACTTTCTCACTCCTTTTAAAACTGAGACAAAATGTTATATTTAATAGATCGTAAAATCTACCTGCACATGCTGATGTATGGGGACGGCTAACTGCTGCACAACCTGTTGTGGCTGAACCTGCAGCAACTGTTGTATTTGCTGAGGCTGTTGCTGTTGTTGTTGCTGCTGTTGTTGTTGTTGCTGCTGCTGTTGCTGTTGTTCTTGGAGTTGTTGTTGTTGTTGCTAAAGAAGGTAATGTTTAAAATAAGTGCAGTGTGGCCAAACTTTCTATTGGCCTAAACCAGAAATATATGTAAGAATAATAATGTTTCTGTTTGTTAACAACAAGATAGTTCAAGCCATGAGTTCAAGTAGTAGACCCTAAATTGTACACAGTTGTTTATGAAACATTAAAATAACCGATGGTTTAGTTTTGAGTACAATTCGGAAAAGTGTTATGTCTATGATTTTAGGCAGGAGCAAAATAAAAAGAATACTACAAAGACTTCCTTACCAACCTTCATGTTAGTGAAAAAAAAACCACTTACCCTAAAAGCATACAACTTCTCAGAGCCATCTGGGTTAAACACACACATTTGCACATGGCTGAGTAAGTGTCTCTTCAAGCTGTGCAGATACATATAGCTCTTGACGCAGAGACCACACTTGTAGCGTTTTTGACCACCCTCCGTTTGTATAACGACTTGCATTTCCTATAAACATTAATTAGAATTATTAGAATTGGAGACACGTAGGTTGAGTTTTTTACTTTTAGAGGGGGGGTGGGGGGTGTAGTAGTACACAAAATTACAATCATTTGTGCGTCCTGAGCGTCTATCACTTAAAATATTTAAGCTGTCATGTGGATATAAATATTTCGACTAATATTAAAACAATAAAGGAGTTCATTTGGTTTTCTATAAATTTCAAAGTAGCTGCAAATAGTAATAGAAAACGTAATTTTAATACTATCATGTCGGTAATTTTATAGATTTGCAAGTGAGCCGTGTAAAAAGATTTAAAATAAAGCAAAAACATATTTTAAAGACGGAGATAGTATATATAGAGATACTATACTATGTCTAACCTGTGGGCTCTGACTAGTTATTTCCATCTCCTCACTTTCCTCAGGTTCATCTTTCTTCTCCTCCTTGTCTGCTTTAGCGCTATCCGTTGAACTGTCTCGTGAATTACTTTCCTCTTGTTTATTGTCTTGACTTTTATTAAGCTTCTTTGTTCCTCCGGCTTCTATAAAGTATATATTGTAGATGTTAAAAAATATATATTATAACAAGATGTGTCAGCAACTTCGTCTGCGTAGAATAGTTATTTTAGGCATATCAATTGGTTCTCTTCATCTTTGTAAATTTAAGCTGTCATCCACGATACATGTCGTGGACACTTATTTAGATCATATAAAGAAGATTTTTTGGGTATCTTAAATTGTTTTCGCAGCGTACTCAACGGAAACCCACCAATAATAATTTTTCCCGCATTTTTCACAATTCCCGCTGTTTTTTCGCCCCTATTAGGCGATTTTTTATAGCCTAAAGCCTTCCTCGATAAATGCTCTAAACAATGTCTAAACAACACAAATCCTAACAATAAGATTTTTTCAATTCGAACAAACAAACAATCTCTTAAGCTTTATATATAAGTATAGATAGAATCAATCATTAAAGATACAGCGTCCGTCGCAGGTTCGTGGCCCGCCTACGTCACGGGCTTATACAAATCATAAATATTCAAATACTTTTTCTAACCTTGATGTTTTGTCGCGTGTAAACGTAATTCCGTCCTCGATTTGCAGCTCTTCAGACAAACCGGACACACAAATCTTTAAATAAGAAATACAACTATTAGTAAAGAAAATATTACCACCATTTTATGAGTGAAACATACTAAGTTAAGTTCTTTTTTTACCCCCTTTTCTATCGTAGCTTTTGACTTACATTAAACGTGACGTCTAACGCATTAGTTATGTTATTGTGTTTAATTAAATTAAGAACCCAAAACAAACTTGGTTCATGACAGACTTCTTACCAAACATTGAATATCCAGATTTCCAGAGGAAGTCCAACATATTTTGGAGAAAATATAAATTGATTAGGAACATGTTGGACCCATTGGGAATCGAACCCGTTGATTATTAGCTACATATTCATAGCTTCCATTTTACCAACGGGCCCGTCAATTAAAATAAATTATAAACAGCGATAATGACCCAGAAATGATTTTACCTCTCGTTTCATATCCCAACTGTGAATTTCCGATTGTACAAAGCCAAAAAAAAAGGTTTAAGGCCTTTTTTTGGTCGTCCTTTGGTCGTCGCCTTGTATTAGAACGCGTCTTGTAAAGGCTGGCTTGAATATTTAATCGTACATCAAGAGAACTCGCTCGTCTGTACTCTGTCAAAAATTTGCCACTTACTTTTTCAATCCGGTGTGCGTCAGTAAGTGATTATTTCTGGATGACGACGTCGTGAATTTGGCTGAACATAGCTTGCAACTGTAAGGCTTTTCACCCGTGTGTGTTCTGCGATGGTATATCAGTGCTGATTGTTGGGCAAACCTCCGCTCGCAGTATTGGCATTCGAAAGGCCTCTCTCCTATTAAAAAAAAAGTAGAAATTAAATCATCATTGATTGTATATTGCTGTGGTATTTCACCTTACAAGCGAACCCCATGCTTATCTGTCTTTGCAGAATTTAAAAAGAATGGTTGATAACATCTACCTGCGATGTCAGGCAAATAAGAAACAAACCTATATACAAGAACGTAGTTATTTTAAATACTGTCTATAGTTTACGCGAGTAGTACACATTTAAATAAAACACTTTAACGGTTTAAAACCATATTTTTAAACTTATTTGAAATGATTTTTAACTTCGGCCCGACGTTTCGGGTTTTTTTTCCCCGGGCCCCCGGGGGGCGCAAACCACCCGAAAAGGGGGGGGGGAGTAAAAAAATTTTTTTTTTTTTTTTTTTTTTTTTTTTTTTTTTTTTTAACTGAGGGGGGTTTTTTTTTTTTTTTTTTTTTTTTTTTTTTTTTTTTCGTTAAAGTATTTTATTTAAATGTAGTTATTTTAATTATTGTCCACGAACCTATCTTTTCCCTAGTATTGGAACCCAGGATCTTTCGCCCCTCAACAAGTGCACTTAACGGATGAACCACGAAAAAAAAAATTTAAAGACAACGAAGAATACCTACAAATAACAGCTTATATCTACAGTACTAATTGTATTGGAACTAGCACACATTGGAACTAGTTAAACGTGATGATGATGTTTTTGTATAAAAATTAGTTACATGTATAAGGAAAAGCTGAAGACCTGGTACAGAATTAGTCAAATGAAAAACTAGATAGACGTAAAAAAATCTGTTTTCTGAATAAATACTTTTTTTTTCCCTATGTCTAAAGATTATTTACCCGTATGTATGCGCATGTGAGCATTCAGTTTCGACACTTCGTAGAAGGCTTTGTTGCATATGTTGCACACGTGGTTTCGGATTCCGCGATGTTTTTTCATGTGCTGGCACAGAGTGGAGTGACGTCGGAACGCCTTGTTGCACTCGGAGCATTTCAGTGGCTTTTCCCCGGTGTGTAATCGGAAATGAACCTGTTTTGTGAAAGAAAAAAAAATTATATAACAATTTGTATTTTAATTATTAGTGGAATATGTTTGTAATATTAAAAACAAGCCTTAAAAAGAATTAAATTAAAGCCTTGTTTGGGAGTAATCAAATGGACTCCCAAACAAGGCTTTAATTTATTAGTCACTAGGAGACACCATGTTGTTTCAAGGAGGTTCAAAGGGACTACCTTGCTTTGATTGATATTAAAATAATTTACATGTAACTTCTGTAAATAGTGGGACATGCAAAATGTTATGTACCTAATGCAACCTGTTTGTAAAAAGCTACCTTGTTTTCAAACGTACGTCAAAAACACGCATCATAATTGACAGAAAAAATAAACCACACAAAACCTCTGCATTATAAAAAATGGGCTTCGACTACTACGGAATCCTTGGTGTAAAACGATCATGCACCCAGCTGGAAATAAAGAAGGCGTATCGAAGACTCGCTCTCAAATACAATCCCGAGAGATACGACAATGATGAAAACATGCGGAGAATTTTTGCCCTAATCGGCGAAGCTTACGAGGTTTTGGTCGATCACAAGCATAGAGCGGTTTACGATCAATACGGGGAGGAAGGCCTTAAAAGGGGGGTACCAGGACCACAAGAGTATATCCAACCTTACTCCTACCACGGAGAACCGATTAGAACTTTCGAGGAATTCTTTGGCACCACGAATCCTTATGCTGACCTCCTAGACTATTATGAAGACCCGCCACCAATGTTCGACTCCCCACTCGGGAAAGGATACAAAGAAAAGGACCCCACTATCATTAGGCCTCTCGCTCTTTCCCTGGAAGAAGTATTCAAAGGCGGCCTCAAGAAAATGAAGATACAACGTCTCGTGTTCACGGATGAAACGTGTTCTGAATTGAAGCTTCGTGAAAAGGTTCTATCGATTCCAATAAAACCAGGAATTTATCCAAACACAGAAGTACGTTTTAAGGAAGAAGGCGATCAAGGACCGACGAGAATACCAGCTGATGTTATATTCATAACTGAAGACAGACCACACGAAACCTTCGTGAGGTCAGGTTTAAGTGACCTTCTCATGATAAGAAAAATAACGCTGCAAGAAGCGTTATGCGGCTTTATGGTCAACATAAAAACTTTGGACGACCGCATCCTGCACATAAAAATGTCGGACGTGATAACTCCTACTTACGAGAAAGTTATCGAAGACGAAGGTTTACCGATACCGGTTTGTCCAAACAAGGCTAAAGGAAACCTGATTATACGTTTTCAAGTCGAATTCCCAGAGTACTTGTCGAAGCGAAGCAAGAAGGCGTTCGAAGATGCTTTCAGGGTTAAAGATGAGGAGGACGTGAAGTTTGCTAAATTAAAATGCGGTACATTGTCGACTACTTCCATTTATAATATGTGAAATTCGTAATTGTAATTTATAGTGATATATAAAATATTATATTTACTATGAAAACCCAAAAGGATTCTTTAGTCAACCTCATTAGCCTGTTTTCTCTATATTAATCTTCGTGTTCAGACTTAGGATGTTTTGACAATTTTTTTAAGTAACTTAATAACTTAGGGTACATAAAGAGAGCAATTATAATATGAGTTAGCTAGAAGCAGAACCTAATAACAAAAAACATGATTTTCAATGAAAGGAAAACAAAAATGCTTACGCGAAAATAAATTTACACGATCATTTGTGTAGGAATTATGTTAACAATTTTCGGTCATTGTGCTCTTGTATGATTCAACATTTTTAGACTATGAAAATATAAATAAGCCAAGTCATAAAATTGCAGTTAGGCTACTCTGCACTCTAGCCTCTCAAAAGTTATACACTTGACTCACCTTCAGATCTGTAGGGTTATAGAAGGTCTTTGAGCAAACAGCACAAATAAAAGGTCGTTCGCCCCTGTGCCGCGCCATATGCGATCTTAAGGCATAACCGCTGAAGAAGCGTTTCTCACAAACGGTGCACTGGTGGCTCTTCTGTTCGAAGTGCGTCTGTCTGTGCCGGTACAGGAGTGTCTTCGTTTGAAAGGTCCGCTGACAGACGGAGCAAGTTGGTGGCTTGGGTGGACGTTGTTCGTGAGTCCTCATGTGCATCTTTAACATTCCTGGGCCCTGTGGAATTAATAGCATAACTATAAGAAAGGAAACAAAATACTGCCTGTAGTAAGGCGAGTAGTAAACATTTAAATAAAACACATTAACGGTTTAAAACGCGAACTTAATTTTGTTTGTCATTAAAAAACATGATCACTTAATATTTACATATGTCGATGCCAACTACTTCTAAAACCAGCTGAGTTGAGCAAAACAGACTGAGTGCTTAAAAAAACACTTTAACTGTTTAAAACGGAAAATACTACTTTACTTACTTTTAAATTAATTCAACTGCAGCCCAAAACTATTCATCTGCAAAGCATTCATATCGTTGAATGCTTTGCAGGTGAATAGTTTGCGTTTTAAACGGTCAATAGTATTTTATTCCCATGTGTATTCGTGTAAACTGCAGGCAATACTTAGTCTGAATGTTGTTGTTCAATTGGGCGACCAAGATCAGTGCTACATAAGGGCAACGACGCGAAAGGTTAAGCGAGCATTCACACGACTTAGTAGCATATTTTAGGCTTTTGCTTAAGTCCCGTTCGCATCGTCGGTCGCCGTTAGGTGTAGGTATTAACGCAGATTAGTATACATTTCTTTTAGCGCGACTTTCAGACGCCAGGGCGATAGTCTTAAGAATTATTACCTTAAAAGTCCTATCGCAAATGTGACAAGTGGGTGGCTTTTTGCAATTCGCCTTAATCCAGTTGGTATGCGAGTTAAGATGTTGCTTCAGCCAGCGAGCGTGTTTGAACTCCTTATGGCAAAGATTGCAGATGTGCCGACCAGCAGAAGTGGTGGTAGATTGGAAGACAACCATCTGGAGATAATTCTCTTCCTCGGAATTGAGACCTTCGTCTTCTTTTGGCTTCGCAGGAGGCTTGGGAGGAGTCTGTTGTAACTGGATAGAATAATTTACTGGTTAATTCGGTAAATGGCAAAATAATATAATTTTTTTAATTGGATTACTTTTTATATACCTGTATTTCTTTCCTACTACTATAGTGTACAAATATTTTATTTTATGTGTGTGTGTGGATTTAATGATTTAGATTAAATGAAATAAAATATTTTTTTTACATATTTATTTGACGGGGAATAATATTAGACGCAATAGTTTTAGTCCCTTTATCAAGTTAGATTAACATACATATCTACTTAACTTAGACGTGTGCGCAATATTTTTTTTCTTAATGGCTCGTTAGTATAATTAAGTATACCAAAGGCTAATAAATCAAAGGGTCAATCCCCACCGGGTTTCCAATCAATTTATAATTTTTCTGAAACATGTTGGACCTTGCCTTCTAGGCATCTATCTGGATATGAAATGGATGGTGAGAATATCATAATTCCGTGATTGAAAAGCCGTGAAGTTTAGTAGCTTTTCGGTTTGAATCTGTGGATTTCCGAATGGCAAAGCTAAAATAGTTAACAGCGCGTCTTGTTTAGGTTTTATATGGCTTAATACCCCAGCCATATAATCTACCATCAGGTGAGCCTTGTCTGTCCTCCTCTATTATTAAAAAAGGTACCTATATATGTCAAAATGATACCTTATCTATGTCAAAGTCTTCTTTTTGTAATATCTCCTGTGTCACAGAGACCGCAGTCGCTTCGGGCGTGTCGGTAAAGAAGCCTTCTAGTAGCGGTGTGGGATTTATACTCGATACATCGATAAATTGAATGTACGGAGCCGTATCCGAACAGGAAATCGATAAGGACTTTTGCGCCTGAAACAAACATATTGATTAAGTATATCTAACTACTAGCTGTAGCCACGACTTCAGCCGCGTAGAATAGTTGTGTTGGACATCCAAATTTGTAGCAAACTCTTCACCTTTATAAAAAAAAATTTAAAAATTGTTGCCGCGGACATTTTTTTATCATACATATTTTTTAGGTGTCTTGAAATATTTTCGCAGCGGAGACCCATAAAAATTAATCAATTTGTGATGTTTTAAAGCCTTTATCGGGAAATAAATGCTAATAAATAAAAAATACAATTGTAAATACCTACATAAAATTATTATAAAGCTGAAGAGTATGTTTTGAACACGCAAATTTCGGTCATAACTGTTTCGAATTGCAAAATTCTCTTTGTTGGATAGACGATGTTCTCGAATAATCGGTGAATGTATCGAGAAGAGAAATATAACATCACGTTGAGACTAAAAGGTGTGAAGAAGCAGAGTGAAACGTGAAAAAAAACGGGGAAAACTAGAGGAAAATTAAACTTTTTGTTGACTTCCTTCGCGTGCGCTGCGAAAACGGTTAAAGAAACCAAAAAATATGTTTCCTTTAAATTCCTAAAAAAATATACCTTAATTTTTAAAATTCCGTTTACGAAAAATTTTAATAATAAATAACCTTACTATTGTGTGACTGTATGTATGTATCTTTTCAAAATGTAAAATAGAAATAAATATTATTTTTTAATAATATTTTATTTTTTATTTCTTCTGGAAACTCTTTCTTAAACCAAGGAGGGTTTAAGAAAGGGTTGCCAGGTTGAGGAGGAACCTTTAACCGGCCGTGAGAATTCATTGTAATCTTACCTGATTCTTTTGGAGCTGTTCGTCGAGCGACCTCTTATAGTCTCGTAAAATAACATCGTTTCTTTCAATCAACTCCTTAAAGGTATGGCACCTCGATATCTGATGAACACATTGAAGGCACAGTTGGTTCGGCAGTCCATCTCCGATGGCAACCTGGAAATAAAACCGCAAGTTGGAAACAAATAATACAATATCATCTTTTACCAATAGGATTGCTTTTTGCTACGAAGATACAATTAAAATAAAATTTTAGACATAGATGTCACTTCTTGTGACCGTCTCTGTACCCAACTGGATAATCGTGTTGCCTAGAATTACATATACGCGAGTTCGAATATCGGGGAAACAATAGCTTGTTTCGCTCAGGGCACAGAAGTCTGATCGACTACTGGCGTGTAAAAAAACCAATTACGGCGTTTTGTTATTTCATCACTTTTTTATTTAGAAGTCTAGGTAGTTTCTTGTGCGTTGGTTAGTAATGATTAATTAAAAATATATTAATGATTTAATAATGACTTTATTATTAAAAGATATTACACATATATTTTTTATTTCACGTAATTTAACTGAAAAGTTTCTAATTAAAATATACCTAGATAAAATTTTATCGATCCCGGTAAGAAAATTCGTGTCAATTTTAGTATTAAATAGTTAAGAATATGTTATTATAAAACCTAGAAAATATTAAATTACTTTTATAATTATTTTGAACATATTTAAATAAAACACTTTAACGGTTTAAAACGCGATATATTAGTTAAACTGATTTGAACTAATATATCGCGTTTTAAACCGTTAAAGTGTTTTATTTAAATGTGTACTGCTCGCGTAAACTATAGACAGTATTTTATTTTGAACATTTTACGCCCCATAATATTTTGTAAGCACTAAAAGTTACCCCAAGTCCGGAAACAGAATAATGTAAAAAAAACTCGACCTATAAGTATCTCACTCTCGCCTTATGCGTTTCCCTTAGCAAGAAAAGGATAGAAGCATATTTCACAACCGAATTACTAGGACACTGCACAAAAGAGTGAATGACGCTTTCATATGATTTCTAAACAAAGATGACTCGAGAAGTGCGAACGCACAAGATACACTAACGCGTTAGTGCGAATGAAACAACAACAACCCAAAATGCCTATCAATTCATGATCTCACCTGCACTTTTGAAATACCCATCAACATTGTTGCAGTCAGCTGTTCGAACAGAGGTCTCATATCCTTCTTCACTTGCAAACACGCGCGGCATATTTTCTCAAAATTGTATTTCTGCACTTTTTTCTCGGTAGCCATATTGCTAGTTCGCGATAATTTTCCTTGACAATTCAAGGTTCACAAATAACTTTACAATGTTATGTAACGTATTACGTTTCTCAATTGATAACAATTTTAATTTTTATAGTATTAAAATATTGAATCACTTTAAACACAAAATGTATTGGATCCGAATATAAAAAAGATAGATAGAGACGTCATGCAAGCAAACGTCGGCCGCTTCGACTTGAAACGGGTGGGGACTGCGGACTGGTTGAGAACTCGCAACTAAAGCGAGAACAATATATTGGTATCGATTGCCGAGAGCGACAGAGATGAGCATAGTGCTATCGACCTATATTCATCTTATTCTATACGGAGGGTTGCGTAATTTTCAATTAAATTGTTTCGTTTACAAAAATAAAACGATTATTATTTTGCCTTAAAATTAATTCATCATACGAACATATTAATACAACTAAACTGTATGAAACAGTTTTATTTTATATGATACCATTTGTTTTAATGATATTAATTATTAAGTTTTGGCGTAGAAAAATAAAGAGAAGTATTAGTATAGTATAGTATAGCGTAAAATGCATTATTATACACAATTTATTAAAAAAATATATGTTATTATGAATTTTACATCTTATCGTAAGTGCCAGGATATTTTAACAGGCGTAGAGTAGATAGAGGCGTAGGCGTAATATCGTTTACTATATAAATAATAATAATATATATTAAGTTTATGAAATCATAATTAATGTTATATATGATAGGTATCTTCTAATTTATATAACACCCTAACGCCCGACCGTGCAACATGTTGTATTAAAATTAAAGTTTATTCAATATACAACATGTTGAACCCCGGACATTTTAGAAATAGCGAAATAAAATCAACCTGTAAATTACGCGCTGTTTTGCAGTGGCAAAAGAAAAAAAAAATTCAAAAGAGAAATTATGGTTATCCTTTTCTTTAACTTGAACGCTTTGGCTGGAAGTATAATAAAAATGATAGCTGACTGTTGTCAATTGTCACAATGCAATGCAATTAAGCAATGACATTATAATATTTTGGATATTCCGAGTACCGTAGATGTTGAAATAAGTCATTTGTATTTTATTGTTTGAAAAAAGTTGTCAATAATATGTATATAATGAACTAGTCAGTACCGTGTGTGTTTAGTAACGATGGATAATAAAAGAAATTCTTAAAATTTAATACATAAACCACGGATAACATTCAGGTGTGTCTTGTCATAAAGTCTTGTGCTATAATATATTGAAATGGGACATAATATTTACATTAAATTTCAGATAACAATGCCAGAACATTTAGAACTTCAGCATTTAGTGGAATTATCGGTTGGCAGTGATGAAACCCTTCCGAATCTGCTCGAAAACAAGCGACCCCTTGTGAAGAGATGTCCATATCTCGGCTTGCTCTTGGCGACATTATCTTCTCTTTTCTTCTCACTATGTTCAGTTATTGTTAAAAGCTTAGTCAATATACATCCTATCCAGTTAGCTATGTTTCGTTTTATAGGGGTGTTTTTACCAACTGTACCAATAGTGATATATACAGAAAAACCAATATTTCCCCAAGGTAAGAGAATACTTCTGATATTACGTTCTATCGTGGGTACTGTTGGTCTGATGTTAAGCTTCTATGCATTTCGTAACATGCCTCTTGCAGATGCATCTGTTATAGTGTTCTCTGTGCCAGTGTTTGTAGCTTTATTTGCTCGGGTATTTTTAAAAGAGCCATGTGGTGTGTGGAACACGATATCCATTGTACTGACTCTAGTCGGTGTCATTTTAATAACTCATCCTCCATTTATATTTGGAAAAGAAGAAGTGGTGGTAAATCAAAACTATAACAGTTTGTGGGGTGCTGTAGCAGCATTTGTTTCTACCATATTTGGAGCCAATGCCTATGTCTTATTGAGAGTACTTAAAGGTTTACACTTTTCAGTAATCATGACCAATTTTGGTGCTATAGCAATAGTGCAAACCCTGTTTTGTTCTTTTCTTTTTGGTATCCTTTGTATGCCAAATTGTGGAACTGAAAGAGTTTTAGTTGTATGCCTAGCCTTGTTTAGTTATTTAGGACAGATTTTACTTACTATGTCCCTTCAAATGGAGCAGGCTGGGCCGGTTGCTATTGCGCGGTCTGCAGATATTGTATTTGCTTTTTTATGGCAAGTGTTATTTTTTGATGAGATACCAAACAAATACTCCATTGGTGGGGCAGTATTAGTATTATGCTCAGTATTTCTAGTGGGACTTAGGAAGTGGGCGTTAGCTCTGCCTGCAGAATCTCAATTAAGAAAAATGTTAGGGGTGTTGGCACAGTGAAAATTTGTTGTATAAGTATAGAAATCAATTTCTGTGGTTTTGCTTCTAGTCAGTATTAATTCTTAGAACAAAGTCCTAAATTTCACTAGACTGTGTGAAAAATTAAGTATTCTTATCCTACAATATAAAACTGTTTGCACTTGTAATGTTAAAAAATAATCATTTTTGTTGTTCAAAAATAATTTTGCATTAATATAACATGTAGTTAAGATTGTTATAATTTTAACAACAATTGAAGATTTTTACCTCAAAGACTGTTACTTATTTATACTTGATACTTTATAAGATATACTTAAACATGTTTGCTTAGATTATTATTTACTGTCCTCAAGGCATAGCTTTCTTAGTATTACATCTGGAAGTGAAGTTTTAGTTATAATTACAGATGATAATAGTCCGAATTAAAATCATGGATAAAGATGAATATAAAGCCTACATCCAAGCTATTATATATAATTAAGTGTATGTACTTAAACATTTTGTGTTCCCTATTGGCCTTAAATCTTAGCTTAAATAGATTGCAGTCTATGAATCGCTCATTCAGTGAAAAATAAAATCAGTAATAAGCTCTGCATATAAGTTACCTAGTTACTAACATTAAACCAAAATACAATATTCCTAGTTTATTATTGTTACGTAGAATTTGAAAAAAATTGTTACTTTCTAGAAAATCAGGACAAAACAGTACTTGCTTCATTTTTATGATAGAAGATGAAATAACATATAATATATAGGCCAGATGCGCCTTCTACCTATTTCGGCTTCGGAAAACCACAGTCTGTATGTCAATAAGCAATTAAACTTTATGGCTTTTTAATATGTAACTCTGACCCTCTAACGTCTGACCCGTGACTGACCCTGATGAAATTTTGATATCTAACATCGAGATTTCCAGACAAAGACTAACATGTTCTAGAACAATTATAAATTGATTTGAGATATTTTGGATCATGTGAGGATCCAACACCTATTATACAAACAAGCCTATTAATTGAAAAAGTGTTTTTTTTTATCTTAAAACATTTTAAATTGTATAGCGTTCTGTAATATTATCTCTATACTTTAACTTGTTTGAAGAGTCAAGATTGTCATTGCAAATATGCTGTTTATTTTCTTTTTGTACTTAGGATTAGGATAGGATTTTCTCAAAAAAAATTCCAAATAAGAGTTTACAAAAAGTAATTGTAATCAATATTATTTGCAGAATTAAAGAAAAATTCTCTCTAAGGCTCTCAGGAAACAATATCTTGTCGAACAATGTATTAATCATTAAATATTCATTCTTAATGTACTCATAATAGTTCCGTTATGATGAATGCTGTATTTCACACAATTTTAAGTTTACAAAGAAGTGTTTCTACTCACAAATTATCACTAGTCATAGTTTTTAAGTCACATTTACTATTAGCTATTTATTGTTGACGTTTTGTTATACAAATATTACTCAACGCTTTAACAAATTTTATTATGTACCAAATATGCTTTACCATAAGTTAAGAGTGCTTATGAAATAATACAATATTACCAAGAGTTATTATTTAATTCACGTAACTGGATAAGTATTCCAGTACTATTCCCAGTATGACAAAGTAATATGCAGGAATTTAAGATAAAACAATTACAAATATAATATGACAAAGGGTAGTAGATAAACAACCAACATGCTATTTGTCTCTTACTCTGTGCTTATATGTAGAAAAACATGTGAAAAAAATAATGATTCAAATATGCAAATATGGAAATTAAACAAAAAACTGAAGTTAATCATTTATTTCAACTTACAGTTACTACCTTATTAGTATTTTTCTTTAATTTTAGCTTTGATTATCAGCCAGTTCACATTAACATACATAATAATAAATTTATACTTATGAACGACGGTACCAACCGTCATACTGTCTTTCCTATAATTGTGGTTTAATATCTTTCTCTAGGATTACAGCTGGATTTTGCATATCGAGTTGACTTTGAGCAATATCGCTAAGGGCACCTTGAATTTTTTCCAAAAGTATTTCTCCTTGACGTACCACCTTTAAAGTTAAAATTATTATATTGTACAATTTAGTCTTTGCATGTTGTGTCTGTCTGTAATTGTTTTACACAATTTTGTTTTTATTTTTTTTATATTTAAAAATTAAGTTACATATGTGATACAATGTTGACAGGCCTTAATTAAATAAATAGTTTTGGTTTACAAAAGCCTAATAAGTTTCAGAGGGTATCTTTAGACCAATGTTAATACATTAAAAATGCAAGCTTACCTCTTCGAGCTGTTCTGCAGCTTCCTTATTTTCAGCCTCCAAACGTCTTAAGCTTTGCACTTGTAGTTCTGTAGAACTTTCTTCACTCGGCAGTGACTCTATAAGAGTATCAATATCTTTTGCACACCTTGAAATTAAAGTCGCGAATAACACGGCATAGTCTTCCTGACTTTGCTGTTGCTGTGGTGTTTGAGATCCGCTGCGATCAAATCCTGGGAATTTACTTGGTGTTGAAAACTGTTGTAAGACTCCAATGCTGTTGCAAAAGTGTTCAGCTTGCTAGAAACAACGAAAATAATGTTAACATATGAATATGCACAAAATCTCAACAATAGTATGTATTGTCCTATTTACTAGGTTGATTGTGTCTTGTAATTGCGTGAGTCGATCTGCCATTTTTGACGATAAATAGGGTTAATCTTTTAGTTTCAATTTTTAAAAAGGCACTTTTAATAAATTGATTGTAAAGTTGTAAACAGAGAAATACTAAACTGACACTAGCCGTCATATGTAACAATTATACATTAGCTATTTGACTAGTGATAAAATCGGCGTCAATTGTCAAATGCCACAAATATTTTTATTATAAAATTAATAAACTGTGGAAACAAGTATAAAAATGTATTTGCTTTTAATTTATTATTCTCCTATATTTATTATTACTAGTTTGGCCGAAAAACTGAAGTAGTTTTGAAGAAGCTTTGAAAGTCTCAAACATGTGTAAAATAATTATTTCAAAATTGAACTTAAAAATATAATACTAAACTTTGAAAACATAATGGTCCCACATTGGTAATCGAGTGCGTGACCATTTTTTGTTGATATTATATTTACCATACCTACTTCCATTAAACTAAATATTCATATGTAATTTAACTCTAATAAATTAAGTCTCTAAGCATATTCAATGTATAGGAAATGATTAGTTTAAGCTTTTTAAATTACATACAGTAATATAATAAAAAATTTAGACCTTTTGGCATATTTTTTAAGAATTATAAACTGTAAGCAAGTAAACTTCAGTTTAACAGATTTAAAATAATGATTAAATTTAGAAGTGTAATCCGTTTCAATTATTATTCGACGGTCGTTCATTTCGGTTTAACTTAGAGACATCCTAAAGCGTAAATATAATTCAAATTTATCTATATCCAGTCGCGTCTGAGAAACCGGCTGCAGTTAATCGAAAAGTACAGACATTCACGCGGCGCACCCAGCTTCGCCGTCACAACTCGCAGTACATACCTATTTAGTTGATAAACAACTTCTTAGCGGCACGCACGTGGAAAACATTTCCCCGAGCTTATGCGACGTAACGAATTCGAACTTTTTTTAATGTCAATAAAAATCTTTTTGCAAACAACCGATTTTTACATTTCGAAATTTTTAATCTGTGATTAAAAGTGACTGTTTGTGTTTTAAGAGTAAAAACTTTTTTGATTTGGAGCGGTTGTGATAGTGAAAAGTGGAAAAGGCCCGAAACCAGTCTACGCTCCCTGCTTATTTCCGGAACAGGTAGATTCCATTTTTCAGTTACTAATTTTATCTAATGATGACTGAAACAATTATTTTACACAACTGAAAGAGCATTTAAGAAGATGCACATAATACCTACATCAGTTTTTTTGGACAGTATTGTTATAATTGTGGATTCCTTTCGTTCTTTCCCACATATTTTATTAGATATCTAGTCTAATTTTTTACTTATTATAGTGCTAAAATAAATTTAATTACAAGGAACAATATTATTATAAGCGTTTGTGTTTATTCTGTAACTCAATAAATAACAAAATAAAAACTAAAAATTAATTTCGGCTATTCAAGAACACCTCCATTCGATTTTTTTTTATTCTCCATGACCGCACAATAAATTTGACTCTTTCGAAAATAATATAATTTAACTATAAATATGTTTAAATACTTTAAATGCTGAAGTGATAGGCTGCTGCCTTATTATGTTGATATAATTATATTATATAAGACGCATGCATAACGGTCTGCAAATTCATTTTTCGGAAAACATTCCACTTAATAATTAAAAGCAATTAGAACCGCAGTTATGAAATACTTAATATATAATGGCGAATACTAATGCAGTTTATTGCGGTCAATGATAATGTTATCAGTTAGTCATATTTGCTATATTTTTGCTATTAGGGCTTCTGTAATAACAACAGGTCTTTAATGCCATCCACGACCTTGTCAATTTAAACATGTTTAGAATTTTCGGCCAGACAGGTCGTAGTTTGATCTACTACATCATTGTAAGTAGAATCAATGAGTGTAAGTCCAAGGAGAACTGATCTTACAAAAAGGAAAAAGTGCCATTATTTTAAGTGTATAACTAGTTGATAAAACCCCCAGAATTAGAAAGTAGATATATATATTATAATATGTAATGTTGAACTTGAATTGAAGAAATGTACTGTGCCAAGTTTAGCTGGCAAGTTGACTTCATACAACATCTTAAGTTTCTGTAAATGCGCCTCACTTGTCATGTGAACAACACTACCTACCTTTGCCAATTATCCAAGCAATCGGCACAACCCTAGATTGCTAAATGCTTGTTGGACGGATCGATTTGACGCGGCGCCGGTAAACACATTTTTAGTAAGGCTGTGGTCTCCTTTAAACGTCAGCGTAACGCATTGCTATTAACATAAGATTGTACAATTTATAAGATCATGTTGGTCAATACATTTTTGGTCTCTGGTCAATGATTCAAAATAAGTGGGCCTGACGTACAGCTTTTATAGTAGACTGAAGCCAAAGCTAACACTGCACGAGACCTAGATTTATTACCTACTATAAATACTTGCGATATGCGAATATGAGTGTTTATTCCCAGACAGCTTGATCACGGATTCGTACATCTTCCATTACGTCATGGCCTTCTTGATTATGTAAACGTAACGCAATGTGTAGACAGAAGAAACGGAAATGGGCCTTCAGAAGAATCCTTACCCGACAGCCTCTCAAAGGCTATATGCTTTATTAAAAACGGAGAAAAATCTTTATCAGTTAAAATACTCATCCATAGTACGCCATAGTAGTCATAGGTATAAGTTTTTTTATCAGGCAGGTCACTGTATATTATTTTCAAGTGCTGGATAATACCAATTTTCGATTACTCCGGAGTTCGAACTCTCGACTCATTGTACTTAATGCAATGTTAGACAACACGTCGTACGATTCTTTTGCCATAAAAACTTTTTAGCCACATAAATCTTTTTTTATTAAAAGTGAATTGCAGTTACAGTAGACAATAAATATTATCTGTGGTAGTAATAGTAATTTTGTAATTTGTGTAGTATATTCTACCAAAATAACCTCTTTAAAAATAAAATTAAGAAAAGGTCTGAAAAAGGGTAGTATTTGAATTATGCATTAATACCCTGTATTATTAGAGAACGGATTAGTACTGTACTGTACTGTAATATACACGGGTTCTCAGAGGAATAAATTACAAAATTATATTTTACTTTTATCTCCATCGTCACGCTTCGGTCAAACTGAAAGTCAATTAACGCTTACTTGTAAATTCATAACTCACGACGTAGTTGTAGTAACAGATTTCTATGAACGCAAGAATTGTTCACCTTAAAATACGTCTTAAATAAATCTATTTTAACGGTTTAAAATGCTGACTGTGTTAGTTTCAATTGTATTTCAGCTACCAATCACTCCTCTTGTATTCGAATTGTCATTTCGTGGTCAAACAATTGATTAACCTGCAAATTAAAAATCTACAGTTTAAACCCGTTAAACATTGACTTATTTCATATGTAACTATCGAGTAAACTATAGATATTGCTTAGGCACTAAATACGCATCCAGTCTTCGCTAATATGTCTCCAAGTACCTATCACTATAATGATTGACTTGCATTATTTGTTTAATAATTCTTTGTTATTTGACGAAAAGAACACCTTAGAGTCTGAACTACTGATCTAAAAGACCTAAATATTTAAACATGTGTCTGGGTATCTAATAAAAACAAATTTTCCAAAATTTTATCTCTACAGAAGTACACGGTGAGGCAATATTGAACGCGCGGAGAACAGGGAAAACTTTTTTAGAGTCTCAAAAACGTGTTTTATCTTGTGTATTTACCTAGCTTCAAACTAATTAGTAGTAATATGCATACTGGATTAATTGTTGTATTTCCATATTAACGCAAATGCCTTATTTACTTCTTTTTGAAAACTTTAATATTCTATACTTGTTGGTACTTTATATAAATACTGTGTTCAGTTTACGCGAGTACACATTTAAATAAAGCTTTAACCGCTTAAAACGGGAAATTATTTTAGTTTTTTTTTATTAGGATTTGGCAAAAATCTTATTAAACGCGAAATACTCACCGACGCTTATGTGGTCCAAAGCAGAATTATTACTTTTCATAGTTTATTGTAAAAGAGAAATAGAAAAAATCGCCTCGCATGGCACGAGAAAGTGATGACCTCTCAAACCGGCTCTTAGCTCGCGACCGCTCAGCTGATATAAGCCTGATATTCCATACGAAATGCCAAAATATTCGCGTAAAATACGTCCTTTGTAAGTTTCTGTTGCTTTATATATTAAAGATTTATATTCGGGGGAAACCTAACAGTTTTGGATATGGAAGTATGGTTACAAGAATGTGAAGGAAGGAATCGGGATTTGTTCTTCTGGTTTTCAAATTTAGAAAGACGGTAGATTCACAATTCATAATAATTATTTTTAAATTAAGAATAGCTTCAGTAATTATCTATAGAACCTTATTGATTTGATAAGACAATTTATGTTTTTTTAAGGATTTTTCGCAACATTTTATTAACTCTATAACTATTTTATATAATATAGCGATATTTTAACATATAGTAGATAGCATTAATGTTAAAGTCCTTAATCAACCATTTAAAAATATGAACATTTTGGTGAATATTTCTCGAAAAATTACACACCTACGTCTTAGTATTGTTAGTCTGTAGATATTAGTATATACTGTATATGTATGTATAAATTCTTAAGGCTTTAAATAACATATTTCAATCAATAAATTTTATAGATGTATTACCTAAGAGACAATACCACTTATATCATATTTACCACTTCCAATAATTAGCTAACGATAAATTGTAGTAAGATGATCTCATATTGTGCTAAAGACTACATAATAACGAGAAAAACAAATTTTATTGAGGATGTCATGTTATTAAAGACTTCTTATGAGTCTCAAAATCTACAAAAGCGTAATATAATATCTTTGAAACTACTGGTTTGGCAAAAAGTATTAAGATTATTGCAAACTTCTTCTGAGTAAGTCTAAATAAGATTTTCATGTCTGTATAACATTATATTATGATAATTATTAATTACAGAACTAGTGCGTTTAAACACACTTAATTTTTCCT